GCATGGTATTGAGAAATGGAAACAAAGCCCTTGCTGGAACTGCCCTGGTCCTGACATATCTGACGCCCACCCTAGAAAACAACGATTTTGTCCTAGTTTCTTCCTGATGCATAGACCAGCGTCAAGAGAAGTCAACTTCTGAAGGCTACAAAAGGTTCTAAAAGAGGGACCCCACCCACCATGCACCCACCCTGTTTCCTCTCTCCAAGGCCAAGGCGGCCTCAGGAGTCCCAAGAGGGGTGGAGTCCACTTAGGGCTCTAGATTGGGTGATCAGGGAGAGACCACACACACACACACACACACACACACACTTACAGGCTAGATGGACAGGGAGGGCTTAGAAGAGGGACAAGCTTGGAGGAAAGGTTGGGTTGAAACAGCAGCCACCAGATCCAGTCTGAGAGACGTGAGGCCTGTGCTGACTGTCTTACGTCAGCTTCACACACAAATGGATGGAACCTCAGTTGAGAAAATGCCTCCAAAAGATCTGGCTGTAAGGTATTTACTTCATTAGTGATGGGGAAGGGTCCAGCCCATGGTAGGTGGTGTCACCCCTGGGCTGGTGGTCCTGGGTTCTATAAGAAAGCAGGCTGAGCAAGCCAGGGGAAGCAAGCCACTAAGCAGCACCCTCCATGGCCTCTGCATCAGCTCCTGCCTCCAGGTTCCTGCCCTGTGTGAGTTCCTGTCCTGACTTCTTTTGATGATGAACAACAATATGGAAGTGTAAGGCAAATGAACCCTGTCCTCCCCGGTTTGCCTTTTGGTCGGGCTGTATTGTCAGAGGACTACGCACTCTAAGACAGGGTCCACGGAGGAGTGTGCCAGTGTGTTGCTGGGCCATCAGCTGGCTCACTGTCATCCAGAAGCAGCCAGTCGGTTTTCCAGGTTGGGGACAAGTCTTTTCAACAGATCTGATACCATCTGGCTGCCAGCGTGGTCCCCATTTCCGATGTTCATGGACACCAGAAACACCCCGGTGGCATCACCATAGCTAAGTCTTGTGGTCCCTTGCCAGAAAACACGAGTACCAGTTCATCACCAGGAAGACCTGTCCAGTCACCCACTTCCCAGGCATCAGGTTCTCAAAGCTCAAGCAGGCTTCGTCAGAGGGTTTGGTGAGCAAGACTCCTGGGTGTCAGACCGGGCCTTAAGTTTCCAAGAACTCAGGTCTACAAGACAGAGCTCACTTCCCGGGGAAGATCAAGTTATCCCCACAAACGCCTTCTTGAATGCACACACGTTCCCTTTGCTAATAACCAGAGTTGATCCCCTTAGGGAAAGCATACGGAGGTGTTGTGTTAGTCTAACACAACCCTAAGAGTCCTCCCTGGTTCTTCTCTATGCAGTTGGAGGCTACCTAATGTGGCTGGTCATGGTCTACATTTGGGAGAACATTCACATAGTCTGCAAATATCTAGCCATATTGTGATAGTGAATGCTGGGCTCCATGTTCAGGAGAGTCACAACAAAGTGAGTCTCGTGGGTGAGCTCTAGTGGTGAGAGACTGGCAATAGCGAATTCCACCCATCATCCTATAGCACACCTTTAATCCCAGGACTCAGGAGACAAAGGCAGATGGATCTCTGTGAGTTCAAGGTCACCCTGTGCTACACGAGATTGAATCTGTGTAAAAGAGAAACAGAGTTCATGCCTTTAATCCCAGCCAGCACTTGGGATCCCATGCCATTAATCCCAGCCAGCACTTGGGATCCCGTGCCTTTAATCCCAGCACTAGGGAAGTGGAGACAGGAGTGATGTGGCTGGGCGGAGAGAGGAATAGAAGGCGGGAGGAGACAGGAGCTCATTGCAGTCTGAGGAGCAGTACAGTCTAGGCAGCAGCCTGAGGACATGATCGCCCCTTCGGTCTGAGCACTGATAGAGGTGAGAACTCTCTAGTAGCTGGCCGCTCTGCTTCTCTGCTCTTCAGCATTAACCCCAACATCTGTCTCTGGGTTTTTTATTCAAACCAACCGTTATTTGTGCTACATTCAACTATTCAAAGGTTCAATTGAATTTTCAGCATGGAGCCTCTTATTGTCTTTGCATTGTCCGGTTTTAAGAAGACTCCTACTGAACTTCACTAGAATCCCCCCATCCACCATATGTGATCAAGAATGGAACCATAGGCCCATAGACAGCAGTTCAGGAAACGTGAGTCACTATAGACCTTGTGACTTAATGATCCCTTCCGCTGCCACAAAGCAGTGGAGGGCGTAGATAGGGAGGTCACCCTTGGCACGCACACGGCTGTTCTCAGTCCCTGCTCAAGCTCCTTCAGGAACAAGGTGGCTCCAGTCTCTTGGACCCTGCTGGCAAAGGAAGGTATCTTGGAGAATCATAGAGTCTTCTGGGCAGATTGGTGGTTCAGCTGGAGTCTATGGGCTTCTGCTGCCCTCTGCAGGACAGTTCTGGAATCACACTTGCTCTGGGATGGTGGGTCTGGGAAGAGATCTTAAATAAGAAACTGCCTCCATCAGATTAGCTTGTCGGCAATTTCTTTACTAATGACAGATATGGGAGGGCCCAGCCCACTGTGGGTGGTGCTAGCCCTGGTAGTCCTGGGTTGTATAAAAAGCAAGATGAGCAAGCCAGTGATCAGCTTTCCTTTACTCTGACTTTTCTTCATGGTGGAAGGTCTAAGATGAAACAGACCTTTTTACACTCTAAGTTGCTTTGGTCATTGTGTTTATTACAGAAATAGGAAGCAAACAAGGACAGGTTGCAAGAGTCTCTCTCCTGCAATGCTTCCAGCTACCCCATCCTCCTCCCTCTGACAGTGGGGCCACCCAAGCCCATCTTGTGTGTTCTGCAGGGCTTCCGGCACTGCTCCCTCCGTCCCTAGTGTGAGACTAACAATGCACATTTAGTAATGCGTGCTTAGGTGTGAGGGGAACACAAATACCTAGGTTCAAGTCCCCGGTCTGACACATGCCTGGCACCCACTGGTCCCTGGGCCCTCTGACCACCTTTGTCTGAGGTTGGCCACCAGCACCTTGCCTATTTTCTCTGTTAGGTGACATTTTGTCCACTTAAGTTGAGTAGAGTACCCCACCTAAAATGTCAACTTCAGAAAGACAGGGCCCATGATTCTGGCTCAGAACTCGATGGACAGCCTTACCCCCAGGATCTGGTCCCAACAGTGTCTTTCTGGTCCCAGTGGAGCTCTTGGGGTGGCTGCTGTCCCTGCTGGGCTCCAGAGCAAGTGGTGGCTTTGCAGGAGCCTCTCTCTCAAGCCACCGGGACTCAATGATGACCAAGGGCTGTCCTCCAAGATGGATAGGCTTTGTCCTAGTCACCCTCAACCTGCCCAGCTGTCCTCTGGCTCTGTCTCCAGAATGGAACACTTGTCTCCTGGTGACCTTCTGGCCTTCTCTCTTGCCCTATGCGTCCACTCATGCAACACATAAATTTGCAATTAAAGATGCTTCCTGGCAGGGACCAGTGGAGGCACGGCTCTCACGCCTGTGTTTCTTTATGCCACCCAAAGGCACACAGTGCCTGTAGTTAGCAAGAACCCCAGTGAAGGCAGAGCCCGTGTGAACTCTTCCCTTGCTCGCTCTGAGGCACAGCCATTTACTCTGGATGTGTCTCAGGTAAAGACTGTAGACCTGATTTGTTCCCACACAAAGCCAGAAAGCAGTGTGGCCAGGGGGAAGCCATTTGGACACGTAACTGACCAGGAAATCCCCAAGGCCTGTCACTTGAGGGAGAGTCCTACCAACGGGCTGTGCAGGGCTCCACCTCAATCAGAAACATGCAGGAAGGTTTTGTCTGTTTCAACTGCATCCATGCCTACTCCACAAAACCAGCATGCAAGCCAGGAGGCAGCATGGATCATAAAAGTTCTGACCTGAAATACGATGGAAAGGGCTTTTAGTTAAAGGCTCAGTGGCAATGCTAGCGTGGCCCCTTTAAGAGCCACAGGCTATGTTTTCTGGCAAACTGCTGGTCCTTAGTTTTCAGTAAGTGACCTTTCTGTTGGCACTAATTGAGCAGGGTTTGTGGCGTTTGCCAAGCATCTGAGTCCCCGCCAAAGAGGGACTGGGAGGTGAGGGCCCCAGGCTTGCAGCTTCCAGTAAAAGGCAGGCATCTTGGCAGCAGTGGTTTGGAAGCCTTGTCACTGTTGTAAATCATAATCTTATTGCAGCACTTGTTCTTAAAAGTTTCCCAGAGCCATTCCAGCTGCATGGCAGAGCACAGAGGGAGGGATCACCAGTGATTTCTTCACAGGGACGGTTCTACATGCTTTCTCCATTCAGCAACTAACTACGGGCCTTGCAAATCCAGCTGCCTAATGCCGGGCCAGGCTTAACTGTCCTCTTGCAGCAGCTGGCCTCTCACTGCTCTTTAGACGCATGGGTTTATAAAGATGTGAGTTGGTTTCAAAGTCACATGTGTACCAGTAAAAAACCCTTGGGCTTGGGCAACATTCTCAGACTCTCCTTCCAAGGAGGATGTCCACCCACAGGTCAGGCCACCTTTGTTCTGTCTGGGCCATGTCGGAGCTGAGTCTGCCTCTGTGCCAAATTGCAAGTGAACATTTGTGTCACTGTTTCCATTAGAGAAGTGTTTTCCCCATTCAAGAATATAGAAGCCAGCTGTTAACTACACTACAGTTGCAGGCTGGCAGGCCTGATGTCTTTACTTCCATCCGGACAGAGGTGGGCATTCTAGGCGGGCCTCCCCAGAACCCAGGATCTCAGGGCACCCTGTAAGACCACCAGCTTTAACAGTTGTGTGCCATCTCATGAAGTGCACAGCTGTGGGCTGTGGCCTGGAGCTGTTCGGGGACAGAAAACTATAGCGACAAAACTGCAACTTAAAAAAACCCTCCATCCACGAAGCTTGGATACATGGCTGTGCCACCAGCAAGGGAAGGAGACAGAGGATGTATCTTCAAGGCATTTGCCTCATACCAGAATGTAATGCAACTGGTTAGGCCTGATTCTAAAAATCCTTAGTAACGCTTTTTAATATACAAGAATCAAAATTACAGCAGTTTTACAATGTAGGAAAATTTAATACATACTATATAAACAACATTATTTACATCAGAAATCACTAGGACAGTGGCATTTTTCACAAATATAAATTAATTACTGTTTAGTCAACAGGTTTCAAAAGTCCACAAGTTTACAAGAAAAACCACCTGTCCCCAAATGGGTAGGACACAGATGGACTAAAGCAGCCTGGACCCTTGGCATGGCTCTCGTCACCCAACACAGCTGGTCTCAGGTGAGCTAGAAGACCACCTGGGCCCAGACATGGCTCCTGCTGACAAGTGGGTTTTGGTCTATAGGATTTCAGTGTTGCTGTGTGTGAACACTTGACTCTGCAAAGCCTAATGTAGCTGCGGCCACACCAGGTCAGAACACCAGCAGCACAGTGAGAAATGTTTGCGTTCCCTTTGCGGGGCTCAAGGAATGACTACAGAGTCCAAGGAAGGACCATGAGATTGGGCTCCTGCAGGCTGGCCAGTGAGGACAGTGATCAGCAGTGACTTCATCTTCCTTTTCTAGGTCACAGCGCATCACAGTACTTCAGGCCTTGGCAACACTCACTCTTTCCTCAAGTCCTGCCATTTCCTCACAATGAGCTGCCCAAAGCTAGGTTCAAACACAACTCCCAACTCCCCTGGCAGCTTCTCCCACCTGTGCTTATTCCTGTTGTAAGCATATGATGTACAGACTGGCTTAGAGACAAGAGGAATGCCTCCTTCCTCCCAAGCCACTCTTCAAGTCCACTTCAACACCTAAACCAGATGCTTGATGGGAGACACTGTAATCTTACAATCTATGTAACACTGATCTGGCCAATATTGCCTTTTGCTACATTTTATGGCACGTTAGTCCTGAATGTGAACAAAAGGAAGTTCCTTTTTCCTCATGATGAGACCTCTTTGAGAATAACTTGTAACTTCTACCAACAAGTTGAGAGAAAGACAGACCTAGGTAAGTATGGAAAGGCAAGGACTCCCCCTTCCACAGGCACCTCCTGTTCTTGCCGCACCCCCAGCACCAAAGAGCCCAGCAAGCCAAACACACGAGTGTCGGTGTTATCGGCAAGAAGCTCCATCTATGGTTCACTTTTCTCTGTGTGGCCAACGCAGACCTGACTTTCAGCCTTCAAGTGAGGAGTCAGTCAGGGCAGGCCACCAGGCAGGAGACTACAGCCAGGGGACTCAGTGCAGTCAGTGGGCTCTACTGCAAGTCATGCACGCACATGGTCAAAGTGAAGGACCCACGTGCCACGAGAAGTCAAGAAGGTGACGGTCTACTGAGCACTAGCCCAGGGGCTGACTCAGCACAGCCAGGTCCATGGCTCTAAGTAGCAGAAGCAATGGCCCACCACAGCCATGCCATGACCAGATGATGCACTCAAGGACACAACTCAAGCTTGTCATGGGAAAGTCATTAATGGTACTGCCCACGCCATCCCCAAGGGAGTTCAGAGAGTCAAATCCTATGTATATCCAAATCAAGACTTTTCATCAACTCAGAATGAGCCTGGACTCTATTTATAGAGGCACACCATACCATATGTGCAAGTCAGTTTTCCTGTCTCCATCTAGAAAGGCTTTGGATAGCCTTACAATACTGGCAAGCTATACTGAAAGTGAGTAAAACCAAAGGCCTGACCCAGCTATCCATACACTGAGAAAAGCCATTCAATGATGCAAACCCATCAGCGCCCACCCTCCCCCCAACCCGATCCAATCTGACCCTAACAGGCCTCCTGCCATCTCACAGTTCAGCTACCCCAGTCATGGATGCTTGGGATTTGGGGAAAATTTAACTTAGGTTTATACTCTATAGATCTTAAAGAAACAAGGTTTGATTCAACTGAACCCCAACTGGCAATGGAAACGTAACCACCTCAGGTAGCTACTGTCACCTGACTACACCTCGGCTGTCAAGATGTGTGGGTCTGTATAGCCTGCCTCTTCAAGCTGGGTAAAGGAACTAAGATGCAACTACATTCGCTAACCCATTCCAATACTGAAAGCTCCCTGCTGGCTGGCACTATCAATGCCCACATTAGGAATCCCTTCCCCACATCAGCAACTGGGCTCACCAGCAGGCCACCTCCATTTCCATCTCCAGGACTTGTGACTTTCCGTTCTAACGCAGCAATCAGAAACCCACCAGGGATCCCTATTTCCTGCTTACACTACCCCAGCCCCCCATCTCTACCCCTACACCCACACGGCCCATTCCCCAAACAAGTAAGACCCACGCTGGCATCGATGACGCCAAGTCACAGTACTCTAAAATCAGCCAGAGAGATCCAGCTTCCCCTGACAAAGAAGGAAGATCAAACCTTTGAAATGTACAAAGATAGCACGGGAAAAATTAGTGTTGGCAGGGAGGAGGCCGGGGCAGAAGTTGTTTCCTGTGTCTTCATGCCCACCCCACTTCACATAATGAGACCAAGTGAATCGTTTCTCCCAAGAACACATCTGAGGGGTACACCCACTCCCTACCCTGTGACCTCCCAGTTCCCATCAGCAGCATCCCTCATGTCATAGTGAACCAATCACACGCTGTCCAGCAGTTCCTTGCCCTGGTCACTCATGCTGAATATAACATTCATTAACTCTCAAGATCCCCGATTCCTTCACAGGGGAAGCAGCCCAATGAAGCTGGTACATGAAGTCACCTCTTCCTCCTAGCACCCACGGAGGTGGGAGGCCACAATCGGCTAGGATGGGATGGGGTGCCAAAGTGCAGGAGTGGAGACCAAATCAAAGCAGCAGACGAAGGCCTCCAACCCCTTCAAGTGCTCCTTCAGCCGCCAGTTAGTGGATTCAGCAGCAGCGTATCCAAAACCTCTGCTCACCAGCCTCACCACTGGCCACTGCTGGACCAGACCAAAACGTCCAAGTGCTTGGTGACTCCTGCAATCTCCCCTTTTGGAGTTGTCCTTTATGTTTTCCGAACATTCCAGTTATAATCTGGGTTGTTTTTCTGTTCTAGTGATCTCTCCAAAGGAGATCTGTGATCCAAGGGTGACTTGGAATCATGGGGAGATTTCTGGGAAGGGGGTGAGCGAGGGTCTGAGACTGCAGTGTGCAATGAGGGCAGGGGCTGTTTATATTCCCCCAACTTGTCTGTGTGGAAAGAGCGGTAATGGTCTGAGGGTCCCTGACCGTGGTAACCCATCGGGGGTCGGTGGTCAGACATTCGTCGGAAATCCTGCTGGTGGTAATTCTGGGGCCTAAAATCATCTGATCTCCTCCGCTTAGAGTCATGATGGTGCCTGAAAGAGAGATGCAAAGATCAGCTGAAAGACCAAACTTAACACCTCTTCATCTTCTGCTGGCATTTCCTTATACACACACGGACCAGAGACACCATCACCAGGAAACCAGCACACACACGACCAGAGACAAATGTTTATATTACCAGGAAACCAACACACACACACACACACACACACACACACACACACACACACACACAGGAAACACGGACACAGACCAGAGACAAATGTTTATATTACCAGGAAACCAACACACACACACACACACACATACACACACACACACACACACACACACACACACACACACACACACACACAGAGAGAGAAATGGTGAGTTGTTTCATACATATCAGCAAAGGCACCCTATGACGTGACACACACTCTTCAGAGCTGCAGTAACATGTGGACACATGTGGATAACCACTGACAGCTTTCATGTAGGTAAGGCTGCCTTATGTGTGGTAGCTAGAGAGTCCCTGGTGAGGTAAGTCAATGTATAAAATAATTTTAGACAACCTTAATGCTGAATATCTAGGTAGATTCTGGGTTTTGCTGCTATTAATAATTTACAAGTAGTTTCTGTGTATTTTTCTCCCGAGTATGGTGAAAAAATATGAAAATGCTATAGATGTGTTTTTCCTGAAGGGAGAGTGAGTTTACAAAGCTGTCAGTGATTATCCACTCTCAATACTGCTATAAATCCAGAGCAATGTCAATTAAATCCCTCAGTGGAAAACCACCACAACAGAAAGGGCCATGTCAAAAACATGTCGGGATGGAAGACAGAGGAACTGGATTACTTGGTAAAAATCTATGAGAAAGCCGTCAAAGAAAATATGAACAGAACATGGAGAGTTTGAGGTTCCATTAAAAGACCTAATCTCCAAATAATGGCATGAAGAGGAATACTATAGAGAAGGAATAGAGAATATCTTCAGTAAAAGCAAAGAAGAAAGTTCCCCCAAACTTAGAGAAAAATATGCCCATTCAGGTACAAGAGACCCAAAGAATATAAAATAAATAAGACCAGAAAAAGAAAAGAAAAAAAAAACCAGTAATGACATAATTATAGTGAAAACATTAAAAATATAGAATAAAGGATATTTAAAATTGCAAGAAAGAAAATCCAAGTTGCCTGTAAAGGCAGGTCTATGAGAGAATCCCTGATTGTAATAGAGTAATACTGACAGAAACGTAAAAGCAGAAGGGCCTGGAGAGATGCCCTGAGTCCTGAAAGACTACAACTGTGAACCAGACTATTATACCCAGTAAAACAATCTATTAAAATTGAAAGAGTGGTGTCGGGAGGCAGAGGCAGGCGGATCTCTGTGAGATCCAGGCCAGCCTGGTCTACAGAGCTAGTTCCAGGACAGGTTCCAAAACAATACAGAAAACCCTGTCTCAAAAAAAAAAAAAACCAAAAAAACAAAAAAACAAAACAAAACAAAAAAAAACATTGAAGGAGCGGGGCTGGAGAGGGCTCAGTGGTTAAGAGCATTTGGCTGCTCTTCTAGAGGACCCAAATCCAGGTCTTATCAAGAGGCTCCCAAACATCTGTAATCCCACTTCTAGGGGATCCAATGCCTCTGGCCTCCTAGGGCACCTGCACTCATATATATATCCACATACAGACACATATAAACCTATACATAAATAAAAGTAAATGTAAATCTTTAAAGCCAGGCAATGGTGGTGCACACCTTTAATCCCAGCACTCAAGAGGCAGAAGCAAATGGATCTCTGTGAATTCAAGGCCAGCCTGGTCTACAGAGCAAATTTCAGGACAGTGAAGGCTACACAGAGAAACCCTATTGGGGGAGGGGGGCAAGAAAATAATAAAATTAAGAATAAATTGAAGAAATAAAAACTTTCCATGGTAAAAACAGACCAAAGAAGTGGTTCTCAGCCTTCCTAATACTGCAAATCTTTAATACAGTTCATCATGTTGTGGTGATCCCAACCATAAAATTCTTTTCATTGCTACTTCATAACTGTTAAGAATCATAATGTAAATATCTGTGTTTCCTGATGGTCCTAGGAGTCCCCTGTGACTAGATTACTGGTCCCCTCAAAGGAGTTGTGACCCACAGGTCGAGAACCCCTGACTGAAGGAATTTGTGACCACTAAGCCAGCTTTACAGAGGATAGTAGAGAGACTATTTCAATCTGAAGCAAAGGATGAATAAACCCAAGAAGTCAAAGAATAAACAGTTGATGTCAAGACAGATAAGGGTGGGGTGTGTTCCCGTGCATGTGTGTGCATGTACATGTGTGGAGTATTATTGTCAATGGTATTTTATAGGGCATCTAATCAATTACTAAGCATGGAAAGTGCCACAAGAATAGGATACATAATGAGATACACTAATCAACTGAAACTGACTCAAATGAAATAGTTAGCAGTAAGATCTGAAACAATTCTGAGTCTAGCCAGTACACTGTGACTTTAAGTAGGATAATAGTAAGTACAATTTGAATTTGCAAAGGAGAGGATTAGAAGGGCAAAAGGACAGACCAGGGGTAAGGAGAACAAAAACACTGTTCAGAAATGTCATGATGGTATCGACCACATCATATGCTAATTTAAAAATAGAAACACAATAAGGTTTCTGGGAGAGTAGTGTCATTCTCTCTAGTGATGCAGCCACTCATAAGTTGCCTATGCTATAAATAACACCCAAACCCACTCATGCAGCAACTACAAGAGCGCTCACTGGATCACAACAGAAGACATCAGGGTAGGGGGGAGGCCTGACGGAAGATGATAGCAGCAGGGTGCAGAGAGGGATGAGAGAGAGTAATGGGGTGAAATGACCAAAATTACTTATTATATGCATGTATAAAACTCTCCAAGAACAAAGTAATTCTTTAAAAGGGGGGTTGGCTAGGAAGATGGCTCTGGTGTTGAGAGCACTTGCTGCCCCTGTAGAGAACCTGGATTCAGCTTCCAGCACTCACATGGCAGTTCACAATCTTTTATACCTCAGGTCCAGAGATCAACACACTCTTTGAACTCCTAAGGTACCAGGCCCATATACGGTATACATAGGCACATGCGGGCAAAACAATCATACACATAAAGTAAGAAATACAGCTACAAAACACTCTCCCTTCCAGCATCCCGAAGCTATCCTGATAGCAGGGATATGGGATTTATAACTGATACATGCAAGATGCTCAGTATGCAGTAGACAGACAAACCTGTATAAGCATCACCATCCTTCCTCCCACAAGCAGGTCCAATCAGGTCAGTACACACCTGTCATAATAGTCCCTGTGTCCCCGGTGGTCTCGGTCGCTGCTGTACTGCTCATACTGTCTCTTTCTGGACATGTTATTAGGCCGGTAGCTTCCAGAACGGTGTGCATCCATATGTCTCCGGTCACCATAATGGTGATCCTTGTACCAGTGCTGCTCATACTGATGGTGCCGGTCACCGCCCCAGGGAGCATTGTTACCACCACCATAGTTGAACTTTCTTTCCCTCTGCCAATCTCCTCGATCTGCAAGAAGAGAATTGCTTAAACTAGAGCACATGGCAGAATTTACTTAAGACTGACACGTTACAGGAGATAATCATTGCCCCCTCAGCTTTATCGCTAACACGAGTAACGAATGAGTTCTAATGTTTTTTCTGCTGCCACCAACTTCTAAGGCAAAAGAAAATCTATCACCTCTGTCCCTTCTGAGATCTTCCAAACTACGGCTTCCATGTTTCATTCTTGCTTGCCCCAATGTGCAGCAGACCCACGAAATGAGATGCACTTAAAAACCACAAAGGGAACTTGGAAAGCGATACTGCTGTTCACAGGAATGCCCTCACCTACACAGCTGGAGGTGCTTCAACCTCGATACAAGTTGTGTCCACCTTCTGAAAAACCTCTTTAACTAAAGACCTTTCTTCCTTAGACCACAAAGAGTACTTGAAGGGCTGAGCCCAGGACTGGTAAGCCAGGACACCACCTCCTCATCTGGGAACACCAGCTAAAGCTTCAACAAGTTTTAAGGCAACATGCCACCTACTAGGGAAAAAATAACCAAAGAACATGAGACCAAAAGTCAAAAGGGAGAAAAAAAAAAAGCATATAATGGAAAATAGCACAAAAGAAATGGTTTTGACCCTGCGGAAGTTATTGAGCAATGAGCTTTAAATAATTGTTAACCGGGACTGGAGAGATGGTTCAATGGTTAAGAGCACTGGCTGCTCTTACAGAGGACCCAGTTCAACTTCCAACACCCACAGGGATGATCACAACCATTTATAACTCCAGTTCTAGGGGTTTTGAGGACTTCCTCTAACCTCTGTGGACATCAGGCATGTGCATGGTGCACAGACATACCTGCAAACATAATTTAATACTTTTTTAGTTAGGTCTTAAATAGCTTTGGCTAGCCTAGAACTAAGCAGAAACCAGGCTGGCCTTGAACTCACAGAGGTCTGCCTGCCTCTGCCTCACAAGTGCTGGGATTAAAGGTGTGCACTGCAACATTGAAGTAAGAGAGAATGATGTAACAGAAATGAAAATAAATTTCCTTTTTTTAAAAAATCTTGAAGTTTTTACAAAAGTCTAAAGCAGACACAGTCTGTTGAACTGAACCCCAGTGGTCTGGAAAAGCAACCAGTACTCTTAAGCCCTGAACCATCTCTCCAGTCCTAGACATAATTTTAGTATATAAAATTTACAGGAGATGAAGGGGTACTTTTTCAGATAATACTTTGTTATGTAGTCTCAAACATGAAATCCACTGTGTGTGTACAAATGGAATTCTAGAATTAAAGTTTAGAAAGAAATGTACTTCATCTTGATTACTGTAGGAAAATTGAATCTGTAAAATAAATCTTTTTTTTTTTTTTTTTGGTTTTTACGAGACAGGTTTTCTCTGTATTGTTTTGGAGGCTATCGGTCCAGCCCGGCCTCGAACTCACAGAGATCCGCCTGCCTCTGCCTCCCGAGTGCTGGGATTAAAGGCGTGTGCCACCACCGCCCGGCTGTAAAATAAATCTTATACTATGCTTCTATACTTTGTATATACCTCAACTCTTGTTCTATATTTTTCCTTTTATTCTTCTGTCTCTAAAAACAATTTTTGCTTGTTTTAACTAGTGTAGCAATAAACAATGAATAATCATTAAATTCAAAAGTCTCCCCTCTATTCCCACTAATCTAAGAAAATAGTTACTAATGTCCAGACTTATATGAAATCATACAAGTACTTAAGTATGTTCCTCAGGAAGTCAAGACAGTTACAATATAACCAGCAATCCCATCCCCAAGCAACTAGCTCAAACAATTACAAATAGGTATTCCAGGATATTATGCTGCAGGAACTCATTCAGCCAATACCCTTTGGGGTACCACCCATTAAGGTGTGGTCTCAAATGCTACATGTGAATGAGTAAGGAGGGCAGAAGCATGTTCTCTCTCAGGTGGTGATAGTAGATCGCAGCCTCTATCGCCTCTGGGAAGAAGACCCGGCATTTCTCTACCTTGTCATTAGCAAGAGACTCCCCAATAAATACCTGAGTTCCCTTTATTCTGGGTTTTTATGGACTCTATTACAAACATCCATTACATTTTGGCACTCCAGAGACACTCCATTTGGAGTTTGTTTCCTTCTTGGCAAGTCTGGCCTATTGGGCAAAGACTCAACTGCTGATAGTAGGCATGTTGTCCAAAATGGACAAGCAGGATACAAGCTAAAGTGACCGCTAAACCTTGCAAAGACAGGGTAGGACAGTCTTTTGAATCTTCCTGCTTCTGAAAATGGTCTGTCAGATATTCTAGGCCTTACCCAAAGTTGGTTGCCCCAACACTGCTGTCAGACCTTGGATGACTGTCCAGGTAGCCAGCTGTTTCTGTCATTTTTGGCACCTTTTGGAAGTCGCCCACTTGCACTTCCTGCTTACTCAGCTAATATTACTTTCCTTCTCCGGTCTTTGATGGGGTTGAAGACCAGACAGTCTCAGCTATTGTCCTCTCATGTCTTAGCTAAGACATTTTAGGTACAAGACTCAGACTCCTCGGGATAGGACAGCTGTTGGAATAATCTCTATTATTTGCCAATTACCTACAGCCTGAACATTTAGTGTATGTTTCTTGCTTAATGGTGTACTTGGTGGTGGTAGCTCTAATTTTGTGTAGCTTTTTTAACTTTTCTTTCTCCTGAATACTTGACATTCGTTCTCATTGAATATAGTTTTGTTTTAGGTTTAGAACCCTCTTATTTAGACAGATGTAAATGTTTGTATTAGTACTCTTGTTAGGAGAGACTAATGTCCATCAAAAAATGACAAAGCATGGTATAACCACTGAGTAGAATGTTCCCCTCCATAAAAGGGATCAAGTATTGATTTACACTAGAATTAAGATGAACTTTGAAATCATTTCGCTAAGTCAGTCACATACTGTATATTCCACTGACATGAAGTATTCAGAATAAGTTAACTTACAGGGGTAAAATACAGATAGCTAGAAAGATAGAGAGGATGGGGAATAGGTATAGAAGTTCCATCTGAGGTAATAGAGAAATTGAGGAAGGAGGCAGAACTTTAAATTTACAAATACCCCCCCCTGAAATGATGTGGGAAGTGAATGGGGGTCTGGGGGGCTGGTGGAGGGATAAGGGAGGAGGGGTGGGAGAGGGAGCTGGGACTGACATGTGAAACATTCACGTTTCTAATTTAAATAAAAACATATATTGAGAAAAAAATTTGCAAATACCGCTGGATGGTTCACCTACAACTGCTTACCTTTATGTTGTAGGAATCTCACCTCAGTAAATTTATAAATATAAGCATCGATTTTATTTGTTTGTTTTTCGAGACAGGGTTTCTCTGTATAGCTTTAGAGCCTGTCCTGGAACTAGTTCTTATAGAGCAGGCTGACCCTGAACTAATAAGAGACCTGCCTGCCTCTGCCTCCCAAGTGCTGGGACTAAAGACATGAGCCACCACTGCCTGGCAAACATGTATTTTTAATACGGTATGATTATTGTAAAAATGCAACGTGATTATTGTTTGGTTCTTATTATTATTTCCCTTGTGGACTTTCATTTTTTCAATTTTATTTATTTTTCTTTTACATCTATGAGTTTTTGCATTATGGATGTCTGTGGACCACATGCATACAGGGCCTATAGAGGCCAAAAGAGGGAATTAGATTCTCTAGGACTGGAGTTGCAGATGGCTGTGAGTCACCATGTGGGTGCTGGGAATTGAACCAGGTCCTCTGGAAGAGCAGCCAGTGTTCCTGCCTCAGCTTTCCAAGTGCTGGTATTACCAGCAAATGCATAATGGCTGATCTAGCAAATTCTTTATACTGGTGAATAGTATTGGGTACAGATGTCCTAATACTTACTTTATCATTCTGCTAATTAGTGGACACTCGGGGAATGCTTCTATCTTTTTGCCAGTGTGATATTTAAACAGCCCTCACATGGTTATGTGTCCTCATTCCACAGAACAGACATCCAGACAAGAGAGAACTATGGTCAAAGGGACTATAACTTATTCATCTCAAATCATTTTCTAAAAAAGACTAGATCGACTCTTATCCCTACTAACTAGTGTGCATTTATCCCTTTAATTACTGCTGATAGGAACAAGTGAAAACTTTTGGTAACTCTCTGCCTTAACACTTCCTGAATGGCAGGGGTGGTCATTTTAACGTATGGGTAATTTTGTTTTTCTATATGAATCCCTCAATCTTTAATCTATATCTTAAAAAAAAAACAACACATAGCTGAATTGAAGTTTGAGGAAATCTGTTTTTTTTTGGGGGGGGGTTCAAGACAGGGTTTCTCTGTGTAGCCCTGACTGTCCTGGAACTTGTTGTATAGACCAGGCTGGCCTTGAACTCACCAGCTGGCTTGAGGAAATTGTACACACACACACTGCAGGCTGACCTTGAACTCTGGACTCTCCTGCTTTAGCCTCTCTAGTTCTAGGGCTACAGACACCACCATACTCACCTTGAGTTTTATTTCTACGTTTTTCTTTCTTCCTTTTTTTGTTTTTGTTTGAGAGGGGGGCCTCCCTCGTATATATTTCTGGCTGTCCTAGAACACGTTTTTATAAACCAAGCTGGCCTTGAACTCACAGAGATGCACCTGACTTTGTCTCCCAAGTACTGGGATTAAAGGGGTATACCACCTTGCCTGGTCATTTCTCCTTTTTTCTAAACAAATCTCCAAAATTTAACACAATCTACTTTCCTTTTTCTTTATTAAGGTTTGCTTCAAAAATTTAAATTTCAAGTTTTAAATTAACAAATAAAAATTATATATACTTATTTTGTGATTGTCTTAAAATGTTAACTATACAATGGCTAACTGAATTAACGTGTTTTTTGTGTTTGTTTAAAGAACATTTAAAACCTCCCAATGATTTTCCTATATTAATTATATTATGCTAATTAATCTTGCTATTAACTACAGTCACCATTTTGTAGTTTATCCTAACTGCATCCCTTAACCGGAATTTCCTCTTCTTACTCCCAGCTCCCCAACCCCAGGTTAACCATTGATCCTCTCTGATCAGTTCAACTTTGTGAGCTTCTGCAGTATTTGTCTTTCTGCACCAGCTCACAACTCTTAACATAATATCCTCTGGGCTTGTCCATACTGTCACAAGTGACAGGTTCATCTCTAATGAGTAATTAATGTCAAGTTTTCTTTCTCCCTGTTGATGGACACTTAGGTTGATTCCATGTGCTGGCTCTTGTAAGTATTTGGCATTAATAAACCTTCAGTTCCAATGCCTCTTTTCAACATGAGATGCATACACTCAATTTGTGGGTCATATGAGAGTTCTATATTTAATGCTTTTAGGAATCCTTACTTGTGTTTTATATAATGGCTGTATTAATCTAAGAACACTGGTAAAGGCTGATCTTTGCTCCACATCCTTGTCAACACTGTGTTGCTTTGATAAGTACTACTATCAGGTGTAAAGTGATGTCAACTGTGGCCTATAATTCTGAGTGCTTTTCTATGTACCTATTGGCTATCTGTACACCTTCATTAAACTTGGAACTAACTGGTCTCTGAAATAAAGGGTTTATGGAGGTACAGATGTCTATCTACAGGACACAGGTTAAAATCCCTGAGCCACCAGCAGCACGACTCTATAGCAACTGAGAAATTGTCCACTGGACCTAAGCATAGGGTCTATTATAGTGAAAATGTTAAATCATAATTTTTTTAAAAACAAACATACATTGTTTACTGAAAAAGATTCAGGGTGATGCAGATGGCAAAATCTTGGATACATTAGTCCATAAAGGAAGTTTCTGCTACAACCTATCCAGTTGGTTCCAAAAGCAAAATGCAGTGTGGCCCTATGAGTAATCTTCAACACTCAGCAAAGAATGGGTGCACTCCTCTCTGTTGACTTATTTTAAGGTATGATGGTGGGCCAGTGGTGCCACGGCTACAAGTTTGACTATGAATCACAAGATTCTAGCTTGAAGCTGAGTTAAAATCATTTCCTTTATCTCTGCCCCTCCCTGTCTGGAGATAAAATCATCTTCTTCTATCAAAACCTTCCCTGTCTGGCCTATAACTTTATTTGGGGCATCTCAGAATTCATCACTATCTTTTGAGAAATGTCTATTTAGATCCTTCTATTTCTTTATCAGTTCCTTCTATTTTACATGGTAACCCTCTATCAGATGTACAGTTTCTGAATATTCTCACATTAACACAGGCTGCTTCTTCACTGTTGACTGACCAGTGCTTGCTTTTTCTATTTGGTTATCTTTTGTCACCAACTCAATATTAGTAGTTTTAAATGCCCACTTTACACACTTAGGCAAGTCTGTAGGACATTTTCTTAATTAGTGACCATTCTTACACACAGAACATTAGTTTTTCTCTAAGTCTGCCCATTACCTTTTACGGTTCCTGTAGTCCCCTTAACTTAGAGCTGGCACTTAATCTTCTAGATCTTTATTTCATGTTTTATAAAAAAAAAAAAAACAAGTAAGTACAGGGTGGGAGAGAGATGGCTCAGCAGTTAAGAGCACTCAGAGGTCCTGAGTTCAATTTCCAACTATATAGTGGGTCACAACCATCTATAATGAGATCTGGTGCCCTCTTCTGGCCTACAGGCATACATGTAGGCAAAATACTGTATATATAATAAATAAATCTAAAACAAAAACCAAGTACAAACAACAAGGTCTTGGGGAAAGTACAAAGGTCCTTGGAAAATTAAATGACTACAAAGTTTTGACACCTCTTCGACAGCTATCTAGTGGCCTACCTGCATTACCAAAGTGTCTCTTGTTGGGGTGACTGTAGTTATCTCTTGGATGTCCATGCATCTGTGGACCATGGGAAGCAGGCAAATGAGGCTTCTGAGGATGAAGGTTGTGTGAGGTATGGGACTGAGACATCAGAGAATCCCGGCTTGAGCCCGAGGCCTCTGGTCGAAATGGTTTCTTACCACCAAGCGTATCATCTTTCTTCTTTTGTTCCTGGCAGAGTAAAAGGAAATTGAAGAGCTCAGGACCCTAGGCTTAATTCCTGAGAGCAGAATAAAGATCACCTCCCTAAACAGTTCCATCTTGTTCCTCTATACTTTTGAGCTGCCACCTAATAACTTCTTACCAAAACTACTTGTGAACTCTACTGAGCTCCATGGCTCCAACAGCCTAACAGGGGGTCAGCTGTCTGTGGACTATGACCTACTAGGTTACTGCAGAAAACCAGCCTCCACTAATAAGCACCCCACTATCCTGTGAGAATATGTTCTTGATAGTCAGGTGTACATAGCCTATCCCTGGGTAAGTAGTCAAGCAGTTGGCACTCTGAGGACTCTTGTGGCTACACAAAACCATGACTGCTAAATTTCCAAAGCTAACTAGAGTAAAGAACTACCACCCGTCAAATGGGAAGTTACATACCAAAGTCCTCAAGCTAGACACCTGATCCTGCAGCTATATCATTCCTTCATCCAAGTAAAAGTCTCAAAATAACACTTTTACAAATGTAAAGTGATTTAAAACCTAACCATGAGGGAAATGACTACTAAATAATTTGGCCCATACCTAAGCCTTTTGTGTATAAAGAATAGAAAAGAGGTATTTGGTTCTGTCCTTTCTTCACTTAGCACTGTGAAAATGTCTTCCCCTGCATGATGTTTAATACTACTGTATTTCATTTAATGTTTCACTATTTGACTAGTACTCTTTTGTTTGTTCTTGTTTTTTTGTTTTTCAAGACAATGTTTCTCTGTAGCTTTGGAACCTGTCCTAGAACTCACTCTGTAGACCAGGCTGGCCTCAGACTCACAGAGATCCACCTGTCTTCTGCCTCCCTATTGCTGGAACTAAAGCTTTGTGCCACCAACACCCGGCTAGACTACTAATCTTTAAGAATACATGACCATAATCTTCCCATTACTTTAGAGCATGCTTTAACCGTTGATTATTCCCTTAAACTAAATGTGTAATCTAAAAAGTGGTGACAGAGAAAGACTCCATGCTACAGAGCCTGAGTGGAGGGGCTTTTTACTGGGGAAAAGTGAATGGGAAAAGGGGGGGAGGCCAGCCTCTGGGGGCAGGAGCAGCAGAAGAGGAGAGAGAGGCAGAGAGGGAGGGGGAAAGAGGGAGAGAAGGAGGGAGAGGCAGAGAGGGAGGGGGAAAGAGGGAGAGAAGGAGAGAGAGGCAGAGAGGGAGGAGAAGGAGGGAGAGAAGGAGAGAGAGGCAGAGAGGGAGGGGGAAGGAGGGAGAGGCAGAGAAGCACACACACAGAGAGAGAAATACGGGGGGTGGGCAGAGACCTTTTTAAAGCGAACATAGTGAATGCGCACAGGTGGTGCTCTTAGTGGTGCAGCTGAGGGCAGGCCAGTGCAGCTGTCTGAATACTACCACTAAAACTCTCAGACGTAGAAGCATATGTTTTACTTTTCTGACAAATTTTGAAGAACTACTGTGCTGGTTAGTTTTATGTCAGTTTGACACAAGCCAAAGCCATCTGAGAGGAGCATAATAGAGAAAAGCTTTCATAAGACAGGGCTGTAAGCAAGCCTCAATGCCAGGAGGCCCCAACCTATGGTGGGTCCTTGAGCTGATAGTCCTGGGTTCTATGAGAAAGCAGGGTGAGCAAACCAGGAGGAGCAAGTCAATAAGCAGCATCCTCCATAGTCTCTGCATCCCCTCCTGCCTGGTTCCTGCCCTGTTTTGAGTTCCTGTCCCAAGTTCCTTTGATGATGAACGATAATGATGAGGCATAGGCCAAATAAATCCTTTCTTCCCCAACTTTGTTTTGTTCAAGGTGTTTTATCATAGCAGTGGTAACCCTAACCAAGACAACTATCCTATAACACACTCCCCACAGCTGGGTGTTGATACGATTGCCACTCAACTTCATGAGCCTCTGTAAAGTTCTCCACCACTATGTGCCCAACTTTAGATTCTCAACCCATTTCCCTCCTATCTCAGCCTTTCCGGACTATTTCATTCTTCTCTGGAATATTTCCTAATTATTAATCGCCTAATTCATGAATTTGTATAGTGATTAGAGGCCAAAGGGTAAAGGCACTCATCACTAAGCCTGACAAACTGAGTGTGATCCCTGAGACACACATTTTGGAAGGAGAGGAAAGCACAGATTCCTGCAGGTTGTTCATGGACACATGGGCATCATGGGGCAAGTGTTCACTCTTGAACTCCTGAGTTCTTGTCCTCTCTCTTCTCTCTTCTCTCTCTCTCTCTCTCTCTCTCTCTCTCTCTCTCTCTCTCTCTCTCTCTCTCTCTCTCTCTCTCTCTCTCTCTCTCTCTCTCACATATATGTATGTATATATATATATAATGTAAATTGTTATTATGTTTAGAATTTCGCTAATATATAATTACTGTATTATTCCTATTACTACTACATTATATTCTTCAGTGTAAAATTTGAGGGTATAATTCCCAGGTCAATAATGCATTAAGTTCACATTACAAATTCTTCTAAGTGCCCATGCTGGTCCTGGCACAACTATAGGCACTCAAGAAATGACAGTAGATGAGAAACAGTCTCTGTGTTCATGGGCCTGACACACTAGTATAAAAGTGGAACAATTTTTAAAATTGCTCCTCAATGGCTGGTTTGGATATGGACCATGTGGCTAAGGAGCAGATCTGCAGGAGGGTTTGTCTGCACCAGAACTGACTCTACAGCAGAAGCCAAGTCACCTTTATACCCATCTCCCTACTCATAAGCAAGGGTAACAACTGCTGGGCACTGCAAATATCTACTCCTTGGCATGAGCAATTTGGATTCTTCTATGTAAGAAACTGGATGGATACCAAGTACATGCCTATATAAGAATAGGAATAGCTTTTCTGCCCATGATCCTGGACTTAAGACTAGCCACATTAGAAGCTATAAAAAATGTATGTAAGAAGAAAGGGGCCTAAAAACAAGTGATCCAGGTCACGAGATCACAGGGTAACAACCCCTTGTCAGGACTTTAAGACTCTATTTGGCTCTAATGCACTGGCTACTTTACCTAGTAAACAACAGTCATACAGTCTAGCTACTCATGGAGAATGCTAGCAACTATACATGGCTACTTCAACGAATAATCACTTTGTTTGAAATTATGTTTGGATCCCAGGTGACCTGTGGTGGTTTCTGTCACCTGTTTGGGCTATACTGAGACCATGTAAAACACAGCCAAAGTGTCAGTGGCCTATCCACCATCAACAACCCCACAGATTTATCACTGCGTGCCCAGGGAAAAAACAAAAAACTAAGGGAATTCCTTGTGCAATTATTTTTTTTAAACATTTGTATAAATTAGGACTGGATTTATATTTTACCTCCTCTTCTTGAGATCTTTTCTTATGAGCCATCTTATATAACTTATGTAGTTTTCGTGCATCAAATTCTGTAAACTTGGAAACAAAAATCCATAGGTTCCTAAAAGAAAAATTGTACTAGTAAATTACACAATTTAAAAAGTGATTTTGTTGTTTTGTTAAGACAGGGTTTCTCTGTTTAGCTCTGACTGTTCTGGAACTCACTCTGTAGACGAGGCTGGTCTTCCTCTGTCTCCTGAGTGCTGGGATTAAAGGCGTGTACCACTGTCCCAGCTAAAAAGTGATTTTATTTTATGGATGGCAAGCTACTGAATTTTATTGTGAAATGTTCTTCAGATCCTTGCACTAAGCCAGGTGTAGAAGTTCATGCTGTAATCCCAGCACATGGGAGGGTTTCAGGTCATCCTCAGACTGGCAGCTATACAGTGAGTTAGTCTTTGCATCAGTAATATATCATTATGTGCTTCTGTCAAGAGCCCGACAGTGAGTCTTAAGGTGGATTGTCAACAGTTTTAGGAACCCGTAACTTCTACAGTGGCATCTACATCTCTACTTCCACAAGCTTTCCTTTACCTTCCCCACACTCAGGACTCCACCAAACACTGGGACCAACAGTCACCTGGTAACCTGTGTCACTGCCAAGCTTTCTTCCCAGTTGTCACCACTAAGGCCTGTCATTTCTTCCTTCAAACTCTCAGTAACTCCTTGTCCTAGCATGGCATTGCTGTATAGCATAGGAATGGCACACAGATGGGTATTTATACAGAGAGACCCTGGAAGTAGCAGTGAATCAGAAAAAAGTCTGTTCTCGTCCAAGCTTTCCAGCAAGCACTTTCACTGTGGCTATGCTGTGCTAGGCCGCTGACTAGTTAAACATAGTGTCAGGTAGAGAGCCATTAGCTTACTACGGCCTCTTACAGAGAACAACAGTCTTCTGAGCACCTTGCAACTGAGCCCTAAACATACCTAGTGCCCTAGCTATCCACTTTCAAGCCTCTGCTGAAGCCTTGACCATGCTCATTTAGCATTTCTGCTTAGCTTGTCACAGTTCAAGGTAGTCAGCTTCCCTGGCCTCCCTTCTGCAGGCATGTGCTTTTCTGTTTTTTAATTTCCATTTATTATTTTATGTTTATGGGTGTTTGGTCTGAGTGTATCTCTGTGTACTATGTGCATGTCTCGTGTCTGTGGAGGCTAGAAGAGGGTCTGGAGTTCTTGATGGCTGTAAGCCACTATATGGGTTCAGGAATTGAACTTGGGTCCTCTTGAAGAAGAGCAGGTACTCTTACTGATGAGCCATCTCTCCAGTCCTGTAAGGGCCACTTTCTTTACACAACTTCTAAAACTGCTTCCATGTCTTTTAAATAGTTTCTATGGAATTCATAACTTGTACTATTTTTGAACTTTTGAAAACAAAGGACTTTTTAATGAACTGCTGGTGATGGGATATTTAAACACCAACAGATCCAAGTACATAATAGGAAGTCTAAGATGACCTACTGTTACCCTCCCATCTGGAAAAAGAAACGTAGATGCAAACAGTGTTAAGAGGACATAAGTGACCATGTCTTGTACTCAGAGATGTGGGCACGCTATCATTAGCATCATGACTGAGGTTTCTGAAAACCTACTTTTCATTCAAGATCAATCTACTAAAATAGACTACAAAGATGCATTAACCATGAAGTACATGGACTCAGAGTAAATATAGTTTATAGAAATAAACTTAGCATAAGCTTTTCAAAATCCCTTCTAGTACTGTGAACTTAAGCCAGGGCTTTGTACATGCTAGGTAGGCACATATCCACAACAAAGCTACATCACCAGCCACCCCCGCCCCTTTTATTTATTTTTCGAGACAGGGTTTCTCTGTATAACAGTCCTGGCTGACCTGGAACTTACTTTGTAAACCAGGCTAGACTCAAACTCACAGAAATCCACCTGCTTCTGCTTCCTGAGTACTGGGATTAAAGGTATGTGCCACCACTCCCCGGATTCATTTTTCCTTTATTTTAAGACTGAGTCTCACAGGGTTGGCCAGTCTGACCCTGATCTCGAGCTATATAGGCCATGAAGGTCTTAATCTTTGATGCTCCTGCCTCAACACCCTGAGCAGCTCAATTAGAAAACTGTGCCACCATCTTGACTATCATTACAGTTGCTTTAGAAAGTTATCATTTCTTCAAAATATCTAAAGGGAATACAGGTTGAGGGTCCCTATTTGGAAATCCCAAGACCATTGAATCAAGAGGTAACTTACAGTCTTACCCTCATATGATGGGTCACAGTCAAAATGCAGATACATTGTACAAATAAATAAATAGATAGATACATTGTACAGGAATACATTAAGTATATATGAATTAAAAGTGAATTTTGTATAAGATTTGATTCCCCCTCCCAAGACTTATGTTTATGAGTATTTCAAAATCTAAAATATTTCTGATTCTAAGCATCTCTGTCAAGGCATACTTAACCTGTTTATAAATTAATACATACATATATAAGCCATATAGTCTAAATTGCTACTAGGGCTTTTTAACTAAAGGAGATGGAAATGGAGGGCCCCCGTTCATGTGCTTCGATCTCTGTTTCACTTGGGAAAAGAGAACAGCAATTGAGAAGAAGTCCTCACCAGTCTGGCCTGTGGGAAAGCCTGTCATACATTTTAAAAAATCATTTATTTGTGTATTTTTACTTTATGTGCATTGGTGCTTTGCCTGCATGTATTTCTGTGTGACAGTGTTGGGGTCCCTGGAACTGGAGTTATAGACAGTTGTGAACTACCATGTGGGTGCTGGGAATTGAACCTGGGTCCTGTGGAAGAGTAGTCAGTGCTCTTTGTTGTTTGTTTTTCCAGAAAGGATTTCTCCAGTATTGTTTTGGAGGCTGTCCTGAAACTCACTCTGTAGACCAGGCTGGCCTCGAACTCACAGATCCGCCTGCCTCTGCCTCCCGAGTGCTGGGATTAAAGGTGTGCACCGTCAACGCCGGCTTGCGCCACCAATGCCCGGCTGAGCAGTCAGGGCTCTTAACTGCTGAGCCATCTCTCCAGTCCCCGTACATTTTCTTGATAGATGACTGACATGTGAGAAGACCCAGCCCACTGCAGGAAGTGCCACTCCTGGGCCAGTGGTCCTGGGCTCTACAAGAAAGCGAGCTGAGCAAGCCATGAGGAGCAAGCCAGCTCAGGTCTCCAGGTTCCTGCTCTGCTTTACTGCTTGCCTTGACTTCCCTCAGCAATGAAGTATGACCTGAGAGTCATAAGCTGAAATACACTCCTCCTCAAGTTGCTTGTGGTCATAGTGTTGTATCACAGTAATAGAAACAGTAACTACATATAGAACCAACCAATTTCTTATAGAAGATATAATAATACATAAATACGAGATGAGTAAAGTATTACTTTAGTTTCTATGTCTTATGGGTTTAAAGCAGATATTCTGAGAATAAGCCAGAAAGTCGATTACTATTATTATCTCCCTCTTACAAATTACATTAATAGCAGAATCTTGCCACATCAGAAGCTGGTCTTAACAAAAAGGCTTATTTCATGAAAAAAAGTTGAGGCCTACAGATATGTTGTCAACAGATAAATTCTGTTGGCAAAAGATTTATAGGTGACTATGCTATCTATTTAAAAAACAGAGCACGGCCGCACACTGTCAAATGAAACTAGGGAGATTCAGGCCAGAGTGGATTACCTCCTCCACAATTTGATGTGCTCCTGGTCTGAATAAGCTTTAAGGCACTCGGCTATGCGGTCTCCGATTTTAAGCAGGCAGTTCCTGGTATGTTCCAGCTGTTCTTGCACACTGAGTCCCTTGTCAGGTTTGTCCAACTGTTTCAGTGCCTTTTTCACAGGCCTCATCCTCTCTTTGCACTGGAACAGACCAACAGAGGCAATGAGCCATTGCAGGGGAAAGAGTTCAGTTATCATGTCCACACTCAAGACTCAAGAAAACACACCCCACCCTCATGCTGCTCATCACTACAGGAGTGGGTGACACCAGTGGGATGGGACAAGTGCAGATACATAGAAACTCTGAGGGACAAGTGCCGTCACCATATTTGGGGTTATGTGAGGGCCTCTGATACCTGACTTAGCCTCTCTGAATGCTCTGTTTCCTCATCTGCAAGAGGGTTGTAGCCACTAAGAAGACCAAATGTAAGACAGTATTATAGGCTTAACCTGAAAACCATGATCATCAAGTTTCTTAATAATGAAAAAACAAAAACACTGCACTATGTGGTAATTTCCTCAGCTAGAAACTCAGGAGCATTTTTCAGTAATTAACTTCAACTTTTAAAATGGAATAAAAAAGACACTACAAATTGGAAAACAAAAACGACTGTGAAAATTTTAAAAAATGCATAAATGATTTTTAAAGAAGAGAAATTACCATGTAGCTCCAGCTAGTCTGGAACTTGCTATGGAGCCCAAATTGGCCTTGAGTTTGTAATCTTTGTGCATCCATCTCCACAGCAGGGGTTACAAACATGGGCCACCACACTTAGCCACATATGTACCTAATATGAGCAAGACCCTTGATTCAAAACCCAGTAACACAGGGGCTGAGAGAAGGCTCAACGGTTAAGAGCACTGGCTGTTCTTCCAGAGGACCCAGGTTCAATTTTCAACACCCACATGTCAGGTCACAACTATCTATAATTCCAGTACCCTGGGATCTGATACCATCACATAAAATAAAGTTAAAATAAATTATTAAAAAACAACACAAAACCCAATAACCCAAAAAAGGAAAGCAGTACCACAGAACCAGCAAATATTACTTTGTTCATAAGCAATAGATTAAGGAAGAATAGGGAAATGATGAATTTATCATTGATTATTAATCAATTCAGTCACTTATCGATACTTTTCTAGTACCTACATGAACTTCATACAAAACACAATGCTCACGTAAAATAAAAGAAATTAAGAAAACTGACTTAACTACAAAGAAAACAAAAAACACATGCAAATATGTTTTAGATTATACAGAGAAAGGTCAAAAGACCTCACAGAACTGGTTCAATCTTCTCTCCTTTGTCAGTCCAGATCAAGATTATTTTCATATTTCAAAGAAGCCAGCTTTTTCTTTAGCCTGAAAGAGTTGTTGAAGTGAGCCCTGACTTGCGGACGTTTGGAAAGAGAACAGAGAGCTGTGGAACACATAAAGGACAGTAGCATATTCCCATCCTTCCACGGGGAAACAACTGTACTTCCTGGCCCAGCTCTTAGCTCCACAGTATGGAAGCAGCTGGTCTGTCTCGATCCACCACTCTAGCCACAGAAGCCACCATCGGGTCCTCAAATGCAGCGCACATGCTCCTGCCACCCTGGCATATCCATCTGGCTCTTCCCCTACTGTCTTTTACTCTTCCTTCGGAACCCAATCCAGACATCACTCCTCTGGCCTTCCAGACTGGATCAGATCCCTTCTTACTAGATCTCCACAGAATCCACTGTTTCTCCTACATACCCTATCCTAAGAGTTCCAACATGATTCAGGGAGTTATCTATCTGCCTATTATTATTCAGCTTAGTCACTGATACTATTTTCCCCATAAACAATAAGAATAGGAAAATTCTTCTTAGAGGTGGGTTCTCAAAATGTTCTGTTTTTCCATCCAGCACATTTCGATTTCTCAAATGCTTCTGAGAACCCTCTAAACCCTGCAGGTTCCTGGTCAGGTGTGGTACATACATACTCATAAAAACAGGTATACAAGACATCCTACCAGTCTGGTCCAAAATACAGTATGCAAACATAATAAATAAGCAATATACTTCCAAAACAACACACCAATTAATGTTTACACCCACCGAAGCTCTGTGGATGTGCCTGTGAAGGGCAGAGCACAACACTGTGCCCAGCATCAGCATCCTCTATTTCAAGACTTACAATGCTGAAGGTTTCCTGGTCCAGATCATCATCTTCATCCTCCCCAATGGGAACAGGCTCACTTCCTGCTGTAATGTGGACGGGACCCTGAGATCGCTTTGATTTACTTGAAGACTTGGCATCACCACCTTTAACCTTTCAAAAGAGTTACAAACAGTCCTTGTCATTTATAAACGCTTGAAATCTACATAGACTTCTTTTTGTTTTGCTTTATTTTATTTGTTGGTGATGGTAGTTGTGTTCCTATGAGAATATGTGTGGGCATGAAAGAGTTTTTAAATGTACCACACCTGTGCATGAATCTGCAGAGGCCATAAAAGGGTACCAGAACCCCAGAAACTGGAGTTACAGGACATTGGAACCCACTGTGTGGGTGCTGAGAACTGAACCTGGGTCATCTGCAGGAGCAGCAAGCTCTTAACCACTAAGGATCTCTCCAGTCCTACAATCCAAGACTTCTTACTTGTGGGGTATTGCTAGAGCAAGTAAATATGATGACCTCAATTTACACAAACCTACAAGATTAATAGCTGACTTATAACTCTTCCTATTTCTGGCTCTAAAGGTACTAAACTACAGCTTCAAGTTTACCAATATAATTTGTAGAAATATCATGAAGGGATAAAGAATCCATACAGAACTCCCCAGAATATCATGCAGCAGCCTTTTCTAACAGCTATTTTTGATCTGGGAATCTGTATTAACTGCATTACTGTAAAGGCTGTAAGTCAAGAGGAATATGCATAGAGACCAAAATTAGGAAATGTTTAGAAACATAAATGGGGTCCCTGGAGAAATGGCTCAACAGTTAGAAAGTTTGCTCTTACAAAGGATCCTGGTTTGGTCCCCAGCACTTACATGGAGGCTTACAAGTGTCTCTATCTCCAGTCCCAGGGATCTGACACCTCTGTGGACTCTTGCCTGCTTCCCGTCCTCATACATACACTCAGGCACACACACATAAACATAAAATGAAAATAAATACTGCGTTCAAGGCCAACCTGGTCTACACAGTGAGTTCCAGGACAACCAAGGCTACACAGAGGAACCCTGTCTTGAAAATCTAACTAAATAAATAAATATAATAAAAATTTTAAAGCACAGGTAACATTATGCCACATCAACTTTATAGTAATAATTATGAGGAAATGGGGAAGAGTGATCTGATCAGAAAGGTATCTGGATATTCACAATATATTCATGAGATACAAAATGCATTAAGCTAGAGGGGAAAGCCACTTAAACTAAACATGAAACAATGAAAATATGCAAAGTGGTGGCATATGCCTTTAATCTCAACACAGAGAAATCAGAGGCAGGAGGATCTCTAATTTCTAGGCCAGCCAGGGTTATGTAGCAAAAATCTTCCTCAAAAAGAAAAAAAAAAAAAACAAACAACAAAGCCAAAAAACCATAATGAAACATTATTCTGATACAGTTGCAAAAGAATTTATCATAATATAGTTTCTTTTTTATTCCAAGACTTACTATTTTTATTTATGTGGATGTGCCTTCCTGACTTCATATGTAGCACATGTGTGCAATATCCACAGAGGCCAAAAGAGGACCAAAAATCCCGAGAACTGGAGTTACAGATGGTTGTGAGAGCTGGTACCTGAACCCAGTTCTTAACCAGTGAGCCATCACCAGCACCTATAATATAGTTTCTAGCATTAAAAACTGGAAAGTAATTTTAGTATGAAACTTAAATGGATTCCACTACACACGGCCAAACAGAATCTGCCATGTCTGTTACGAATGACGTTACCATCTGTTTTTCAGTGGTAAGGTGGTTTGCAATATACTTCTGTGTGGAGAAAAGAGGATACCCAATGGTCTGAGCTGACCATTATTGTATATGTGTATTTTGTTGTTGTTGTTGTTGGTTTGTTTGTCTTTTTGAGACAGGGTTTCTCTGTATAGCCCTGGTTGTCCTGGAACTAAATTTGTAGACCAGGCTCAAACTCAGAGATCTGCCTACCTCTGTCTCCCAAGCTCTGAGATTAAAGAGGTGGGCCACCCCTGCCCAGCCATATTCTGAGGGGAAATTTACAAAAGTCCCAAGAAGTTAAGATGTGAAGGGCCGGAGAGGTGACCCACAGGTTATGAACACTGGCTGTTCCTCTTAGAGACCTGAGTTCCAGTCCCAGGACCCTCATGGGAGCTCACAACAACCTGTAACTCCAGTTCCAGGGGATCCAGTGCCCTCTTTTGGCTTCTTCAGGCACGCATGTGGCACACAGATATACATGCAAGCAAAACATCCACACACATAAAATTTAAAAATGTAAATTAAAAAAGTCAAGGTGCCAATAAATGACAGAATTACAGCTGTGACTTGCTTGGAGCAATGGTTAAGGATAGATTACAAACATTTCTCTTCACATTTCACCAAGCATGTAACTGAACTGTATCAATTCTTTTATTGGTGTTGTTTTTGGTTTTTTTTTTTGAGACAGGGTTTCTCTGTTTTGGAGGCTGTCCTGGAGCTCACTCTGTAGACCAGGCTGGCCTCAAACTCACAGAGATCTACCTGCCTCTGCCTCCTGAGTGTGTTGGGATTAAAGGCGTGCACCACCAATGCTCGGCGAACTGTATCAATTCTGTTTTATAATGAACTTCACAAAACTCCAACAGGAAGGCTTTTTGGCCAACTATCCCAGTGGCTGTTGATGACATGTGGTATTTGGCTTGAATCCTAAACTCTTCAAATAACCATGATTGTGTGTAGATTGTATCCTTCTGACATTATAATCTAAAACCTATACTTCATATTCTCTCACTTGTCCTGTCTCATTCCAAATACCCCTCCCCAATATGCAATGGCAGATAAACAAAGGCCTTCTACAATAGGGAAGCCGGGCAGCTTTTCTGTATGGAGGGTGCAAGGATTCTTTACACATCCAGATACCTTCCTTCCTGGATATACTCAAGGACAGTTTGCTCCTATGCTCTTTAAAATCCAAACAGAACTCCCGAGACCAGTATGTCGGATACCTTCTCTTTCTTGTCCTTGGACTTCTTCCTGTCTTTGTCTCCTTCCCTGTCCTTCCGAGAACTCACGGGTTTCTCTTTGTTCTCTTTGTTCTCTTTCTTCTTCTGCTTTTTTTTCGTTGGACTTTTTTCTAAGCCATCATCCTAGGAAACAGAAAGCCATGAACTTTTTCAGTCTTCTGTTCTTAGTTTGTTTCTAAAGGAAGCTCATCACTGAACAGAAACTTACATCACTTTCAGTCAGACCCTACCAGGACTCACTTGCATTATTCTGAATCCATTAGACTTGCTCAAGCAGACACCATTCCATCCTCTAATCTAACTCAAAGCTACTCTTTAAGGCACTGACTGAATGGAGTTTAGCCAGGTGTGCATGAGGCTCTGACTTAGATCCTCAGAATCACCCCTCCCCTAAAACAATAGCATTATTGTCCCCATTTTACAAACAGAAAAAATTGAGGACCAAAGAAATACTACACATGTCCAGGGTCAGCTAGTAACTGACAAGGCTGCTAGTACCTGCATTTGAGAACATGCATCTGAAAATATGTTAGTCCTATACCCCCTGGGGCCCTCCTGAAAGAATTACATTCACAACAATAAAATAAAATCTTACAGAGTTATCACTCACTGAAAAAATATTGTACTTCTACTTTCTTCAGACTAGATTACAAATTGGCAAGCTAATGAAAAAGTCCAACCTCGAGGGAACCTTCAATTAATTGAACTACATTATGTAAGTCTTAAGTCCCCTGGTTAACCAGTCTCTACCAATCTCCATCCTCTAAAATGGAAGTAATTACTAACTGCCATTTATCATGGTTTGTATCATTTACTTCAGTTGTGTAAGAGTTTACAGTTGCTTACTTAAGATGAGCCATTATGTGGTGGTTTGAGTAAGAATGGCCCACATTTGGATGTTTAGCCACCAGGAGTGGAACCTCTGATAGGAATAGAAGGATTAGGAGATCTGGCCTCGTTGGAGAAAGTGTGCCACTGAGGGTGGCTTTGAAGTTTCAAAAGCACATACAAGCAGCGCCCCTCCCACTGTGTGCGCACGCGCCTGCACGTGCATGCGTGCAGTGGATCAGGATGTAGCTCACAGTCACTTCTCCAGCACCATGCCATGATGATAATGAGACTAAGGAAACCCCAAATTAAATGCTTTCTTTTATAAGAGTTGCCTTAGCCATAGTACAGTGACTAAGGCACAACTATCTTCCTTGACAGATCAGGTGAGATAAACATATTCTATGTGTTCTGTATGGAAACAAATACATCCCATGACTTCCCGCAGTCCCATACCTTCACTTCTCCCTCTTCAGACGGGTTGTCTGACTGTCTTGGAGACGACAGCTCAAGCCCGTGCTCATCCTTCGGCCTGGGAGCTTTGTTTTCCTTCTTTACTCGAGGCTTCCGCTTTTTTAGTTTGGTCTAGGAAATAAAAATACCAGAAAATACAAATCACCCCCAACCCAATAGCATGACCAAGAAATATTCTGGCCAGCTGATGCAGTAACAGCCACATAATCTAAACAAGATACTTTAGGAACACAAGGGTACAAGCCATTCTACCTGAAAGAAAATAAAACTGAACAAAATCACCTACTAGCCTCTCCCTAGCCTATACTATGTTAAATGTCTGTATTCCTTAAAAATATTGATTTCATTTTTGGAATTCACCCTAAAGGTAAAACTCCCAGAAAACGTTAAGACATTTTATGTATAAAAATATAATTAACATTGAAGGTGACAGTATTAACTCTTGAAAATTAAGTATCTAAAACTAAGAAAAAGGTTAAAATATTGTTTATCTAGTCAATCAAATAAGCAGTATAAGCATGATCTAACTTACCTCTATAGAACTTAATATATCAGAATTATATTCTCACTATACTATCTATAGAATAGTACTGTGTACTTAAAATACCACTGTGTAGAACAAATGGAAGTTCTATTTACTGTATACATACATGTATACATGACACAGCTAGGGAGCACATAAGCAACATGCCCACACAAAGTACAAACAGACTTAGATTCTGTCTTCTATGACTCTCTATTGTGGGGAAATAAAGATGGGAACTTTCCAATGAATTCATTAGCAACTTGGTATTTTTCAGTGAGCCAAGCATAATCAAAACTGAAGTCCAATTTCTGAAATTAAGTGTGGAATTCAACTGTCTATTCCTGGAATCCATTATCACAGCAGCCCAGGCAGATATCAAAATATGTCCCCAACTGAGGACACAGAATAGGAAAGAATACGGGCGGTCCAAAGAGGTGTATAATACTCTGCTGCAGTACTTAAGTGGAACTGTAAGAAAGGTGCCAAGATACTGAGTTCAATTATCAACAGAGCATTTTGTTCTTGGCAACCTCAAAAGCCACCTCTGACCACGAGAGCACTGTCAGGATCTGTGCAGTACCTGGAAAGGTCATCTCTTGGACAACTTAGCTCTGCAGAGTCACAGGCTCCCCTGGGGAAAGCCAGCTGGCAGCGCCCTCCCTCCCTCCCTCCCTCCCTCCTTCTCTCCCTCCCTCACTCACTCACCTCCTCCCCACTGGTCACAGTGCCCTTCTTCTCCAGACCCTTCCTGAGCAGCTTCAGCAAGTAGTCCACTCTGGTCTGCAGCTGCTTCCCTTGAGGCTTTTTATCTGTCTCCACTGGCAGAATCTTCAACAGCAAAGGAAGAGAAGCACCCGCCACCACCCACGGCCTGGTTAGTGAATCCGGATAAACAGACAACAAAGAACTTAGCACAGTCCTTTCCCTCCCAACCACCCGAAACACAGATTAAAGCCTCAGATCCTATTCTCATGTCCATGGCTCCCAGTCACTGAAAATCCCTCATGAGCCATTCTCGTTTTACAAAATGGGATGGAGAAATCCAGCTCTCCCACTGGCTCCTACCTGTGCTGTTAACAGGGTAGAACAACTCAGGTAGGAGGGGCTTGTGGCTTCATCTGCTAGAGCATCCCAGCCGTCGTGGATTTCCTCCTTCCAGGAGCAGGGAATCCCTGGAGCTAGGTTAAAGCTTCGTTTTAGATTGAAAATGCTTCTTAGAGCATTGCCGGAGAGCACTGAGCTATGCCAGGACATGGTCTGTTCGTCTACCACAGCTGGACCACTCTGGCCAGACTGGATTTGGTCTCAGTGCTTCTTAGCAGGGTGCTGTCACCCTGCTAACCCCAGGTGGGATGAGCAGTGTTTAACGTGCCAGGACAAAGCCCTGAGAGGACCACAACATGGAGTGGATCTGGTCAGCTGCCCTTGCCTACAGCTCTAAGCATACCTTGCTACTTGAAAGAGATGAGTGGGAGGCTCAATTTTGTGGGAGAAGTACAATCAAAGTTCAATTTCATTACAAAAAATACCAAGGTGACACTCACTCATGCTCTGTGTACAGAGATGAAAAGATGTTAAACAATGGGCTGATAAGGAAGGCCCAGAAATGCTTTCAGTCCCAGTAAACTGACCTGGTATTTGCTGTAATGAGAATTGGCCTGTAATAGATACCAGAATTTTAAGATTTCTCCTATATAATTTCCTCTGGTTGTCATCTTTCCTTTTATCATCATCTAGGAAACATGCCACAGTCCACTAAAGGTGGTAACTTCCCAAAGATAGAGAAACCCCCCCATATTGAAAACAGTTAAAGATAAGTCACCAATACAAAAATCTTACACAACAAATCTAGAAGTGTCCAGCATGGCAGTTACTTACTTTATCAGTGAGCTTTAGCTCTGGGTCTGTCTTAATTAGCTCCCAGTTTCCATAACCATGTTCATAGATCCCAAGCAACAGACGAGAATCATCCTCCACGCCCCACTCGACATCAAAATGTGCCGCTTTGACCCGGCAGGTTAAGCAGTATCTACAGGGGTTCAAAACCAAGGGCCTGAGAAAAGGGGAGCTTTCCAACATGTTGAAGAAGCATCCCAACCGCACACAGCTCTAACCTCATTCTATGTCCAGCCAGCCATGCGGTTGGTTACATGGTAAAGACACTCACTTTTTTTTTTCCTCAGGGTCCACAGGGATAGATTTATGCAGCATCTCAAACTCTTCTTCGTGTTGGATAATGGACTTCACATTAACCTGAACCCCAGAGATCTTGATTGTCGGGCCTCTTCTCTTGCCTGGTCCTTTCCCTAAAGGATATAAATTTTATATTCCTTAACTGAAAAAGATCTCTACTATCAAACTCTGACTTAGTCCCTCTCTCTATAACCTCTAGCGTATTATTAGGTCAAAGACAGAACTTATAAGAGAAATTTGTTTTCAAATAATGTTTATAAATTTTAAGCAATATTTTAACATTTGGAGTCTTAAACTTAGTTAACAGAACACTCTAAAGACATATTAATGCTAACTTTTAGAAAAACGAAAAGTAAGTGCTTTAGATGACTCCTATTTATCTTCAGTTATTCTAGATAAGTATGAGCTCATGTTAAAGCTAACACACTGAATTAATAAAGACTGACCGTCACAGGTGGCATCTGGAAATCATAATTCATCTACAAGTAAAATAAAAACCACTCTAACCACAGCCTAAGTTGAAAGCTACAAGAAAATCAAGATGCCACTTTTTTGTAAGAACAAAGATGATTCTCAGTAGAAAAATTAGAGAAATGAGTATCGACAGTTTATGTAAAACAACACATAAACATCTATCTTAAAAGATACAGCCTCGCCGGGCGTTGGTGGCGCACGCCTTTAATCCCAGCACTCGGGAGGCAGAGGCAGGCGGATCTCTGTGAGTTCGAGACCAGCCTGGACTACCAAGCGAGTTCCAGGACAGCCTCCAAAGCCACAGAGAAACCCTGTCTCGAAAAAAAAAAAAAAAGATACAGCCTCATTCACAAAGAAAAAAAAGAAAAAGGTCCTCTTTCTCACCTATCAGGATAGCAAAAATCCCAATGTTTGCCAGGTGTGGTGGCACAGATCTTTAATCACAGCACTTAGCAGGTAGAAGCTGGGGGATCTCTATGAATTCCAGGACAGCCTGATCTACAGAGTGAGTTCCAGGACATCCTAGTGTACACAGTAGTCCCATGATAGCTTGTATTACATAGAGACAACCTGTCTCACAAACAAACAAACAAAAATAACACCACAATCTGTTTGTGAAGCTTGCCAACAGGTACTACCAATCATCCGCTGGTAGTATCAGACCAACACAGGAGAATCTAGTGATACCAAAGCAAACTCTTCAGACATTTACCTTAGGACCCTGCAATCCCACTTGTAGAAATCTATCTTAAAGAAATTCTGGCAGAGATACAAAGAAGACTATTTAGTAGAGCACATTTATTTCTTGTAACTTTATTGATGATGCAAAAAACTGAGAATAACTCAAATACTTAGAGCTAAGGGACAGAGAAGAAGAGATGTAAAAGAAGACCACGACTGCATGGCATACTGGGCAGGGCACATGATCTCTATTCTCTTCTGTATATGAACAGAAATACACGCACTTAGGTTTTAAACAAGCAATAGAATAAATTCAAAATTAACAAGGAAGCAAACAGATGGAAAATGACGATGAAAGCAGGATCCTCCTCTACGTGAATTTTGTTCTATAGTTTTGATTTTGAATCATTTCCATGTAAATTATTTTTAAATCTCTGAAAAAATAACAACACTTAAGTCAGGGGTGGTATTGTTGCAATGGCAGCACTGGGGAGGCTAAGTAAAAGGACTACCAGGTTTCCATCAGCTTGAGCTACAGCAAATACCAGACAAGTCATGGCTACAAAGCAAGACCCTGTCAAGAAAGGCAGGAAAGAAAGCAGGCAGGTAGGAAGCTGGTTCAATTAAAATAAGAAAGGTAATTCCTAAAAGTCAAACATAGATGAGAAGAAAGTCTGAATTCAGTTGATGACACAATCACACACAGAACTTCAAATGACATGTATTCTAAATACAAAAAGATATGCAAAGAAAGAAAACTTTGCATTTGCAAGTCTTGTCAGCAATAAGGTTAATATTGAGGGCCAGAGCATGGTGATGCAAACCTATAATCTCAAGAGATAGAGACACATTGGCCCCACAAAATTCAAAGCCACGAGGGCTGCATAAGGAACACACACACACACACACACACACACACACACACACACACACACAATACTGATATTTGGAAATGCATGTATACAATGTGAGAAAAAGCAGGCACATAATTACATTAACAACAGAATCAATAATCTTACACTGGAAATAGAAATGCCAATCTAGCCTCAAAATACACTAGATGCGGGCTACAGGAAATAGAAATTCATGAGAAGTAAGCCAATGTCAGGAAGAAGCAATAAGCCACAACCAGAACAGAAACATGTATAAGAAAAAGAAGATGTGGAACTGTATGTAATAAGGGAGGAAATCTCCAAAATGGAAATGGGGGAAAAAAAAAACCAGAACAATGCACACATGCATGGTATGCTCCCTTTGAATTGTGTTAGAAAACGAAAACAGCCACTCGTACCAGGGACTGAGTGCTATAGGGTTGTACAAATGCTTTCTGACTGAATCCAAAACCTCCTCCAGGTAGGAATTCTACTACTTTAAGCCTGGTAGTCATAGGTCCTAGTGGAGATTCTACTACTGTTGTTTTGCTAGACAGTATCAAACTGCCTTTTAAACGGTTAGATTTTTACCCGTACATTAGTGCTACTCAGCTTTGGTCACAAGTTTCTGTTTGCAGTGAGCACAGCTTAAAACAGAGATGCATAACTGGTCAAAGTTGAGTCTTGAGGGTTCTGCCTTTCAGGACATCTTTATTGCCCTTCCAAGGCTCAAAGAGCATAACTGGAATGAATGTTAAGAGCTGGAGAACAGGGAATAGTATTGTGAAGTCCAGTCTTCTCGACTCAAAGCAGCTGTGGTCACCCATCTAAGACCCATCCCACCCTCCCGAAGGAGTTGTTGGCAGTTAATGGTTTTGGGAGAAGAGGAATTGTTTTCCTCCGTGGAGAAGCCAATGATAATGCTGATGCTCCACTAAAAAAAAAATCTCTGGCCTAAGTACAAAGCATCCTAACTAAGCTCAGTGAGTCATAAGATAACCCTGGAAGTCCAAGGGGAACTTGTTCAGAAGAAGCGTCCAACAGGAGTGGAGGGGATGAGAGGCAAGGAGGAATAAAGATGGGGAAGTACGTTACAAACTCATATGAACTTGTGACAGTATATTTAAAACGTTAAACAGCAGTAGCTGCTCTTTTTAACAATTCTTTTTCATTTCTCAGCTGGTACAGTGCTTCAAAACCTGGCTCAGATCTTTAGCACTGCGTTAAATCAGGTATGGTTGTATACTTCTAAAACCTCAGCACTAAGAGTTAGAAGAAGTTAGCTACACAGTGAGCCCATGGGCAGCCTATATTCTACAGGAGGCTCTGCCTCAAAAAAATAAAAACAGCAAAAATAAAATAAACATATGAACTTAAAGTTATTTCTAGGTATCTTTGAATGTTATGAAAGCACATAGTCAAGCCACTATTAAAATCATTCAAACTATCACATTCCTTTACAAAAAGAAAGATTAAAACGGCTTCACTATATCTGAAATGTTTTTAAATTCTGCTAATTTCTAAAATAGCCTTAAAAGTAAAATTCAGAGTAAATACTTGTTTCTTTACCTAGTAAGAACAGCCAATACTGTAAGCCATACTCTAGACAATCACTGTAATGTATGGAATCATTAGTCATGCAACACTCTGGTTACTATGAAGGCATATAACTAAGGGCATTGTAACTAAGAAAAAGCAGTATCAGACTTGCAGGCAGCTAGCTGACTCCTGTCCCTGAACACCCCATGACAGAGTCGTCAAAGGTAGTGCTACAGAGCAGAGCAAACAGTAAGAAAAGAATGGGTGAGTGACACATACAGACAAGGCCCAGGACCCATGAGGGCATTTGGGGTTTTTGTTCTTGTTTTGTTTTTTTTGTTTTTGTTTTGTTTTTTTTTTTTGTTTTTTTTGGTTTTCTGAGAGCAGGTTTCTCTGTGTAGCCCTGGCTTTCCTAGAGCTCGCTCTTATAGACCAGGCTGGTCTCGAACTAACAGAGCTCCACCTGCCTCTGCCTCCTGAGTGCTGGGATTAAAGGTGTGCACCACCATCACCTGGCGATATCTGCATTTCTGAGCGCTACCACTTTAGTGCTCTGCTCTCCATAACGTCTCTAGTCATAATTCATAATCATCCTACTATGTCTGCAACTCCGAAAGTGTAGTCTCTAATTATAAACCACTGTCCGTTCTTCCAAAGACTGGTGTGTTGGTTAATTTTTGCCATGACACATGCTAGAGGCATCGAGGAAGGAAACATCAAGTGAAGGTTTACCTCCATCAGACTGGCCTGTAGGCTTGTCTCTACGGCATTTTTTGTGATTAGTGACTGATATATGAGGGCCCAGCCCACTTTGGATGGCGCCAGCTCTAGGCACCTGCCCCACGTACTTCCTGGGTTATATAAGAAAGAAGGCTGAAGAAGCCATGGAAAGCAAGCCAGTAAGTAAACAGTATTCCTCCATGGCTCCTGCCTCTGCTCCTGTTTGAGTTGCTTCCCTGACTTCCCTTAATTATGATAAAATCAGTCCTCCCCAACATGTTTTTGGTCAGTGTTTATCACACAACAGAAGCAAACTGGGACAAACATTAGTGCTGCTGCTGTGAAGAACCAAACCACGTTAGTTTTTAGAGGAATAGTGCTGCAAGCCATGTGGACTATGGAGACCAAACTCAGAAGGTTTCAGAGGGGACCAATACTAAAAACTGGGCTACAGGCCATTTGTGCAGTGCTTTGGCAAGAATTTGGCCGTCTTCTGCCCCTACCCTGAGAATGTACCCAAGGGTAAATTAAAAAGCAATGAGCTGGCAGAGCGGCACAGGCCTTTAGTCCCAGCACTGGAAGGAGAGGCAGAGAGGCAGTTATCTTTGCGGTTGAGGACAGCCTGATGTACACAAGTTTCAGGCTGAACTATATAGAGACCTAGTCTTTAAAAGAAAGTAATGAACTAATTTCTTAGTGGAGGGATATTATTTCAAGACTGGATAAAGCTGAGGCATGGTTATTACTGATATCATTTATTCGGGTCTATAATGAAAAAGAACAACTGGGCAGAAGGAGAGAAAAAGAGCACAAAAAAGCTTAGTATTACAGCCAAGGCTAATTAAAGGCTATAATTGTTAGAGATTAGTGCCATTCAGGAGAGGCCTGCTCTGCCCGGGCAAGACAACGCCCTCCCCCAAGCTAAACATGAGGATGAAAGAATGAAGGCTTCGAGGGTTCGGTATCCCTCCTTCATGGTTTCGGGCAGCCACTGAAACAAGCCAGCATGTGGAGAGGAGCCCTTCCAGGCTGTGAGAAGCCACGGTGTGAAACCTGGGAAAGTGAACCCTGGGTTGTAATGGAGACTCCCAACATGTTCAGGAGATGCCGAGTCACGAGACAGCTGTGTAGGAAAGCACATATAGAGAATGGAGCCAGCCCAAAAGAGAGATGGAGGAGGAGGGTCATTCAAACCCTTTGATATGGAACACAGAAGCGTCCAGATCTGACGTTTGCCCTGGCGGGTTTCGGTCTTGTTTCGATTCAGTATTTCCTATGTCCCCATTGCTTGCTCCCTTTTGTAATGGTAATGTATATTCTATTGTGTGGAGAGCAGATGAAGTCCTGAGTGAGTGTGTGCTGCTGGCATGAGCATGACCATGTAAAGGACTCCAATGCCTCAGCCCCATGGGAATGGTAAACCTTCCCCAGATGAGGCTCAAAAGGATGGCCAAGCCTTCCTATGGGTCTGAGTGTGAATACTTATAGTGTGTAGAAAATGTCCACCATAGCTTTTTCTTCCTGGGTATGTATGGCCTGAAGACTGCTCCCTACTGAGATTAGCTCCTATACCATAAGCCACACCTCCTTGTTTATATGCAGATAACCCTGCCTCCTGGTTCAGCTGTATGTATGTATGTATGTATGTATGTATGTATGTATGTATTAAACACATTCTGAGCCTCCAGTGTTTATGGCTCTTCCATCAGAGAGCCTAGTCCACCTGTTCCCAGCCTTCCTTTCCGTCTCTGTGTGTCTATTCATAACCATGAGGGTCCCAGTTAGATCAATCCCTGAGACCACACAAGGATATGGTTACTGTTCCTGTATGATAGAAACATGTAACTTGCTTTTTTTATTTTATAGGAGATTACGGTTAACAAATTACCTTGGGGCTTAAAACAGATGTTAAATTTTGGGTCTTTAGACAGTGTTAAGACCATGACAGACTATGGGGACTTCTGAGGTTGGACTAAAGCGTTCTGCATTATAATGTGGCAGCAAGTCTATAGGGCCAGGGGATAGAATGCGGTGGTTTGAATGAGGACTCTTGGTGTGCAGTTGGTGACACGGGAAGCTTTGGTTGGCACGGCCTTGCTGTGGAGCTATGTCACTGGGCGTGGACTTTGAAGTCCTATGGCCATGCTCTACTTGCGGTTTGCTTTCTCAGCCTCAGGCTTACACACGAGGAGGTGAGCTCTCAACATCCTGTTCCAGCCACCATGCCACCCTTTGGTGCCAAGCTTACCTACTATAAACTGTCTGAAACCGTAAGCCCAAAGAAAGTCATTTGTAAACTGACTTCTATCACGGTGTTTTATCACAGCTACAGAAAAGAAATTAATGCATCAGGTAAGTTCCCTTTTTTTGTTTTTTATTGTTTTATGATTTTGTTTTTCAAGACAGGGTTTCTCTGTGTAACTATTGCCATCCTGGAACTAGCTAAAATATGCAGGTGTCTTCTCTACTTTGACACATCAGCTCTCTGCATCATTAGCCAAGTTCAATCTTTTCACATCAGCATTAAAGAAACGTTTCATCTTATTTATCACATCACACATCACAAAGTCACTTTTATTTGACAGCAGATACGTGATGGGATCTTACAACACTGAGCTCACAGAAAGGCAACTCCAAGCACAAAACTGCAGGTACCAGATACACGTGGGCTATAAATAAAGCTTCTAAAAACCCCGTAACAGAAATTCCAGTCCACGAGCACTGGATAAGGGAAAATCTCTGAATTAGACTTAGTGACTTACCTTCGCTGGCATTTTCTTTCAGCTGTTCTTCATATTCCTGCATAGCTGACGCACAGCTGTTATGAATCAGTTCCCCCAGGCGTTTCAGGTCTGCCACAGACTTATCCACTAGCTCAGCATCACGTGCTATGCACTCCAGCCTGGAAAAGGACAAAAGTCAAGACACTGTACCCGCTTTGCTATCTATCACATGAAGGCTACTAGGTCTCAGAAGTGCCTGACCTTGAAAGATGCCTGTTGTATGAGCCAACAAGAACATTGTACTAAACTAAAGCATATCTATCATCAAGAATTACCTTGGGGCAGGAGAAATGGCTCAGAAGTTAACAGCACTGGCTGCTCTTCCAGAGGACCTGAATCTAATTCCCAGCAGCCCATGGTGGCTCACAACCACCTATGATGAGATATGGTGCCCTCTTGTGGTGTGCAAGTGTACATGCATGCAGAACACTGTCCACACAGAAAAAAGGAGTGCAGTGGTGGTGCGCACGTTTAATCCCAGCACTGGGAGGCAGAGGGAGGTGGATCTCTGAGTTTGAGGTCAGCCTGGCCTACAGAGAGAGTTCCAGGACAGACTATACTGACAAACCCTGTCTTGAAAAACAAGAAAAGAATTGCCTTGGGCTATCCCACAAAAATAAAGCGGCCCTAACATCATTGAGAAAAGAATCTGAGCTCCTTTTACTCTACAAATGAGCTGTCTACTACTCTTAGCATGTGAGGTACCTAAAGAATACACACATTAGTTTGCCTTCTTGTGTTCATTTTCTTTTCCTGTTTCTAGCCACTGCAATCCTCGTAGAAGCATAGGATAATTACTTCTCCATTATTCAGTTCAGCTCTATGTCACACCTAGTGCATAAATCCACTGACTAAAATCAGTCTGTCTAGAGACTCACAGACTCACTTTTCCACACCCAGCAGGTTTTACACTAACTTCTTCAAAGATTTTGCATTTGGATGATCAAACAGTCCCTGAGAGATGTTGTTCCTGATTGTAATGGACTACTCTATCTTACTGCTTCCTCTCCCAGGGAAAGACAAAACCAAAGCACACATTTGAGATGTCTGTCAAACCCAGAAGTTTCCAAGAGACAGGACTCTGACATGTCCTTTAAACCAGTGTTCTCATTTGAAGGGTACATGATGACTGCATATAAAATAAGATACTAAACTATTTGAATTATCCAGATACCCTGTAAAACCCAACCTCTAAATGTGTACTCTGACCAGCAGGAACTCACATTTTCAGTAGTAGTACCAAGACAACACTAGCTCTTTATATTATCTTCATGACATCCTGTTACTAGATCATGAAATCACAAAGAACACTTTCCTCTTATACTCCTAAATCAAAGAACTAACTGCTTGCATTGTCCTTCCTGGACTACTTTTTACCATGCAGTCTGGATACATGTGCCTCATTGCCCTCATTCAGACAAAACTTCTGAATGGTCAGACTATAGTCACCACCTGTGCCACCTCTCCAAAACAGGACACGCACCCAGTATGTTAATGTTTTAACAGTGTCTCTCCTAGGTGGAAAAACTGCTCCCGGCATTAATATTAAATGGAAAATGTTACCTCCTCCCCTCACCAAAAAAAAAAAAAAAAAAAAAAAAAAGAAGCCCATGATATAAGAAAAGTTAGAAAGAGGACAGATCTATTATTGGTCTTACCTTTCAAGAGGGAGACCAAACTTCTTATAAGCCTTGATGAACCTAAGAATATGATCAACAAAATGAATTAAAAAAAACCACAAGTATTAACTGTGCAAATGCCACAATATCCTGTCACAAAGTACGAGCCACACAAACTGTCAAGAGACTAACACAATCCCAGCATCTAATAAGAGAACACTGCGAGTTTCTGAACTGGGGAATCTAACAGTACTCAAGCACTAAAGGCAGACACCAAGCTTATTCTCAGTGACCAATCAGGACCTAGAACTGCGGCTTCACTGGCATGTCCTTTTTAAAAGGAAGAAGGCACAACAGCTCTACTATGATGAAACCCTAACATCATTACTCAGTGGCCAATTCAGCCAATTAAGTCTTTGCTTTCTGAATCTCAACATTTCTCACTATTTTATGGTTAATGATACAGTTGGAAGATCTCTACAGCTGTCAAATAATATTTTAAATTAAGCAGAACTATACACAATACATACACATTTGCAATTTAAAACTTACACAAAACTACTTAAGAAACTATTGACTGCTGCCCACCCTTGTCCAGTCTCTCCCTTTAATCATGCTGCTCATCCCCCACCTCCCTGAACCATTCCATGCTAACTACCAACACTTTCAATAAAAAGCAAGATGTCACAACATATCATTTGCATCACTGTACCATGCCAAGTTACTATGAAAGCTGGTTATGTAACAGTGTAAAACTAGAAAAAAAGGAAATAAGATGAAACAACAGCACTAAATATGATAATAGCTAAGCAACAGTATGAAAGAATTTTAATATAAAACTTAATAAAGTGTTAGATATGAAAGTGAACCTGAAGGTTACCCCTTGCCGGGCATCGGTGGCACACGCCTTTAATCCCAGCACTCAGGAGGCAGAGGCAGGCGGATCTCTGTGAGTATGAGGCCAGCCTGGTCTACAGAGTGAGTTCCAGGACAGCCTCCAAAGCAATACAGAGAAACCCTGTCTCGAAGAAAAAAAAAAAAAAAAGAGGCTATCCCTCAACCCTACATTTCTCGTTAATATACAATGAACTATTCTCTGTCTGAAATAGTAGGCTGTGAGATGTGAAAGTAATATGGAGGCTGGGACGAGGCCCTTGCCTAGCATGCACCAGGCCCTCGGTTCAACCCTCAGCATTGAAAACAGTCTTCAAATAAAGGTATTTATTGTTCCTCCACAAAAATAACAAAACCATCAGCAAAGTGTCAAAATCAACTTTAAGGAAAACCTAGAAATTAAGCAAAAGTCTACAGCTATCTGAAACATCTGTTGAACATAATGGATGAGTCTCAGAAAGAGCAAAGAGCTTTCTGTCCCTGCAATTTGCTTAATTTCCAGCTCCTTCTTCAGAAACCTGTGCACCACAAAGGCCAGGGAGGAGGGCAGGTCTGAGGCATCTCAGAAGGACTGTCTCCAGAGAGAAGATGCATTGACTGGACCAGGCATCACAACAGTACGCTTCTCAGGGTTGACTTTGTTATTCTTTTCTTTAATGATTTTTGTTACTAACTACTACTATTATGTATATGGGTGTTTTGGCAGCATAAATGTCTGTGTGCCATGTGTATGCTTGGTGTCCAGGAAGGCCAGAAGAGGGAGTCGGATGCCCGGGAACTGGAGTTACAGACAGTTGAAAGCTGTTAGATAGGTGCTGGGAATCGAACATGAGTCCTCTGCAAGAACACCCAGTGCTGTTAACTGCAGGGCCAATCTCCTGGTTGGTCTTTTTTTATATGAACTAGAAATATTTATGGACAGCCATGTCCACAGGTCATGATAATAATCGTGTGCAAACATTTAACACACCAGTGGCCTGGGGCACATCACTTGGAGATAATACGACACTGGTTAAAAAAATAAAAAGAACTGGGAATAAGATGCCCACAGAATATCCTGAAAGGCTCTGACACACTCCTAGGAATCAGAGAGACCACACATGTGCAGGTATGCACACATGCAAAGGAAAGATCTGGGAAGGTCCTAACTTCAATTCTGTACATGCAGATCCTATGGTCAGGGCACAGCTGTGAACAGACGCACAGAGAACTAAACAAGATCCATACTGAGCTCCTCAAAGTGGGCAGTGGATTTGCTAGCTTGGAACAACTGAGATCTCTGCCTGTCATTTGCTAATCACAAAGGAGCAGAGACTTCAAAGGACATGACAAAAAAACCCCAGACTTTACGAAACAGTTGAGGGAAGTAAGTGAACAAAGAGCACCAAACTAACTGTGGGGGAAACTAGGAGGTCCAGAGTTATGTTACATTACCTAGAACATCTGGTTTTCACCAGCCAGTGGTGGCACACGCTTTTCATCCCAGCACTTCAGAGACAGAGGCAGGTCGATCTCTGTGAGCTCAAGCTCAGCTTGCTCTATAGAGTGAGTTATAGGACAGTCAGGACTACACAGAGAAACCCTGAGTCAAAGAACAAACATCTGGATTTCAAACAAAAACGAATTACAGCACATGGGAAAGCAAGTACAGTGCACAAAGAAAGAAAACAAATGCCAACAAGAAAATTGTACTTTAAGAGTCTGGAACCTGGACTTAGAATACAGCAGTCTGTTACTGTACACATGCACACAGACTAGAGCAAGCTACACCTAAAGAATTAGAGAGTCAGCTATTAAGAGATGCTTAGTAGAAATACAGATTAGAGAACTGGGGAGGCAGTTCAGGGCTAGAGCACTGGCCCATCATGCATGCATACTTAGGTTTGATTCTAAGAGAGTGAAGAAAAAGGAAAAAATAGAAAAACTTTAAAAGGACACAAACAGAATTTCCGGAGTTGAAAAGTAAAAAAAACTGCTAGGCAGTGATGGTGCACTCCTTTAATCCCAGCACTCGGGAGGCACAGACATGCAGATCTCTGAGTTTGAGATCAGCATGGTCTAATGGGTGAGTTCCAGGACAGCCTCCAAAGCTGCAGAGAAACCCTAGCTCAGAAAAACAAAAAACAAAACAAACAAAAAAGTACAAAAACTGAAATTGGAGAGATCAATAGAGGATCATAAGAGAAAAAAAGAATCAATAAACTTGAAAACAAACAGCCAAAAAAAGAATGAAGACTTGCTAAACAATACAGAAATTAAGATACTGCCAGAAACTGAAAAATACAGAATTCATCCTCAGCAGACATACCCTAAAAGAAAACACTGAATGACAATTCTTCAGGCATGTATCAAGGGCATTACACAGTAACTCAAATCCACGTGAAGGAATAACTACCTCCAAGGTCACCGAGTTAGCAACTATAAAAATGGTTATCAAGGAATTTTTGTTTGAACTCTTGTACCAAACTTCATAGATGGTAGATGGGCTTCCAGTGTCTGAAGAATCTGTGTGGAAACAGCAAATAAGGAGGAAGGAGGAGAGTGCCTGCAGCCAAGATTTTCATAAACCACTGACATTAACCCATCCAGATGTTACTTGAAATTCCCATGGAAACCACCAAAAAACTAAAAAGAAGATAGCAATGGAAACAAGGCAGTTAGAATGGAATACTGATGCCTGCCTATTGACCACAACAGGCACTGATGGAGAAATAAAGGAGCAGAGATGGCACTCATCGAAAAGAAACAATCACCGCACTGCATGGAATGCATGAAGACAAAGCAACAAGTTGTCGGAGGAGACTTTGACAAACTAATCTAACTGCAGGGTGCCTACAAGAGACAGATTTAAAGATGCAGACCAAAATAAAAAGATGAACAATACCACCATCCTTTCCATTCCAAATGTCCAAAACGTGAGCTCAATGTCTAAAATTGATTTAAGTAAGAAAAGGCAAGCTGGCCAACGAAGTGTGATGTGCTACTAGAACAGGAATGCGACCAAACCACCAGGGACTGCATTAGCACTGCCGCATTAGCACTGCTGCAGACAGGGACGGGTGCAGCAGGGAAGGGTGCTACAGAGCTATCTACATACATTATTATAATACAGATGTGTTGTACACATAAGTCTCCCTTTGGGAGGTCTCCTCTTGACAATATTCTCTAGAACCAGAAAACAGTAAGGAAATAAAAAGATGGAAAAGAGCCTGTGGTCTCAGCACAGATTAAGGACCTCAAAGAAGGGGCCCCTCTGTCTCACAGGACCTCAAGACCAGCTAGGCTACATGAGACCTACCTCACCCCCATAACGCAGACCAAACCAAACACTAAAAATAAAACCCTGGTGAAAAGCAGGAAAGCCGTCATCTGGGAAAACTGCAGGAGGCATCAGGAAGACTTAGATGCCGTGGCTTTGCTGCCTTTCTCACATGACCCCTTCCTGCCTACCCTGCCGGAAGTGTCAGGAGCCCACCGGCCAGGCTTACAACACGCGCTTCCAGACAAACTCGAGGAAAGCAGACTGTACCAACCTTCGGATCTCGGCGTCCGTAAAACCCTCCACCAGGTCTTTGCGCACACTTCGGGGGCGCCCTCTGCGCTTTGGCTTCTTATCATCATCAGAATCGTCCGTCTCACTCTCGGAAGCGGAAGATCTCTGGGCCTGCCTCTTAGACTCTGTGTCAGAATCACTGTCATTGGTCTGAGCCTGCAAAAGAATAAGGCAAAGTTGCAATTTAGCAAGTGTCAAGTCCAGGAATAAAAGGACTAAGACCAGATCAGCTTAATTAACTGTTAGAGCTCAGTTTTCCTTAAACAAATGTCAGGTGTCAGGGACTAAGGGAGGAGAAACTGTCATACTGTCAGTGATCCTGCAATGAAGAAATATACTGAATTTAAAATTTTTGGTTAATTTTTATACTATAATACTGGTATAAACAGTAATTCCTCAGGCAACTAACTGCTTTTCTTTGCCTTTTCTTCCTTGTAAAATGAGGATAATAGTATGACAGTCCCTTTGAGACAGGGTTTTCACAAGAATTAAATGCATCAGGAAATGAAAATGCACTCAGAACTATGGCATGCAGCAACCGCTTAACAGGTGCTAATGTTGACTTACCGTGACACTAGACAAGCTTAACAGCGCCTACAAAATGGTTAATAAATTTGTTTTCTTATTTCAGTGATACTGGGCAGGGAGAATGTATCAAATGATGCTTGTGAAGGACAGAGTAAGCTGTATAGTGTGGATGCCCTCTATTAGTCATAAAATCCTTTACTATTTAGACTGTGAACATTTAAAGCCAAAAATAGATCTGGCATTCTTGAAGACATTAGCAATGAGAACCAAACTGTTGGGGTTGTCTGCAGTTTTAACCTCAAAGGCAAAATACAAACTTCTGCAAACTCAGAAGCCATCGAGTCATTTCTTGAAAGGCTAACCAGCAAAGAAAGACTAAGAAAACAGCCACACGAGTGTGCCTATGAGCCCTGGCATCCCCACACGCAACCCACAGTACTGTGTCAAGGCCTCACCCTTAACTCATCTGCACTTTGTGTCTCATAGGCACAAGGCGCATTTTCACTTCACCTTTTTAGTGGAACTACGGATTCGTGGCAGCATATAAATTTCTTCTAGCTCCTTCTGTCGCTCTTCCTCCTCCACTTTTTTCCTTTGCTCTTCTGGAATGATTTCATCCCAGTCCTTGTGAGGGCGCTCTTCTAGCTCCTCTTCATCTTCCATTGTTGCAAAGTTAGCAACCTGAAAGAAGGGAAGGGACAACCCCCATCTGACATATGTCCACTTCCAAACACTGGCTGCCAAGCATCAACTTAACTAGTTTTTCACTTACAACACTGTGCTATGATTCATAATACTACATAATCAAAATCAATTTATTTTCACCATTCTCACCTTCTATTTCCCCCAAATCCACTTGCCAAAGCTATCAATCAGTTCATCAAAAAATTTGGGAAATAGACACAGAAAGATAAACACAGTAAATTTTACCGAAAGGTTGTTAAATCTTCCGTGTATTTCATTTGCATCACACTCGCTGTGTACTTTAATTTGCTCAGAGTGTAGAAGTATTTAGTGCCTCATCATCCAGGAGGCTCTTGCATCTTTAATTGTGATGAGCAGCAGCAGCCCAGGCCCCACTCTTCTAGCCAGCCCACAGGTAACCTTGCTCACTCATCTCAAAAGTGTAACCAGTAGAAGGCATGTTGAGATTACATGTGCTCAAAAGTGTAACCAGTAGAAGGCATGTTGAGATTACATGTGCTCAAAGGGGCATTTAGTCTTAGGAGAAAACAAAAACAAATCTAGAAAACATGCATTTATTCCCTACCAAACACCTGTAGGTATCTGTTCTCAAATGGTATGTGCCCCAAGAAAGAAAACCATCTGGACCAGAGCTACAGCAAACATGAGGCAGCTCTGGAAGGCCCGGCCATCTGTGCAGAGCCCCTTTCCGGTTCCACATCTTTTACACTCCTTGTTCCCTGGCCTAAGAGAAGCACCAAGGGCCTTCAGAGTTTCCATTCCTCAAAGTCATGTGGAGCTAACAAGAAATCAAATCAAAGCCTTGCAGCATGCAGTAAAAGTTAACTCTTTAACTTCCTGCAAAGATATTTTGATCTTTGTAACCAGATTTTTTAAGCTTCAAGGGGGGGAAAAAAGAGGTATCATTTCTGAGATTGCTAAAAACAAACCATCTCACAGTCTGTCAGATGAAGTATGTTTACAACTAGTGTAGGTCTGGATGTCCTTATATTTATCTACTTTGTCTCCATGTGTGCATATGCACGTGTTATGAAGGTCAGAGGACAACCTGTAACGCTCAGCGCTTTCCCTCCACAGTGTGTACTCCAGGAACCAAACTCAGGTTGGCAGCAAGCACCTCCACCCAGTAAGCTATCCTGGGGACCTGTAGGTCTGGTATTGTTAAGGAATCAAATGAAACTGATAAACATCAGTATGAATACATGTTGACAGGTCATGTATCTGGGAATTCATTTTTTCAAAGGCAGCATAGTGACTGATGGGCCAAACGTTCTGCCTGGGAAATGATCACAGCTGCACTTATGTGTGATGTTAAGAGAATATCAGTCTCACTGGGCGGTGGTGTGGCACACACTTTAATCTCAGCACTTGGGAGGCAGAGGCAGGTAGATCTGGTCTACAGAGTGAGTTCCAGGACAGACAGTACTACATAGTAAAACCCTGAGGAGAGAGGGGGTGGGGGAGAGAGGGAAAGCAAGAAAGCAGGCAGACAGACAGGGAGGGAGAGAAACAGAGGGAGAGGGAGGGAGGGAGGGAAGGAGGGAGGGAGGGAGGGAGGGAGGAAGGAAGGAAGGAAGGAAGGAAGGAAGGAAGGAAGGAAGGAAGGAAGGAAGGAAGGAAGAAAGGAAGGGAAGAAAGAAGGTGAAATCCTCCCTGTACAGTTCACCCATCTGTAAATACAATGCACACTTCCTCCAGATGTGCTGTAAATATCAGGAGTTAACATGTGTCAAATACTTTAAAACAATACTTCAAACCTAGCACAAGTTCTGTGATTGCTGAATAAAATAGTAATCTTATATTTTTAAAAAAATGCTGTTTCCAACATACTAAATCAAGGAGTTAGACAAAGGACTAAGAAGAAAAATAATGCCAACCTAGCTGAAGTACTCACTCCTTAAACAGAAAGGCTGTAGGGTAAGCAGCCCTCCAGTGTTAATCACATTTGCCTGAGTATTAAAACATATGACAAAAAGGACTTAGGAATGAAATAGTAACCTGCCATGTGCTGATTATGTTTGAATAACTTATAGCATGTGGAATTTTTTGTATCTAAATAATCTTGTAAGATTCTAATCAAAACATTGTAAAATCACATCTGTTTAACTATGAGAATAGTCACAGAGGTAGAATCAGGCTCAATGTTTGTGCTTCCTCAAAATTCATGTGTTACAGGAGTAGGGCTATAGCTCAGTGGCAGAGGGCTCGCACAGCATGTATGAGATCTTGGATTCAAATCCCTGCACAACTGCCAACAAAAGAAATTAGTGCTGAAATCCTGATGCTAGTATCTAAAAGTACTAGGAAGGGGTCTCTGGAAGGTGATTAGCTCAGAATAATACATTCTTCGAGGCAGGATTAGTTGTTACCCTACAATAGGGGCTCTAAACAGAGCTCTCTGTCCTCTCTATACTTTGTAAGAAACACAAGATGACAGCAGTATGCTAATCATATGACAGACCTCACGGAACCTCAATGTGTCAGGACCATGAATGCAGACACCTTCAGGACTGTGAGAAATAGATTTCTATTGTTTAGATGAACCATTCTATGACACTGTTATAAGACATCAAATTTAAGACAAGCCACAATGATTTATTCTTAGTCCTTTCCACCCTGTCCTCTGTATCCCAGAATGAATTCTGGAAATTGCATTCCAAGAGCTCTTTTGGCCACTCTTCCCCAGCACCTTCCGTATTTTTTCATGAACACAATGTCCACCTTATCCAGCCATGGAGCACACACCAAAGCACAGCTTTCAGCCACTTCTCCCTCAACACCACCTCTGGCCCACAGTAATCCTCGACTCCCTCGCTTCCTTACCCCGCACAAAATCAGTCAGATTCTCACCTGCACTTTGGAAACGCTTGCTATTTTGATCTCTCTGTGCCCTCTAGTTCAGTCTCCTGTTCTAGGATTGCCAAGGGACCCAGCTTCTCCAATATCAAGCATTGCTGGAGACAGTCACATGTTTGGTGGCTCCACTACAAGGACACCAACTAGATTTAGATGACTCCCTATCAAGTTCTTCCCCACATTCACAGTCTAACCCATGGCTGCCCCAATGCTTTCCACCTCTCAGCAGAACTGAAGTCCACAGGCTGAATTCCCAAACTTTCCTTCCTCCTCACTGAGGTGATCAATTCCTTTTTCTTTCTACCAAATTCTCAAGCTATGCTTTAGATTATATCTATTCCTGCCTTCTCTGGGGCAATGAGTCACCAGACTTCTTCCTTCTTGGGACTCTTCAGGATCTCCCTATCCTCCAGTTCTTCTAGCAACCTAGAAATCTAGTAACCTCATAACATCTTTCTAGAAATCTCAACTTACTTAGTCCTACTATCTATTATACATAATCACCTTTCCTAAGCCTTTTATTAAACACCTATACTCAGTGATGCCACTTCCTATTCATCTGGTGTACACAGTTTCTATGTTAAAACCATGATCCCATTCAATCCTGTATTATCAGACATCCCTTTGGAGGGAAAGGAGGCAGAAGGGAGGGAACAGGAGAGTGAAGAGGGAAAGATAAGATGGGACAATAGATCTGATCAAGTCATCTAGTCTCCCAACTGTCACCTACAATTGCCATGCCTTTAACATCTCTTTGGCAACTAATGCCATGAATGTCTCCCATGTCCCCCCATACTGCCAGTCCTTGGTTTATCCCGTTAGTAATACACTCTTTCTTCTGCACCTGACTCTAGGAAAGAAGGTTCACTTCAGTGCTTACTTCCACGGGGATACTGTAGACTACATTCCCAAAGCCTCCCTCAGAATGACGCTGAGCGTGACTTAACTCAGGTGAAGGGGAAACCAGCAAGCCTAGTACAAAAGAAAGCGCTCCAGGCACGAGGCGTTACTGGTTACTCTCTCCCACAAAAGTCTTCCTACCTTAAACTGCGACAGAAGCTCATCTGTGGCACTAGTTGACACTTCATTCTCTCTGGTTTCAGCTAAGCGCAAAATTTCATCTATATCCATTTCCTGAAGGAGCAAAGAACGACACGGTAGAGTGAAAAGGCGGTAGTTTCCGGATTACCCAAAGCGTCAGGTGTGCACCCCAACAGCTTTCCTGCAACACTCTAACAGCCTCAGTCTACATCTTTCATGTACTGATACATGTACTTCACACTGATATTAATCAAATGAGGAGACAAAATTCAAGGAGTTCTAAGAAAGACTAAGGAGAAATACAGCCCTTCGGTGTCTCATCCTTTCCCCTTTATGTGGGAAAAGCTTCGAGCTTGGCAAAGAAAAAAAATGAAGAGTCCCTATCCCTTCAAATAATTACTTTCTCATAAAAATCTCTAACGAGGAATCTACTTCCTGAAAAATTTAGATAATAAAATATTTTTTTAAAAAAAGCAAACATTTTTCTACTAGTACATCTTTACTATAAAGATGATGAGTTATATAACTACATTTTCTTTTAACTATATCATATACTTGAATAATGTTCATTAAAACATATGATACTTGTCTTTCTGAATCTGGGTTATTTCTTTTAAAATGATAATTTCCGGATCAACAATTTTCCTACAAATGACAAGTTTCACATCCATACAGACACAATGGAATTTTTTACCAATGTACCTATCAATGGACACCCGAGCTGATTTTGTAACTTAGAGCTGTGAATAGCGCTTAGTAAACATGGCTAGGCAAGCTTCTCTGTGCAGCCTCACTATGGTTCCTTTGGGTACAGTCCCAGGAGTGGCATGCCTGGAACATTGGCAGTTCCATCTTTAAAGTTAAGAACCTTCATACTGACTCCCACAGTGGCTACAAAAGAGCATTTCCAGGCTCTGGGATGATTACCTGAGGCTCTGATTCTTCTCCTTCAATTTCCTTGAAGAGATCCTCTGCTCCAAATTTCAAGATTGCAGTCAGCTCTTCTTTATTAAAAGGGTTAGAGCTATAGGAGTAAAATACAATTGTGATCTCAAGAGGGGGACTGGTGGCATGGCTCAGAGGGTAAAGGCATCTTGCAGCCAAGCCTGAGATTCCCTGTGTCAATCCCCAAGACCCACATGGGAGAGGCAGAAAACAAGTTACTCTCTACCTCCACAAGTGGGCCCCTTCCATTACCTCACAAATAAATAAAAACATGGAAATTTTTAAGAGGGGCTAGAAACTTTGCTTCTCTTCGAGAAGACTTGGGTTCATTCCCAGCATGCACACAGTGACTCACAGCCACCTGTAACTCAAGTTACAATGCCTTCTTCTGGCTCAGTGGGTAAGGGCCTCTGTCCCAAGCCTGCCGACCTCAGAAACCACATAGTAGAAGCAGAAAACCGATGCTGGCTTCCAACCTTCACACACACATACATGAAAATAAATGTGGGCAGTGGAAGGCTATAAGGCCATAAGCCCCAGTGAGTGGATGGATACTGCAGTGGTGAAGCCCTGTGAAAACCTATCAACTGCCTGTGGGAACAGTCGGTTCTGACCCCCAGGCTTTCTGTACTTACTTGGATCTCCCTGAGTTGTTTTCAAGGACTGTCCTGCCAGTGGTGTCCATGCGCTGAATCACCAGATGATCCAACACCATCTTCTTTTTGGCCCGTTCTATGATCTCCTCTTCCACAGTCCCCTTTGTAACCAAGCGGTAAATATTCACCTATAAGGAAAGGAAATGTTATGTTTACTTCTGTTTAAAGCACAAATTACTTCTGTCAGAGTTCAAGAGGGAGAAGACAAGTCGCTCCGTTCTCTTGTACCGCATCATGACTGTGCCCAGCAGCTCACGTGGGCAAACAGGTGGGAGTAGAATGTGTGGTATCTGTAACAGACTATCTAAAGGAAAGTGCTTCTACAGACATCATAGCCTGCTTTTTGACGAACATCTTCCCAACAATCATCTTTATAGAAACTGAATCAGTAGCCACATGCGAATTTTTAAGTTAGCCAACAGGAAAACAATCCTTGAGAGCCACAGAGAAAACAAAACAAAAAACAACCAAGCCGATGGTGTTCCAACACATTGCAGATTACACTGTCGTAGAGAATAAGACTAATTGCCCTGACTAGTTAACCACGGTCTTAACACAGGAGAGGCTCAGCTCTGCTCCTCATACATCTTTCCTGGCACACACACAGAAAGTCACTCATGGCATGCTTTTCAGTTAGCCTGTTCTTTTTCATTGTCATTTCTCCCCTCCCCCAGCTGAGGACCAAGTCCAGGGCCTCGCACTTGTTACCACTGAGCTTAATCCCCAACCCCACAACATATTTCTCAAATAGAGGTAGGTTAAGACTCCACACTGGGAGGCCCAAAGACATCTCTTTCCTGAACAAGTTAATAAGGAGAAGGCAGTGCAATGGGGAAATAAGCATTTCACAAACAGTCTGCTGCGGAAGAATGAACCTCTGCCTGCTGGCCCAAGTGACTGCCAGAGACCCTCCCCACTGACCTGCTTCTTCTGACCGATTCTGTGTGCTCGGGCTTGTGCCTGCAAGTCGTTCTGGGGGTTCCAGTCAGAGTCGAAGATGACAACTGTGTCCGCTGAAGCCAGATTGATTCCCAGGCCACCAGCCCGTGTGGAGAGCAGGAAGCAGAAGTCCTGTACACAATGCAATATACTACTTTATGCAGTGGCCTTCTCAGAGACACTCACAGTCCAATAAGCCCTCACACCTGGAAACCCCTGCAGGTGTGAAGAGAAGTGACATATGGTGGACAAACTTTACGGAGGCTAAAAGGAGCTCAAGGACTTGAGACACAGGGAGTTTTCATTTGATTAAGAGGAAGTGTCAGTTCAGGGAACAAAGGAGCTAAAGTAAAATCTAGTAAGGCAGCACAGACAAGGGATTTGTGTCCCGGCTGGAACTAGTGTGTGCTACAAGTGAACCAGAAGCACCACACACTCAGTCTTCACGGGACTGTTTAAGCACGCTGCCCAGACACACGCTTTCTAGGGACAGGGAGACTATGCATGCACGGGTTAGTACACACAGACAACCTGCACTATGCGTGTCCGCCCACTTGTTAGGTGGTGAGAACAGGGATACTCATGAAACAAGGCTGCTGAGAAGATTGCTGGGAACCACAATCACCATTGTGTGTGCCGAAGACGAGGCCTTAAGATCTTCCGGTTTCCAGAGCAATAAAAGACTGGACAGGTATGATATACCTGCCTCACTCTCCAGGTGAGTGCTCAGGAAAACATGTGGGCGGATGGCAGGGAGACTGCACAGCTTTTTTTTTTTTTTGACTGCACAGCTTAATACTACTATTTTCAGGGCATCTGATCATCTATATCAAAAGCTGACACTTCTGTTCTCTACTTTTTTCTCTTGTACATTTTTTATTTTGTGTGTGTGAGAGAGACAGACAGACAAAGAGACAGAGAGAAAATAAATCTCTGCCTACTGGCCCACGTGACTAATAGAGACCCTCCAAAAGCTGATGCCTTCTGAGTACAAAACTACCACTCAAAAACTGGTCTGGGGTTGAGTATGGTGGCATGCGCCTATAATTCAGCACTCAGGAAGAAGAGGCAGGAGGATCAGGATTTCAAGGCCATCCACAGTTATATACTGAGTTTGAGACTACAAGAGACTTTGTCTCTAAAAACAAAATGAATAAATAAGTAAACTGCTGACTTGGGGAAATGAACCTTAATAAAAGGCTAATTTTAACAGATGACAGATGAAACAGATAGATAGACAGAGCAGAAGCTCTTCACATTCTAACAGTCATAATCAACTACACTAAGTCATGAAAACAAAGTGGAAGACAGCTACCTTCCAAGAGTTTTAATTAATCACAATAAAAATTAGTCACCAGCTGAGAATACAAATAGTGAATGAATACCTCTCTTACAGAGCAACAGCAAACAGTCAAGGGCAAGATGCTTAACTGTAAATAAAATCTGAACATTGCATGTTCTCATAAACAATTTCCAGTGTCACAAAGATGAGTTGCATGTTGCCTATGTCTACTATATTATCAAATAACAGTTTAAAAGATTATGAAGTTTGATGCTGCTAAAAGTAACATAAAAATGATAGTATTTGTACATAGACCATATAATTATAACAAAATACATCAAAATACTTTTCAAGCCGGGCGTTGGTGGTGCACGCCTTTAATCCCAGCACTCAGGAGGCAGAGACAGGCGGATCAAGGCCAGCCTGGTCTACAGAGCGAGTGCCGGGACAGCCTCCAAAACTACACAGAGAAACCCTGTCTCGAAAAACAAACAAACAAACAAACAAAAAAATACTTTTCAAGTTCTCATTATTTTGTAACTATTCCAAACAATAATAAAATGGCTAGCTAAAGAAACAGCAGGGGCTGGAAAGATGGCTCAGTGGTTTAGAGTACTTACTGCTTTTTTTTTAAATATTTTATTTATTTATTATGTATATAATCTTCTGCCTGCATGCCAGCAGAGGGCATCAGAGCTCATTCAAGGTGGTTGTGAGCCACCATGTGTTTGCCGGTAATTGAACTCAGGACCTTTGGAAGAACAGTCAGTGCTCTTAACCGCTGAGCCATCTCTCCAGCCCACTTACTGTTCTTATAAAAAACTCAAGTTCAGTTCCTGACCCACATGTTAGCTCACAATCATCGTAATTACAGTTCCAAGGAACCCAACATCCTCTTCTAAGCTCCCTGGGCACCAGGCACATACACAGTACACATACATACATACATACATACACACACACACACACACACACACACACACACACACACACACACACACACACACTCATACAGGCTAAGGAGTCATCCACATAAAAAAAAAAGTAATAGCAGAGGCATGAAAACATGCTAGGAATCAAACTTTAAGGAGTTGGGCTAGGGGTGCAGCTTGGTGGCAGAGTTCCTAACAAGCACAAGGACCTGGGTTTGACCCCCTGGGGGAGGGGGAGCTAAGGCTTTTAATGACATGAAAACATTCCAAGTATAATTTTGACCAAAAGGAGCCAAAATCATGTATAGAAAGATTATTATCAGGTAAATGCAAGGAATGGTTCAATCTATACAGATGCAGACAGGAGTGTGTAAAGACTGTTGTCACTAGGGTAAAGGTTCCATTTAGGTATTCTTCACCATCTACAACATCTAATAAATGGGCATGTACTGTCTTCCCAGATAATTTTAAGATTAATTTTAAGAGAGAATGAGAACATAACACTATATAAAACTACACAAAAAATAAACTTCAAATTTTCTTTGAAAAGGAAATAAAACATTTAACTCACATCATCTTTTAAATTAAGACCAGGGAACAGTGTTATCTTTGACGAACACTATAATAAGAAATTGCTGGTATTTTATTAAGTGCCTATTACATGCCAAGAAATGTGATGAGAACTCCATTTGTTACCATATTTCATCCTCATGGCAATATTACAAAGTAGGGCTTAGAGCCATTGTGATTTTACAGTTAAAGAAACTAGAGGAGAAAGAGGGATGAGACTAATGTTTCTCATGGTCTAATTCTCATGGACTTAGTCCTCAATACATTATTACCCTTCAGAGAAGGAAGCATTCAGAACATGTCTTACTAGGACCACCTACAAATTCAGAGGCAGAAGGCCTATCATTTTCTGAAACAATGAAAGAGACACTGGGGTTTTAAAACCCTTCAGAAAGCAGGACATAAATCTATTCTATCTATCATAAAACAAAACAACTATGCCTCTAGAAATTAGAATTTTGTCCAAAACCCTGCTAGGCATCTCTACTGGTTCCTTTATCTTACGCGTTACTAGTTTCACGTACACTAAAACTCTTTTCCCAAGAACATTGGACTTGACCAACTGATACACAGACTATAATGCACGCAGGGTTTCTAACTTGCTCAAAGTAGCACTAACAGAGGTGTGCCCAGACCAAAACACTTTGCAAAATCAATTCCAAGCAGGACATTTAGTAATGAAACAGAGAAAGAATGTCAGCTACATCCCACCAGGAGTCTAACATTAACTGAACCTTGGCAGACACAGTTTAAGCATCAGCACCAGGACTGGAAAGAGAAGATCCCTAGACAGTATGTACATCAATAAGTCAACACAACTGTTCTGCCCCCCCGAGCCCTTGCCTTGCTGCTCTTTCAAACCCATAAATTTGGTAAGTCAGTAGAAAACATCACTAGTTTAGAACATCACTAGGGAGCTAGGAAAGCATGTACAAGCTTGTAACAACAAGCTTGTGAGTGACAAACAAGGCATCTTTTATAGCAGGGCTTTACTGTTCTCATCAAAACAGGAGAAGTCTGCTACAAAATGTTTCTGAAACAGAATACATTAAGCTGGGAAGACTTCCAGCCTATACAAAGTCCAATTTGTTCAAATAATAAAGCCATGCATAATGTACCTCAGAACCATCTGCATTGAAGTGATCCAATGCCTGCTTTCGGATTTCTCCCTTGATAGAACCATCCAGGCGCTGTAAAAAGAAACCACGAGAAAAATCTTAAGTGAGGCAGATCAGCTATACTAAGAATAGAACATTGGACTTGCAACCTTTATCTCCCAGACAGGCACTGAGCAAAAATAACTGGAAATCGTTGGATGGGGTCTTGTGTAAACAGCATGGCTGATGTGACCTGAACTCTCCAGTTACAAACTCAAGGTCAGAAGTTTCTAATTCAAAGGATTGTCTAGGCTTAACCAAGGATCAGAATGTCTGCCAAAACCTACAAGGACAGAGATGAAAACCCAGCCTGAGTGATGAGGAAATAGTACCTCTAGTATTATTTCCTACAGGAAACACTTCTTAGGCAATATAACTAAAAACATTGTTTTTAGTCAAATTACAAACATTTGGAAACTACTGAAAATGTTCACATTAAATGATCATATATGCCAGATTTCCCTAAATTTACATTATGAAATCACTATAAAGAATTTAAATAGTAAAACTGTATCACCAGATGAGCCTCAGGTACTTAGCTGTGCACGGAATTTTTTGTTTATTTTGTTTTCTATTTTTTCGAGACAGGATTTCTTTTCTCCGTGTAGCTTTGGCTGACTCTATAGACCAGGCTAGCCTCGAACTCAGAGAATTTTTTATTAGTTAAAAAATACATCACTTCCAGGTATAAGTCAGTCATCATATGGAAAATATTCAATACATACAAAGCAAATATTGAACGCTGTAAATAAAAGGCATTTCTCAGCATGTAGAACTACTTTCACATTTCATCTCTTAAGATCATCTCTTGAAACACTGAATATACAAAGGCCAAGCTGATCCAAGCAGAGTCTGCAGAGACCTACATCTCCCCATGGCCATGAAAGCCACAGCCACCCAAACAACAGATCCATAGGTGGGAGTTCCCTGTACCTCTCTACAGCCACTGCTATTCCCTTTATCTACAATAAATCCTGCACAGAGACTGGAACCAAAGGCATTTGCAAAAGCAAGTTCACAGCCAGTATCTGAAATAAGAAAACCCTCCTAAAAGTCCCAGCAGAAAGGAGAATTGAGACAGTTCTACTGAGAAGTCAATACAACTTGCTACAGGGACCAGGATATTTCAAGAACTCTTGCTCTGCTCCCAGCCTCAAATCAAGGTCATATTTTATGGGGTTAAGATAAAACAACACTGCTTCTTTTCTTCTTAGGATCTGGGATTCTATAATCAGGTTCATATTTATTCCTGTCTGCTTTAACAGCAGACATGGGTAGATAGCATTCTTTAATCTGGTTCACACTTAACTCCTGTCAACTTTACAACACACACAGACAGACAGGACAGACACTATTCTTTTGCCAACCTTTCCCATCACCTAGTACTTAACACTAAGGATCCGAGCTATACTCGGCAGGCAGAAAGAACTCGCTGCACAGACCTAAGGACAAGCTCAGAATCCATGGTGGAAGGAGAAAAACAACTCAAATTTATCCTCTGATCTCCACACAGGCACCATGGCACACAAATGCCTATGCATGTGTCCTCACTCACTTATTTCTTCCTAACAATTAACAAACTGTTGCTGGGCATAGTGGCACACACCTGTAATCCAAGTACTTGGGAGACATAAGCAGGTGGATCTCTGTGAGTTTGAGGCCAGCCTGGTCTACATAGTTAAGTTCCAGGACAGCCAAGGCTACATAGTGAGATACTGTATCAAAAAAGACAGAAACAACCAAAAAAGAAATTGGTTTTGTTTTGTTTTTTAAAGAATGACCTTCATATGTTCATTACCATCACAGAGTAGTCTAAAGACATGAAGAAAACTGAAGCCTTCCTGGAACCTTAAGTTCAGATTTTTTCAGGTAAGAAAACTTGTCTTCTACTCCAGTTCAGTGGGGAAGAGAGAGAACAGACAGACTGTGTGAGCCCAGTCACTGAGCCATCTTACCTGGAAAGGATAGTGTTTGATAGTCAGGTACTCAGCCAGAATATCCAACATCCTCACCATCTGAGAGAAAATAAGGACTCTGTTCCCCCTTTCACGGAGTCTTGTCAACAGTTTGTCTAGAAGAATCAGTTTTCCACTGCTCCTGATTAAAGACTGAAGATTCAGAAGAAGTCTCAATCATTAAACTCAAACACAACGTTGCCGAAATGTTTGTTAAACATGGCATCCACAAAACTATGCTTCCTACATTTTACTGACGTCTTCTCATCATTTTTGTTTGTCACCCCAGTGAACCCTGGATAAGTATCCTCAAACTCAAGACCCTTCTGCCTCTACCACATCCCCGTCATCTCCAAGGGCCCCCTCAACTGCACCAGCACTGTCTGCCTTTTCTTGTGTTCTTGAAAGCTTTCTCTAATGCCCCTTGAAGGATAATTGAGGAAGAAAACAAACACTAAATTAAAATCAAGACTAAAACAAGCCTGACTGTAGACAGAGGAAGCAGTGTAAGCAGGAGGAGCTGCTCACCTGCAAGACCTCCTGGCCATTCTCCCTCTCGTTTTCCTCTGGAGCTTTGATCAGGTAGCAGTGGTTGCAGCATTTTTTCAGCTCCATCACAATATTAAGAAAGCCAGATGTGCTGCCCCTTGTTCCTTTGGCAAGAGCCTTGTAATTCCTGGTCAGGATCCATCTGTAAATTAAAAACATGAATTCGAATGAGCATAGTTTATGCTATCATAAGAAGTAAAAGCTAAAAGACAAAGAGACTTTTACTTTCTATCACCTAATCATGATCATTCACATCTCCATGCAGAAGTAAAGTTCAATAGTTCTACTGGGTATGTCAACCTCACTGATCACAGAACACTAGAGGAAGACAATTCTACAAGATTACATCACATTCATATATATACATATGTGTGTATGTACAGATAAGGCATTATTACTGAGACACTCTTACTGCAATTTTTAAAACTGAGAGCAAGTCATCTAAGTTAAGTATACTGTAGGACCACCATGGTGGTGCACATCTGTAATCCCAGCATTCAGCAAGCCAAGGCAAGCAGACTGTCAGTTCACAGTCAGCATGGGTATAGTAAAAGAACTTGTCTCCAAAAATATAGAAACTACACACACAAAAAAAAATAAAGAAAGTATATATATTCATTATATACATATTTATATTTATTATATGTTAAATACATCTTTAAAAAATATATATATATTTTTTTTTTTTTTGGTTTTTCGAGACAGGGTTTCTCTGTGGCTTTGGAGGCTGTCCTGAAACTCGCTCTGTAGACCAGGCTGGCCTTGAACTCACAGAGATCCGCCTGCCTCTGCCTCCCGAGTGCTGGGATTAAAGGCGTGTGCCACCAATGCCCGGCTTAAAATATATTTTATATTTATCAAATATATTTATATTACAAAATGCTAAATAATGTTAAGTATTTTATATTACCAATTTGAAATGAGAAATACACATATTATGGTATGTTTATATGTAAGCCTTAGTAATAAACTCCAAAATGCTAAAGTACTTTTATCTGAGTAATAGGATATCTTTACATTTCTCTTAATGATCACAATTTTGAGAATATATCTCAAAATGTGCATCACCATTCATGAAGCCAAAGTCTCTGAAAAGGTCCAAGTGTACACACCAGAGAATGGGACAAATAAACTGCAGATGGACCTTAAGATGGACTAGTTGTACTCCCAGGTAAGAGTGCCCTGACCGTGCACAACTGTAATCCAGTCCTTAATGCCAACACTCAAGGGGAGGAGTCTAGAGGAGGATCAAGTTCAAGGCCAAAGGAGACTAACAAGTGAGATCCTGTCAAAGGGATTGGGGAGGGAGGAGGGGGACACCCTATAACACCAGCAATTAGGATGCTGGGGCAGAAGGAAGGAGACCGTATTCACAAACAAAGAATTTGGTACTGTTTAATTGTAAAGAATTCATTAAAATTCTATCCACAAAAAGTACCCCTAGACCACAAGCCTGCAATCTCCACATACCATCTCCCAGTAAACTAGTAGGTAGAATTCCTGACTGCCTGGCTCTGGTTTGAGAGCAATAAAAGGACATGAATATGGAACACTCTACCATTTTAGAGGGTAAAGGAGCTATCAACTACAATAAGGATAGCATTCCTAACCCAGAACTCCAAACTCCAAGACATTTTAAGTATGAACATCATGCTGCATATGGAAAATTCCACACCAGACCTTATATAAACATAGTCAAATGCAGGAGGTGTACTAAAAATAAATATGAAGTGTACACATACATGTACACACACAGACACACACACCCTTTACAAAGTCAATGTGGTAGAACACACAGCACTAAGGAGGCAGAGGGAGAAGGAGCATCAGTTTGAGGTCACCTTGTGCTATACACAAGACTCCATCTTGAAAAGAGAAACATTTACAAAACCAGAGGGTTTTGTTTTTTTTTTTTTAAGATTTAATATATGAAGGGGACATGCTAACAAATTATAATGAATAGAGACCTATGCAGATCACCAAACAAACAAGAAGTATGAATGTTCCTGTGTGTGTGTGTGCATATATGTGTGCCAACTGGGAAATGTAAACACTCTGTGGACATCATTAAACTGTTAAGGAATTATTAACTACGTTTAGGCATGACAACAGGGCAAATTTTTGAATAAGAAGTCTTTCTCTTTTAGAGACACACACTAAAACAGAAGTAGAAGAAAAGATACAGGTAAACTAATTAATGGCCATGAGTTAATAACCACTTAAGCTAGATTGTGAGCAGATGAGTAAATGCCATACCATTTTTGCTTATATTTGAAACTCCCCATAATAATATCTCTAAAAGTCAAATGGGGACTTGGGGCTACCTACAGATCAGTAGGTGTCTGCCCCACACGTGAGGCCCTGAGTTTGATCCTCCAGAAATATGAATATATACATAAATTAATGCTCATATTTTATGAAAATTAAATGTGAAATCTCACAACAAACATATTTTATGCTGCCATCTATACTTGACTCACTATTTTCCAATTTCTGTACAATACTGTAAGCCAAAAATGGGGCTTGCCCATGCTGGTTGGAATGCTAGAAAGGAAGAAGTACTCACTCTGTTCTAGAGATGAGTGTTACATCTCCTGGACTTTCAAAGCTCTTGCATATGTCTGTCTTAAATGAGATTGTCCTGTAATGACTTGTTTCTAGCCATACAGCAAGGCTTCCAGAAGGGACATTTTTGACTAATCTTTATTATTTCCAGTAGCTAGAAGAATGTGTAGCACTGAAAACTTCACAGGTGATTTAGTGAATGGAAAACAAAAATTGTCTAGCTTAACCAATACTTGCTTCCTATAGGAGTATTAGCACTAAAAATTAGGGGTAGGAGAGTTGGTTTGGTAGTTAAGAGCACTTGCTGATCTTGCAGAGGACCTGGTTTTGGGTCCCAGGAAAAACTTGGGGGTTCACAACCATCCTTAACTCCAGTTCCAGGTGATCTGACACCCTCTTCTAATCTCTGCAGACAACAGGCATGTGCTACATACACATACATGCAAGCAAAACACTCATATACATACAACAAAAATAAATAAATCCTCCTCAAAAATGTTTTGATTGACAAACTTTAGATCATTTATGTAACAAAAAGTATTATGTCAATTCTCACTCAAATAAAAACAACTTCTCTTAATTGATTTTGAATTTCAACTTAATTCTGTGTTGAGTCTACAGACAAAGCTCAGTGGTTATCTAGCAAGCCCAACCTGAAGATCAATCCCTACTGCTATTGGAAAGCAAAGCTTAGGGCTAGGGCCTGGTCCTAGAATTCTGAAGGTAAGCAGAACTCTTGAGTTCAAGGCCAGGTAGCGTTATATAGAGAGACCCTCTCTCAAAGAAAAAAAAAAAAAAAGGCAGAAAAACTATTATTGAGCACTTGCCAAAATTTGCAAGATTCCAGCCTTAAAAAAAAATTATGTTCAGGCTTTTTTGTTTTGTTTTGTTTTTGTTTTGTTTTTTGAGATAGGGTTTCTATGTGGCTTTGGAGGCTGACCAGGCTGGTCTCGAACTCACAGAGATTCACCTGCCTCTGCCTCCCAAGTGCTAGGATTAAAGGCGTGTGCCACCACCGCCCAGCATCAGGCTTTCCTTTTAAGAAGGCATGTATTACTTATGAGTTATCTACCTCATGGCAGGAACTTACTTATAATACTGTTTCTGAAGAGCTGACATCTCCACCCTGAGGATCTGCTCCACTTTGGCAGGAAGGGATTTCTCCACATCTTTTTTGACTCTCCGAAGAAGGAAAGGCTCTAGTACCTTATGAAGACTCTGATAGCCATTCTCTCGCCCCTTTCCATGGTCTTCTTCAAAATCCTCCCAGAACTCAAACCTACGGATGAAAGGGTCACCATTAGTAACACAGAGGGAAGGGCACTTTCACAACAAAATAAGAACTCAATTAGGGGCAGGGGAGCTTTGAGGGACTTTAGAAAACAAAAAACAAACAAAACTTTCAATCCATCCTGCAAGGAAAGGCAAAATTTGTCCATCACTAATCATCAATAAAAGAGAAAGGAATAAATAAAATGTAATTCTAAACTTTCAAACGGGACAACGTGGCTCAGTGGGTAGTCACTTGCCTCCTGACAAGAGAAAGTGAGCTGAGCACAGCCTTCATCACTGTCTGTGTCCTGCTGATGCAGTGTGATCAGCTGCTTAATGCTGCAGTCATCATGTCTTCCCGCCACGATGGGCTGCGCACTAAACTGTAAACCAAAAAAAACCCTCCCTCAAGTTGCTTTTGTCAAGTGTTTTGTGGGAAACTGTGTGAAGTAACAGATACGGCCACGACTGACTGTGATCACCAGTGAAGGAAAGAGGGACCCAGTAAGCTGGTGGGGGCCAAGAACAACAACGAGAAAGCATACACACGCAGCGTAATGGAAAGACAGTGACTCTGAATAGTGCTACTTAGTCGATGGTTACCCCCTTTATCCCTAAGGCAAACACTGGGAACACCTGGGGACAATTTTAGTTGTGACAACTGGCCTGCAGTGAGGAGAAGCCAAGAATGCTGCTAGACGTCCTACAAGGAAAATGACACATGGCAGCTGGGGTGGGGGTGAAGGGTGTCCACTCTAACACAAAGATGGGAAGCCCAGCATTAAGAGATGGTACCAAATGGAGGGTCCAGCGGAACTCTCCTCCCAGAACAATACTCTAATGAGGAAAAGGACAGAGAGGAGCAGGAGGGAAGAAAGAAGAGAATAAAAGGGAAGAGAAGATGGGGAAGGAAGGAAAAGGGAAGGGAGAGAAGAGTCAGCCCAACTTCAACCTGCTCAAGTAACCACTGTAGTGAAGCTAGCACACTCATAATGGTTACATGTCTCAATCCATCATCAGATAATCATAAACATTCTCACAAATAATGATTGTTTTCCAAGAAGTGCAGAAGCAAATAAAGACAATAAATGTGCTGACTATAGGTCTACCTTACAAGAAACACTAAAGTTAGCCATTTGAGCTAAAAGAAAAACCCTCCACAGAAACTCAATCCACAATAAGAAACAGAGATCACCTAAAAATGATAAGACGTGCTATTTTTCTCTTTTCAGGGTTCCCTTAAAAAACAATCCTATGTCAACCAATAATTCTACTGTTGTATCCTTGAGTTTAAAACATAAGGAGAATTTAAAGTAGAGCCACTGTAGAACAAAGTTGTTATACTTTTTAAGAATTAAGTTGGCATTAACCTGAAGGTTAGGTTAAAATACAAAATCCTTAGAGAATCCAAGAATAGATAACTTTAAAATAGTAACATTAACTAGGAGAGGAATTAAACAAACAGTACACCAAAAATGTAAATACTAGTGCCGGACGCGGTGGTGGCGCATGCCTTTAATCCCAGCACTCGGGAGGCAGAGGCAGGTGGATCTCTGTGAGTTTGAGACCAGCCTGGTCTACCGATCGAGTTCCAGGACAGGCTCCAAAACAATACAGAGAAACCCTGTCTCGAAAAACCAAAAAGAAAAAAAAATGTAAATACTAAACAAGGCAGTAAATGAGAACTAGGAATAAATGAAAAATAGGAATAAACATGAAAACAAGTAGCCAAATGACAGGAATGGATTCAACCACTATTTATAACTAAGAAACTGCCTCAACCTAATCAAAAAGTAAGAAAACAAAAATCTGCTTCGACCAATTCTATTCAACACCAAGGTTCTACAGTATATTAAGTAAGAGAAGATATAAAAAGCGTTCACATAAGAAAGATATTTAAAAGCCTGAACCTGCAGAAATATAGTCCCCTAAGTAAACATGTAAAGAAAATTGGTAATAAAAAGTTGCAAATACAAATTTATGAATATCAAATAAATACGTAACAAACATTCAACTCTAGCTCTATATCCTAACTATAACTCTAGACTCTAACCACAGCTCTATACTCAACTGTAGCTGTAGATAAGTAATTCCCAACCTTTCTGATGCTATAATGCAGTTATTCAGGTTGTGGTAGCCCCCAATCATAAAATTATTTTCATAGCTACTTCATAACTATAATTTTGCTACTGTTATTAATCATAATGCAATTTTTGGGAAATATTATTTTAAGGTGCGTGGCTTTTGTTTATGCTGCATTTGCTTAACTCTGTGAAGCTGTGATTTATTCCCTGTCTAAAACATCCGGTGGTCCTAATAAAGAGCTGAACAACCAATAGCGAGGCAGGAGCAAGGATAGGCGGGGCTGGCAGGCAATGAATATAAACAGGAGAACCTGGGAAGAGAAGGAACAAGAGAACAGGGAGAGGAGGACAATGGGGGGGATGGGATACACCCACCCACCCTCCCAGCCGGCCAGCCGGCCAGCCAGCCAGCCACAGAGTTAGAAGGAAAGTAAGATTTACAGAAGAGAATGATAAAAATCCAGAGGAAAAAGGTAGAAAGGATAATTAAGAAAAGCTAGCAAGAAACAAGCCGGGCATTCATAAGCATAATGTATAAGACTCATTTGGGAGCACTGACCTACTTAACAGCACAGGGTTTCATCCCCGCAGCTCACCAAAACAACAGAACACCTAAAACTTTAAAAAGAACTTCAAAAAGAAGTTTAAGACTGTAACAATGAACACACTAAACATTACTGAGAAAAATCGCACAGCTAAATAGAGAAAGCCTCCCGTGGCCATGGATTAGAAGGCTCATTTATTATTGATTAACAACTCTCCCATAACTTTTATGCCCCAGGAGTTAATGAGCTAACCCTGAAATAGAAATGAAAAGCCTTCACGAGCAGACAAAATGTTGTGAGAAAGAGTGAAACCAATTCTCACACTTCTCCACGCTAGAGACTAGTGGGAAGCAGACACGTGAGAGCCGCACGGAAGCACGGAATTCACGGCACAGGACTGACAAGTCCTTCTGTCTCACTAATGCTCAACAGAAGATGTGTTTGCAACAATAATGCTGGGACAACTTTCCAAATTCCTCAGTGAAGAAAAAATCAATCAAGGTCCTCACTCACACTCCACATACTAAATAACTCAGAATAAAATACGCACCTAATGTGACAAGTTACAATTTTTAGATCAAAAATGTCTTCATGGTCTATGGTTAGGCCTATCTGTTTTAAACATGTCACACAAAAAATAACTTGATAAATTATGTTTGAAAGTTAAAATTTGGCTCTTCAAAAGATATTATGAAAATAAAGAGAAAAGTCAATCATATACTTTTATTTTTACAAAAGTGCTTTATTGAGAGCACTTGTATCCAGAAGTTTTTAAAGAAATAAACTGTTCAACTCATGTATTGACAACCCAATTTTTAAAAGCTGAAGCAATGCTTTTTATATTCCATTTATATTTATTTTATGAATATAATGTTTGCCAGAATGTATGTTAATGTACCAAGTACATGCAGTACCTGCAGAAATCTACAACTAACCACTGGGCTGAGCTCCTGGAGCACAATTCAAGTGAGAGAGGAGCAATAATATGAACAAAGGAGTTAAGATAATAATGGGGAAACCCACAGAATCAGCTGATCCAAGCCACAGAGAGATCACTGACCCAGGTTTGACAAATGGGGAACCTGCATAAGACTGAACCAGACTCCCTTAATATAGGTGACAATGGTGTGACTGGGACAACATATGAGGCCACTGGCAGTGGGTCCAAGATCTAACTCTAATGCACAAACTGACTTAGTGGAGCCCATTCTATTTAAAGAGATGCCTTGCTCAGCCTAGACATGGGGGGGGGGGGATTAGGATGGTGGAGGAGTGCCTTGATCCGACCTTAAAAAGATGATGGGACAGACTTAGTAGACTTCCTAAAGGAGGCCCTACCCTCTCTGAGGGGCAAATAGGAAGTGGGGTGGGGGGGTAAGTGGGAGAAGTAGGAGGAGAGGAGGGAGGGGAACTGGGGTTGAAAAGTAAAAAATAAATTAATAACTTTAAAAAGTATATTTTTAAAAAACCAAAAGCCCAAATAGTCTAAGAAGAAATGAGAAGATGCTCAATATCCTTAGTCATTATAAAGGAAAATAAATTACGGAACATTTACCTGCCGATTATACAATCACTAATTAAATTGCTTACTGTGTGTCAGATGCTATTCCAGGTAATGTGAACCAGTGATGAACCAGCAACCAGGATCCCTAGTGTTTTTACATGCCTAATTTAGTGATATGAGACAAAGAAGCCATGCAGCAACCAAACAAGGAGGGAGAAGAGGATAAGAAAGGAGGTGGCTGCCATGTAAAAATAAGGAGAAGGTGCATTCCAGACGAGACAGAGTAGGAATGGGACAGCTGATACATGATGGGGAATGGAACAAGTGGTAGAGTCATAGCCTGGACCCAGCTCAGTACACACTAGAGGAAGGAATTGGATCTCATCTACGCTGTCGCTGAGAACCACTAGGTAATTTAAGACTGTGAAATGAATATATATACTGTGTATCTATCCTATATAACTTATCTAGTAGACATAAGCCAAAGTTCTGTAAGAAGCAAGTTGATCTGAATAAGGACTAAAACTGATACGTCTATCAGCAAACACTATATTTAAGGCATGTCTATGTATATCAAATACTTTATTCATGTGACTTTGAGTTTTTGTTTTACTCTTTTTGAGTTACATGGAGCTTAGAGTTGTCTCAAGCTCACTATGTAGCTGGCACTGAATTCCTAATGCTGCTGGCTCAACCTCCCAAATGCTGGGACTAATTATAAGAAGCATCACTACCTCACCTAATTCTCATATGTCATAATAATTATTTCCCAGATGCTTTAAGTAATTCAAACCTTTGGTAGGCAATTATATACTCTTCCTTAACAGGATAATTTCTTTAGGTTCTATCACTTTATTATGCAAGATTTTAATACAGCTGCTTCTGACACAGATGAATATTTTGCCTTTCCCATGACATCAGTTTTGGTAAGTCGTCTATTAAGAACATCAAAAGATTGCCAGACATGATAGTGCAGCCTTTAATACCAACCTGGTCTAAAATAGTTCCAGGCTAGCCAAGACTACATGAGACCCTTTCTCAAAAATAAAAAAGGCAAGGGAGGGGGCATTTTCATATCAAACATTCTAGCACCCTTTGAAACAAAAAAATAAGGAGCTTACTTCTCCGGCATAATAAAGTGCAGCAAGGACCAAAGTTCCTTGAGGGAATTCTGAAGAGGGGTGCCTGTGATCAGTAGCCTATGGCTGGACTTGAAATCAATCAGAGTTTTATACAATAAAGAGTCATCATTCTTCAACCGATGGGCTTCATCTACTCCCAGGAAGGCCCAGTTAATACTGCCCAGCACGGTCTAAAGTGAAAAACAGAACAGAACGAGCCACCAGGTCAGAAGGGGACCCACAGTGTTTAAATCATTTCTGTATAAAAACCATCACAAAGACACACAGGTAGACACATTTATTCTTCACAAACTTAATATATATTAGAATTCTTCTGCTTGTTCTATCAGTTGCCGAATTCAAAATACCTCATCATCTAAACTGTAAGTGAATCTATTATATAAGCAAGCTCTGCAAAAGGATGAAAATTGCTATGCTGAGCACAACAGAAACAGAAATGTCATGTGACTGTCTTTGCAAGACTCTTTTCTTGCCTATTTGCCACCCCAAACTTGAAACCATCTAGTAACTTTAGAAAAAAAAAGCTCTCTGGTACTATACCTCAGTGTGCAGTCTTTTTTTTGTTTTGTTTTGTTTGTTTGTTTGTTTTTAATTTTTATTTTTTTAATTTTTTTTTTTTTTTTTTGGTTTTACGAGACAGGGTTTCTCTGTTTTGGAGGTTGTCGGTCGAGCGTAGCCTCAAACTCACAGAGCTCCGCCTGCCTCTGCCTCCCGAGTGCTGGGATTAAAGGCGTGCGCCACCAACACCCGGCTTTTGTTTGTTTGTTTTTTGAGACAAGGTTTCTCTGTATTGTTTTGGAGGCTGTTCTGGAACTCGCTCTGTAGGCATGCGCCACCAACGCCCAGCCTCAGTGTGCAGTCTTTTTTTTTTTTTGGTTTTTCGAGACAGGGTTTCTCTGTATTGTTTTGGAGGCTGTCCTGGCACTCGCTCTGTAGACCAGGCTGGCCTCGAACTCACAGAGATCCGCCTGCCTCTGCCTCCCGAGTGCTGGGATTAAAGGCGTGCGCCACCGCCGCCCGGCCAGTGTGCAGTCTTAATACCCTTTCCTCCTGCCTTCTGCTCAACTCAACTGGACGAAGGCACCTGAGCTCCCATTCAACTGTGAGGTTTATTTTCTACTTACAGTTTTAGTATTTGACAAGTATTTTAAGTCTGTTTGTTTGGTTGGCTTTTTAAACAAAGTAAGAAGAAAAATGTAACAAGTAGGAAGCCCAGTCCCCACTCTAAAATAAGATACACATGGGCAAGACAACTTTTTTATTACTAATTACACACCTTATCTTTTAAGAGGATCTCATATGTTGTTATAAGTGCATTGAACTTCAACCTTTTGGTTTGAGAATGAATCCACTCATATTCCCTTATCTATGAGAAGAAAAAAATAGTAATTAATACACAATTTCTACTTCCAAATTTTTGTAACAAAGCAAGTTTTATAATAGATGCAATAAAAATGACAAAAAGAGTCTCACAAGAATGGAATCAACAGTCTACGCACTCTCAAGAGACTTAAGTAACCCAAGCATAGAACACTGAGACAGAATCAATATAGAACACTAAGTAGGAAAATCTTTATTGTCATTTCAAAGTAAACTTCAGGAACTTGCTGGGCATGGTGTAACACACCTTTAATCCTAGCATTCAATAAGTCGAGGCAGGCAGATCTCTGTGGATTCAAGGCCAATCTGGTCTACAAAGTGAGTTCCAAGACAGCCAGAACTGTTACAGAAACTGTCCAGAAACCCTGTCTAGGAAAAAAGACAAGTGAACAAAAAACTTTGGGGACTTCAACTAAATAAAGGAGGGCTTTCTGACACTCTTTAAATGTTCTTAAGGAAATGAAATTTCCATTATTCTTTGTATATGGTGACATTTATTAAGAAGCAACAAATTATAATTGGTAGGTTGGCCAGAAATTTCATTAATCATAGTCAACAGATACATCCCCCAAGAAAATAGAAATGGAGACGATGAGTACTTGCAGGTGATTGAAACCAACGACTAAAGAGAAGGTATACTGGGTACCTGTCATAAAGCAAAACACCCGCTTGCTTTCTCCTATAATAACTAACAAATTAATGGAACTAAGAACTGCTTAGTCTTAGTCAAAATTATGGCAATGAAGCCTAATACAGTTTATATTCAGATGGGTTTTTTTATTTTGTTTTGCTTGTGGGGTTGGCACTCAAACCCAGCGTCTAGCATGCATGCATGCTAGGGTCTATTGCTGAGTTATAGCTCCAACCCAACCAAGTGAGATCATTCTAAAGACAGCATTTAATAAAAACAAATTTGAGTTCATGAAATTGTGTTGGCAGAGCTTCTCTAAAGTGTGGAAGGTTCCTTGTAAGCCGTTCTGGCTACAAGCAATCTCTAAAACCATGCTGACATAGAAGGGCGCAAGCATAAACCCTCAGGACCAGACAGACTTGTGTCTGGTAAGCTAAGGCTCCAGTTCTGCCATTCTTCCATCTAAAACCAAGGGTTAGACAGACTCCTGGATATTATCTTTAGCAGTCTGTCAGATTTGCTGTCATCAATTTTGAAGACCACCTCAAAGGTTACAGGGATACACATAAAAGCACCCAACATAAGAACTAGCACACAGTATGTACTCAAAAACACAATCGTATTTTTCAAAAATATTTTTCTAAACAAAGATAAACTCAGCACAATGTGCTAAACCTCATGGTGCTCAATTCAATGTTTGATACCAAATAATTCTCTTTTCTACAGCCCTAGAAATGTATTCTTTTCCTTTATTTTTATTTCTTTCTTGTAGGTTATGAAATCAAACTATTTTAAGAGATTGGGAAATAAACTTTAAGAACTCAAGTCTTCCCAGTAACATTTTTGCTAAGACAGCAAAGATACTAATTTTCCATAAAGAAAGGTAATCTTAAATATAAAGATCAAACTAGTAGTGGTAATGGATGCCAATAATCATAGCTCTCAGGGGGCTGAGGCAGATGGATTGCCATAAGTTGGAGTCCAGCCTGAGCTACAGTGAGACACTAGGAGGAGAGGAGAAGGGAGAAAAGAGAGAAAAAAATTCAGACAGAAAACAGTGCAATCCAACTAAGAGATTCCCATGCAATTATTGCTGTTTTAAAGCACAGTAGTATATACCTTGTTCTATGCTTTAAAGAATATCTGAGTTGCATTTTGACAGACCACCAAGAACTGAGGCCATAGTACACAGTGTATGTAACACCTCTGCCTATGCTGAAACTCACTCTGCAGACCAGGTTGGCCTCAAACTCAGAGAGATTTACCTGCCTCTGCCTCCTGTGTGCTGAAGTGTGTGTGAATAGTTTTACTCGAGAGTTTACTAAAACACCTATAAAACACTTTCAGTCAATTTCTAAAATACATTTTAACACACATGCTACTTCAACTCTTTTTGTTTACGCACCGTATTTCTGCTCATCAGGTCACCTATGTAAACCACTACATTAATCTCTGGTGCCCAGATTTCAAACTCCCTCTGCCATGAAGTGAGGGTGGATAAGGGGACGACTATAAGAAAGGGCCCATAGAGCTGGTGCTGGTGGAACAGGTAGGAGAGAAATGATATGGTCTGGATGGTCTTTCCTAGGCCCATTTCATCAGCAAGGATTACACTGTTACTTCTGCAGTAAGAAAAAAATACAAAGTAGTTATTAGTTCATGAGAAAAACATTAGGTACACAAATAACACACTTGACAAAATCAATAGAGTAAGGCATCAGATTGACCCTTCAATGAACTTCTTCTCATCTTCAATGACTTAAGCTTCCTAAATAAGGAAGAAAGGAGAAAACAAACAGCAGACCAGGCAAATCTATCTGGAACTATACTGAAGATTTAGATTACACAAGGCTCCTCTAATTGTTTCTATGTAAGGCTCTGGATTATACTGTCTTCCATAGGTTATTCCTTCTAACAGTGAAGACAAGTTATATCAGAGATGCTGCTGAATAGTATTTCCCAAGAGTCTTTTTGCCTTTCCTCAAAGTACGTTCCCCATTCCACTGCATTCCATTTGACTGTCCAATACCACATCTACTATTTTATAGACCTATTTGATACAGGGTATAAGGGTCTTGGTTTTTGTTTGTAGTACTGGATATAGAGCCCAGGACCTTGTATGTTCTAGGCAAAGGGGAACTGTTTTAAATATGTCACAGTCTAGACTTCAGGGCCTCATTATGGACCTACTGAACGAGACTATCCAATCCAAGAAAGGAGTTCAGGATTCTGAGGGGTTTGTTTTGTCTTGTAGTCCTTGACAAGTGGGGCTTGAGACACACAGACCTTGGGGTATTTGAATTCTTGTTCCTATGCATGGAGGGACACTGCTACCCCCAAGCAGCCCAGTCCTTGTTCCTTTAGCTATGCTCATGCTACTGTGACTGTATTTCAGCCAAAAGTCTTTCTGTGCCAAATGAACTGATGACTTGTATGTATATACGCTTCACTGGTGAACCAGAGTACTGAAAGTAAAAGAGAAGTTAGTGTCTAACTAGAAGTAGTTAACCTGCCAAGATTGCAGGCAGATCTTTGGGTTTACAGTGAACTGGTCCACAAGGTGAATCCCAAGGCAAACCAGAGCTACATAGTAAGACTAAGAAAAAAGAATACTAATCACTGTATAGCAAATATTACACAACTCAGGAGAAAGCTGATAGTATCCTTGCTCCTAAGGACCACCAATTGTAAAATAAAAGGGCTAGCTCACACAACCTCTTTAGTTACACCTAAGTTCTTACTGATCCCTTAAGAGAGTAGGACTTACTATCTTCTGAAAGGAATATTTTTTTTAAGTATTTGCTTTATAATTTCATGAACTTAGTATTCTTTAATCAATCCCTCCATTTTCCTCTTATCCCATACCCTCTCCACTAAAACAAACCCCGTTTTCCCAAGTCTCCCACCTACTTTCCTATGTGTTTATGTGTGCTTACGTGACTCCCATTGCATTTAATTAGGTTTGCCTGCATAAGCATGGGTGGGGGATTAAGGAAAACCATTATTAAGCAGCTAAAATGGTTGTGATCCACTTTCTCAGTCATACAAACTGAAGCTCTAACAACTGGATTTTCTTCAGTCTTAATACTACATTCAACTGAAAAGACAATTACTGAAGGTGGTTCACTTGGGAAATAGTTATTGTAAATGAGTTTATAACTAGAAAACATCTCCCTAACATTGAAAACAAATTTGAATATTTTCAATTTTCAAGCTATAATTTAATTCTGAAATAAATGTATCTGCTTTACTATAAAAGATGAAGACACGAGCCAGGTGTGGTGGCACATATCTTTAATCCCAGCATTCAGGAGGCAGAGGCAGATGGATCTCTCTGAATTCAAGGCCAGCCTGATCTACAAAGCAAGCTCCAGGAAAGCCAGAGCTGTTACACAAACTCTGTCTCAGGCAGAGGAAAAAAAAAGACAAAAAGAAAGGGCGGGGCTGGAGAGATGGCTCAAAGATTAAAGGCACTGCTCATACAGAGGACCTGGTTCAATTCCCAGCCCCCACAAGGCAGCCCACAACCATCTGTAACTCCAGTTCCAGGATAATGATGCCCTCTTCTGGACTCTATGGGTACTAGGCACACAAGTGGTTAACAGACATACATGCAGGAAAACACATTTTGTGTGTGTGTGTGTGTGTGTGTGTGTGTGTGTGTGTGTGTGTGTGTGTGTGTGTAAATAAACTCCTTTTAAAAAAAAGGTATGTGTAGGGAAGAAATCTGTCATTAGCATTAAAGGGAGCACTCGAATGATACATCACATAATGACAGAGGAAACACGTTTATCTTGAATCACTTCAATTCTCAAAATCTAAATGGTCCCCAGAACTTATTACTTAGGATAAGAATAAGCCAAACACAGTAGAGAAAAATCTAACCATATCTTCTACCTACTTGCACCAGGAGTGAGCAAGCCAGTTGAGACCCTCTAGCTGATAATCCCGGAGCTCCAGATTCTCCCCTCCTAAGTATGCTGGCTGCTTCTTTAAAGCTACAAATCGTGGTCTTTGCTTTAGTGCCTGAAAAACAAAAATTAACAAAACCTACATCTTAGAACATTTTCCCTACTCTTAAATTACAATGTTAGCCATATTTTATGTACTCTATGCCAGAAAACAAAAGTTTAATTTCAGTATGAATATCACCCCAACCTACCTCAAACCAGTACTGCTCCCATAGTTCATCCTAAGATAAAATACTGTTAAAAAACCTTGCTTTTTCTGAGATAAATCTGTGAACATTAATAAACTTTATTTCCTCATCCTTTACTGTGTGGCATACAGCATTCGTTACCTGGATGCCATCTTTTCTACACAATACAATGACACTCTGGAAGTCACTGAGAGACGCTGAAGAGATAAGCTACAATTACTGTAACTGGGAACTCAGACCCCAACCTTGTGAGTATAGTTTTCAGAAGGAAAAGTCACTCCACTGCTGAGGGTCTAAAACCTTGCATTCTACTAAGGCCAAGTCTACTGTTTACAAAAAAAATATAGACTCTGTGGCCAAATCAGTTTGGGGAACAACGAGTTCAAACTTGTGCACGTTTCTCCACTGAGGACTTTTCAGAGTCTAAGCATACGCAGCATAAGGTGAATGTGCAGGCGTCCACTCAGCACTCACGTCTTTCTCCATCGTGGGAACTATCACCCTAACAGTGAGTGGTCACGAGTACTTTCAGTTCTAGCGAATGCGGCCTGACTCTTCTCCTCACCTTCCACACACTAGCCATTTTTCCACTCCTGATAAACTGGCCTGTTGTGGGAACACCAGACCTTGAGCAGAGACCCACTTCCCCTTCTGCCTGGGAGTAGGCAGCTGTAAGACAATGTTTACTAAAAACATGTTTACTAAAAACAATACAATGCCTGGGGGCATTAAGTTCCTGGAAAAGGCCTGCCCGCAGAAACCACCCTGACCTCGACCTTGTCCAAAGACTAACCACCTCTTCTGCCACGCCCAGATCAGTTTCTGGGGTCAGAGCAGAACCAGCCAGGGTAGAGGAGAGAGCAGAAGCTTCTCTGGTGGGAGCCTTTCTTGGGAAGTTTTCTTGAACCTTTTTTGGGGCCTGCTTAAAGTTTTCTTTACATCGTTGAACAAGTCTCTGTGTTGTCAATCCCCGACACCCTCCGCACGTTCTCGGACACAGGCCTCGCAGGTGACGCGACAGCCTGTGGTGGCTCATGTCTGTCTACAATCTGTCCATGCCCCCTAGCTGGCCCTCCACGATTCTTCAATTAGTGACTCCTATCACATTACTGGGTGGATCTTCTGGCTCCAGTTTCCTACTCACTGTCATTAGCTGACGCCTTTAAGAAAATGCTGACCACAACCTGGTACTCTCTGTTACAAGGTCCCCAAAACTACAGGATAGTCAAAACACACCTTCTTTAACACAGTCAGGACACACAGTTCATTTGGATCCAGGAGTTTTCTACTACAAAATTCTTTTGATACCTTTCCTGAGTAGTCAACCTCGGTGTCTTTTTCTATTTTTGTCATAGATTTATTTTACTATGTGCATGAGTGTTTTGCCTGCATGTGAGTGGGTACACCACATGTGTGCTTGGTACCTGAGGTGGTCAGAAGAGGATGTCAGACTCCCTGAGACGGAGTTACAGATGGTAGTCAGCTGTCATGTGGGTACTGGCGAGAGCCACAAGGGCTAGTAACCACTAAGCCGACTCCCCAGGTCCCAGGGCCTTTCTTGTATGCTATTAAGCACCAATCCACTCTTCAAGGGCAGAGGCAAGGTAAGCACTGGCTGCTTTCCTCTAAAAACCTCTTCAATGCCCACCAGAGCTGTGAGCCCACCTCTGTTCTGTTCTGACCATGGCTTCTCCATCCCACTCATGAGCAATGATCACATGCTGGCCTTTACAGACTGGAGTTTGACGTTATTAACATGAACTTTAACTTCTCTGAGACACAATTCAAGAAACCAAGCATATTTCCAGATCTCAACAAACTCCAGAAAGGGAGAAAGACTTGTATAGTCAATCTAGCAATAAAAAGCCTGCATATTCAGTTTCTAATTTAACATTCAGAGACATCTTTCCTGAATGTTTTAAAGTGACTAACTCAAGTATTTATAACAATACATCTAATTCTATAAAGTAACAAGTTATAGAAACCAGCAAAGTTATTATACAACTGATCCTATTTTTTAAAAAAATTGTGTGTGTCTCCGGGTGTTGGTAGCACACGCCTTTAATCCCAGCACTCTGGAGGCAGACGCAGGCTGATCTCTGTGTTTTCTGCAAACGAGTTAATTATATTTTATATCTTATTTGAAGCCAGCCTGGTCTATAGATTGAGTTCCAGGACAGCCTCCAAAGCAATAATACAGAGAAACTCTGTCTCGAAAAATGAAATAAAATAAAATTGTCTGTGTATGTGTGTGTGTTTGCTCACACCTGCCTAAGTGTACTGATGGATCTTTCAGGGGTCAGAAGATGGCACTGGATCTCCTGGAACCGGAGTCACAGACAGCTATGAGTCACACCCAGATCTTTTCTGAGAGCAATAAGCATTCTTAACCTCTGAACCATCTCTCCAGCCCCTCATCCTTCTCCTTTAGCTTTCATTTTCCTTTGAGCCAAGTCATGTGTAGACCAGGATGGCCTTGAACTCATTACATGGCCAAGGATAACCTCGAATTTCTTATCTCTGCCTCCATCTCCAGAATCCTGAGATTATAGGCATGCACACCCTTATGTGATGTTATGCAATCAAACCCGAGGGCTGTACACATGTACACTCTATTAACTGAGCTATATACCCAGCACATGCAGTAATCATTTATAGTCAATGTTACTTTTAAACCATCATATATATCATATATATCTATACAACTAACCCTTTGGCTACAACACCTTTCCACAAAATAAAATATTAAAATAAAATAAAAATAAGCTGGGTATGGTGGAGCATGCCTTTAATTCTGGCACTCAGGATGCAGAATGAGATGGATTTCTGCGAGCTCCAGGCCAACCTGATTTAAATAGTGAGTTCCAGGATAGCCAGAGCAACATAAGAGCCCCTATCTCAAAAATAAAATAAAATAAAATAAAATAGAAAATTATAAAAACACAAAACCAACAACCACCAAACCTTGCATTCTCTTGTTGGAATGGTTTTGGAGTTGTTCCGGCTGTGGAAGCTGTCGATACAGTTCTGGAATTTCTTTCCGATCAAGGCTTCATCTTCCCAGCTACACTCCGAATAAGGCAGTCCCATCCATTTGCATAGATACTCAGGCTCATTTGAAGGTGCCGGCTTCCGGCTGTGAGCTATACCCATGAATATAAAGTTTATCAAACAATGTCAATTAAAAGTAGGAAGTGATATTCTTTTTTAATATGTAACTAATGAACACCATGTGGCAAAACTGTAAATAATCTTCAAATCACAATGTGCTCATAAATATTGAACATTTACTTAATGTAAGATGTGTTACTCACCTGGAAAATCTGTTTGGCCCAATGTAGATTTACTTGTCTTCACAGCTAAACAAATATAAAATAAGACAGAAAAGTTATAAATACACCAAGAACAAAGAAGAAACAGATTTTACAAGTAAGGGGGCTGGAAAGATAGCTCAGAGGTTAAAAGCTGTAGTTGCTCTCCAACAGGACCCAGGTTCAATTCCCACATGGCAGCTCACAACTGTCTGGAACTCCAGTCCCAAGGGATCTGAAGCCCTCTTCTACCCTTCTCAGAACTACACAGCTAACACACACAACTACACAAAGCATGCACATTGTGCACAGTTACACATGCAGACAAAACACCCATACACATAAAAAGTAAATAAATAACTTAATTATCAACAACAAAAAAATATGCCAGGCAGTAGTGGTGCACGCCTTTAATCCCAGCACTTGGGACGCAGGGGCAGGCTGATTTCTGTGAGTTTGAGACCAGCCTGGTCTACCAGAGCTAGTTCTACGACAGCCTCCAAAGAAACCATACAGACTACCTGTCTCGATACCAAAAAACAAAACAAGCAAACAAAACAAAAAAAAAAAAAAAACAAACAAGATCTTACAAGAATAGGTGCTCTTTTACCTTATGTTTTAAAAGCCTCTTTTAACCTGGCTGCCAGACTATCATCCTATTACTCTATTATTATCTTTTCAGATACTTTAAAAATATTTTTAAGTATAAGGGCCCAAGTAAGCAGAAGAGTTTTTCTGAGTTAGTAATACCACTGAACAAACCACAGCGATATGAGATGGGAAACAACGTCAATGAATGTTTGAAAGATTTCCTGTGCATCCTTTCCTGATGCAGAGGTGCTAGGACTGTGGAGCATTTGTAAATGTCATGTTTTCAGTGTGTATATCAGTGATAAAAAAAGGGAATTTGAGGCACAGACTCTGTATAGTCACTAAAATGACATACTATTTCACAGAGTGATCTCTTCATTTGGAGGTACAATCAAGTAATTAGGAAAAGCCTTAATTAGAAGCTTCACTCTCTATAAGTTTTAAAGACAAAGTAATTCCCCAAATTTCTAAATTCTTTTAGTTGAAAGAGTAAAAATGGTTCTGCTACTTTTTAAAATAAGCCATCACTGAATCTATATTGAAAACTATTTCTCATTCTCTCCAGAGGCTCCCCTCAATCAGGCCTGCTCTGTAGTCAATTCCTGTTGCCATTTCACTGATGCCAGCCAGCATTACTCCCAAATTCAAGGGTCAGCTCCGAGACTAGTATTCCATGTCATTCACCTACTTCTACTGCAGCAATACCTCTTAACTCATCTCTTGGATCACTGCCTACTCCTCCTCTATTCTCAGACTTTCTCTTCTCAAAACGTGTACTCTCTTTTCTCTCTTAGGATCTCAGTAAATTTCAAAATTTAAGTACTACCTATAATTGACAATACCTAAATGTTATCTCCAAGTCACCAAGTGAACATATGTTGGAGCCCTCAAATAATACTTGTCTCTTAGATAACAACAAAGTTACCAAACCAAAGCATTTGATTTCAAATCCAAAAATCAGTTCTTCTCTTGATCTTTCCATTTCAGTGAATAGTACCTATATTCTTTTAGGAAATCTTGCAAGCCAAACATCCTGGACACTTCCGTCTCTCATCCCCCACACCCAAATCTACATGCAGAAATTAACTCTCCCTTAAAAAGAAATATGGGCCTTTGTTTAGTCTGAAAAAGTAAACCCACAAAATGCATTTTATAATTTTTTATTATCTTAAGGACAAAGGTCAACTTCTCCAAGTTTCTACATGACCAAAATGGGTTTTCATGAACTTACCTATTACTCTTTCTACTATCTGATACTGTTTATTCAACTCTGATGCCAGTTCCTGTTGGCAATTGAAATATTCAACATCTTCTGGAGAAACTTTTCCTAACCTAGACAGAAGACCAAAAACAAGCATATACCAGTTAGATCTTGGAGATCTATCTATACATATGTATCAGAGCAAACATTCTAAGTGCAAATGTAAACTTGATTGTTTCCATGTGTCCCTTTAGTAAACTTCACTAGTAACAGGTTTGTGATGTTTAAACCTGACAAAAAAAACCCACATCATTTCCGTAAACCAAGAATAATTTTTAAGGGTATCATAACTCAGAGGATTCTAGAACACTGACTTTCACATGTAAGCCACCCAGCCTAATCCAAAGAGAGTAACAACATGCTCTTAGGATTGGCTCACACACATCTGTCTAAATTCGCCACTGACTCACTGCAGTGACTTTGTGCCTCACTTCTCCCTCTATAAACAGTTAACAAAACAAACAAACCCCACGATTTTATTGTCAAGATCAAACAGCATACTTAGGAAAGAAAATGTGGCAAATGTTCAGTGAGCTGGCTGTTCTTGGGAAGTCTGAGAATTTGGTGGCCACATATGAAAGCATCTGCTGTCAACAGGTCACAATTTTAGAAAACAGAAGTACAGATTGCTCAGTGTTTCTTGATCAGATAATCAAGGCAAAATCTGAAATCCTAGATAGCATGTTCACATGTGTTAGAACCTCCCTTCCTTTAGACTGGAAACACCACTTTGACGTGTAGCAGGTAACATACCATTGTTTGATTTCATCCTCTTTCTTCTTGAAGTTCTCCAGCTTCTTGAGGCCCTTCACTTTCTGCTGCTGTAAGGCTTCTTCGCTCTCCCAGGTACTGTGGATGTAAGACCAGCCCTTCCACTTGATAAGGTACTGGACTTCACCTTCCTCCCCCTCAGTGTCAAAGTCGCCACTGGGATCTCCATCAGCTTCAACAGCGTACACTGTGGTGGACGCTCCAGTGGCTGCAAAGAAACCCAGGCCAGCTTTAAAGAAAATGTGAAGACCAGCAAAGGAACCCAGGCCAGCTTTAAAGAAAATGTGAGGACCAGCAAAGGAACCCAGGCCAGCTTAAAGAAAATGTGAGACCCAGCAACGAAAAGACTCCCGATTACACAACTGGCAAGGTGAATCTCTTCTTGAACAAACTCAGTATCTTTGACTTATAATAAGCAGTTAACTTATTGTTCAGTTACAATCATTACAATAAGTAATCAACTTACGGAACAGGATGGATCCTGTAATCTCAAATAGCCTGAAAATGCTACTGTTTACCTTAAAGCATATGCAAACTTACAGGTGAAGTCCAACAATCAAAGAGCAACACCCTTTTCTTTTTAATCCTGACTACCTCAAAAAGCAGATTTCTGCCTCTAGGAATAGAGATGAGGTTAGGTTAACATCAACAAGACCGGATTCAACTGCCAGCACTACTACGTATACTGGACAGTTGGTACACACCTGTAATCCCAGAACATGGGAGGTAGCAAGCTGGAGGCCAGTCAAGACCACCAGAGACCCTGTCTCAAAAATCCAGTCAGTAATCTGCTCCCCAAAGACACAAACCTCCTTTCTTTCCCAGTCTTGAATCTAAGACCTTTTCAATTGTTTCACTATTATCTTGCTGTTCATCAATTCCTTCTCCAGTCATTTCAATGAGATCATCTGAATCAGTCTCAAAGTCTTCATCTTCTTTATAACTGTGTGAGAAATAATGTTGCATGAGTAGGAGACTGTACCTTCAGAATTAAACATCTACAGTAACACTGGAATAACAACCATGCAAGTTAAATTCACAGATTTTCCACTCAGTGGCTCAATGCCTCCCACACCGCATTCCAGAAACGGGCATGTGTCCACAGACAAACTAAAATATGGCTCACACTGTTATGTATAAGCAAGATACAGTACTCTACAAGGATACCCTTTATTATAATATGTAAATTATAACAAAGAAAAGTCATAAGGAAAGAAAATTTGATATTATTTCAGACAAAAGGAAAAAAATATTCCTAAGAGTAAATGTTTCAATCATGCAATTTTATTTCCCAATAACAAGAAAATGAAATTTAATTTAAACTAACCCAAACAGTTGAGAATTTTCACTCAAACTTCTGAATTATAAAACATAAAATGTATTTAGCCATGATGATCCCAGAACTGGGGAGACTGAGGGCAGAGAAACAGCCTGAGACTGGTTTGTGCTAGGATAGCCTTGACTACATAGTGAGTTCCAGACTAGCCTGAGTTATATCAAAAACATTTTTAAAAAAAAATGAAAAACAAAAAAGGTCTTTACAACATACATGAACAATAAGTACAAGGGAGTATAACTCAATAGCATTTGCCTAGTATAAGCAAGACTCTGGGTTTAATCTCCAACACAATAAAATAATAATAAAAGAACACAAGACAAGATATAACATAACAGTAAGAAAATGAGCTAAGCTAAACACCAGCACATTAAATGTCTAGTCCTGCTGTGTGTTGGTGGCACACACCTTTAATCCCTGCACTCAGGAGGCAAAGGCAGGCGGGTCTCTATGAGTTCCAGCCCAGCCTGGTCTACAGTGCAAGTTCCAGAACAGCCTCCACCAAAACAATACAGAGAAACCCTGTCTTGGAAAAAGAAAAAAAGAAAAAAACAAGTCTAGTCCAATTATCATTTGGAAAATTGGATGAGTAATTAGTATCTCTGGTGCTCAGCTTCACATTTCTAAGTAGACCAAAAGAAATATGCATATGCTCTGAAACTAAATGTATTGTGCATTCTCTAGATTAAACAAATAAAGCAACTGAACATATTATATCATTATTTCACCATCAATTAATGCCTCATATGCTATTATTAAAGTTTAATAATATGATTATACCCAAACATCAATAGATACAAGGAGACTCAAAAGTAATTCAGAAATGAAAATACCATCCAGACATTGTTCTGAAACATCAGAAAAATAGCCACTAGAACAGGATGTAACCATGACTGAGGCTCTCTCCTTCTCCACTGGGCTAAACACCATTTTTTCTTAAGGCTGGCTAGATTCTGAAAGCAGCTTTAACACACAGACTTATGTTCTCTTTTGGTTTTTGAGACAAGATCTCAGTGTGTAGCTCTGGCCATTCTAGAACAAGCTATGTAGACCAGGCTGGCCTCAAACCCACCCGCCTCTGCCTCCCTAGTGCTGGGATGAAGGGCGTGCACCACTGCATCCTGCTCAGGCTTATTTTCTTATCTGTCAATCATATTATATAAAACTTGAAAGAGCCAAGTTCTAAACAACTATGTCATCACCATCACATCAACGGAGACCTTCGGGGCCACAACTGACCTCACATTTTTAGCAGCTCTTCGTCGAGTCTGCCTTTTGGGAGCTTCATCGTCATCGTCATCATCATCAGAAGACTCCTGCTTTTTCCGCTTTCCACGCTGAGTCTTAGGCTGCTTTTTAACTTGAGGTTTGGGCACTGTTCTAAAATGAACACAGAAAGAAATAGCAAAGCTGCTCCTCTGTCATTTGGTGGCTATTTCAAATCTACATACTAGCATTTCCCAGAGCAGTGGCATATACAAAGAATTCACTAAAGGGGGCCAGACCTGGAATCTCAGAACTCATGAGGATAGGGAGTTCAAAGTAGACCTCCACTGCATGATACTCTCAGAAAAACAAGGAGAGAAAGAATAACATACAATCACATTGATGTTTCTCCTACCCATTAATGAACCCTAAGAAATAACCAAGGACTCGGTAAATAATGGAAAAAAATCCAGCCTGATGCTTCAATCTTGAGGGTTTAAGCTCAGAGGGGAACAAAGCTCGGGGTTTCTGTGACAGGTACGGACAGACACTAGTCCTAGGCCAGAACTGGCAAACTTTTCTGTACATGGCTAGAGAGAAAATACTTTTGGTCAAGGCACAAAACTGGACCATTGTATAAGTATTTATGCAAATAGATGACATATATTTGTCACATTTTTACTGACAAAATTCAAAACAAAGATATAGTATGTTTTGGTGATACGATAAGAATAGAATTATTCTAATGAGAATAAAGCGTCACATAATTAGGATTCAAATTTAGTACTATTATTAAACTATGTTAAAAATTTACCAAGAAAAACTATTATTAGCCTTCATGGCATTAAAAAAGTAAGTATTAAGCTGGGCGCTGGTGGCGCACGCCTTTAATCCCAGCACTTGGGATGCAGAGGCAGGTGGATCTCTATGAGTTTGAGGCCAGCCTGGTCTACAGAGTGAGTTCCAGGACAGCCTCCAAAACAATACAGAGAAACCTTGTCTCAAAAAAACCAAAAAATAAAATAAAAATAAAGAAGTACTGGGTGTGACTTGACCCCATCCTGCTCAATACTGAAAGAAGGTATATTTTGTAGACTGCGGAGACGGCTCAGTCTGTAAAGTGCTTGCCACGAAAGCATGATGGCCTGTTCAATCCCCACAATCTACATAAAAAGCTACACACAGTGGCATGTACTTTTAATCCCAGCATCTGAGAAGTAGTGACAGTAGGACCCTTGAGGCTGGGCTAGCCAGCCAGGCTGAACTAATCACTGAGCCCAGGTCCCAGTGAGAGATTGTGTCTCAAAAAACAAGGCGCACAGCTAGCTAAGTAACAACACTTAAAGACAACATCTAGCCTACCAACACACACACACACACACATGCATGCATACATCAAACACACCCTCGCACACAAATACATATACATACATATGTATACACACACACACACACACACACACACACACACACACACACACACACACACACACAAAAGAGGTTAAATTTTCTTGAGGTCCTGAGTTTAAGGTCAGCCTGGAAGACCAGAACTACATACACAGTGAGACCTTGTCTCATAAAACAAAAAAGAATACAAACCTATGTGCTAAAGCTGCTTTCAGAATCTAGCCAGCCTTGAGAAAAAAAATGGTGTTGAGCCCAGTGGAGAAGGAGAGAAACAACAGTTCATTTGAAACTGCCTCAATCAAGGTCACGCCTGTCCTAGTGGCTATTTCCCTGATGTTTCAGAACAATGTCTAGATGGTATTCGTTTCTGAATTACTCTTGAGTCTCATAGCCAATTTCTTCTCCCTTATGTCTATCATTAGTTGCCATGCTTTGTCAAAAATTACTAAAACTTGTTGCATTCTCAACCTATGCCCATCTCTATACAATTGGGTTCTCTGTTACGGACTTAATAGAAGCAGGGCGTTGGTGGCACACGCCTTTAATCCCAGCACTCGGGAGGCAGAGGCAGGCGGATCTCTGTGAGTTCAAGGCCAGCCTGGTCTACAAAGCAAGTTCCAGGACAGCCTCCAAAGCAATAGAGAAACCCTGTCTCGAAAAACAACAACAACAAAAAAAAGAGTAATAAGCAATAAATATGCTTTGGATCAGCCAAAAAAGTATTTTCATCTTAAGAATTACTTCTCACCAGGCATGGTGGCACACACCTTGAATCCCAGCACTCAGGAGGCAAAGGCAGGAGAATCTCTATGAATTCGATGTCAGCCTGAGCTACTACCTAAGTGAGTTCCAGGACAGTCAGAACTAAATAGATTTTTATCTCAAAAAGCCAAAAACATGAATAAAACAAGGAATTAGTTCTCCCAAAAAGAATTTGTAACCTGACCACACAAAAATGGAGGGTTTTTTGGTTTTTGTTACTGGTTTAAAGCAGAAGCTATGGTTGCATATACCACACACCCTAAATAGACTACAATGAAAAAAAAAAACCACTGTCAGAGAATATGATCAGTCTATGATATGCATGTATGAAAATGCAATGAGGAAATCCATTACTATGCATAATTAGTATATGCTAACAATAAAATAATTTATTTTTAGACCCCATGGTATATGAAGGAGAGATAAAGTATCTCCAGTCAGAACTGTATTCGTGCAAACACTCAAAACTGATCTCAGTAGCCTAGTCACTTGGACACGTGGTAAAGATACAGGCTGGCACAAAGAGAACCAGATGCCCACATACTACAACAGGACACTCTGTACTGATGAGGGCTCTGGCTCCCTCAGACTTCCTCCTTCCTGTGTAACCCACGGTGAGCTCAGGGGGAAGCAGACTGGGCAGGCTAGCAGCCTACCTTCTGGCAACAGGTCTTCTAGCTTTTACTTTCCTTTGCTCTGGTTCACTCTCTGCACTGGTGCCTTGTTCGTGTTCATCTTCTGAGGGATCCTGTTTCCATTTTTCTCTGTGATCAAAAGCAAAACAAATTTTTTTCTTTAAGAATTCATATGCTAAACAATCTCAAATAACAAATTATAAACTCATTTTCTGAAACCCAGAATATATATGTATTTTAGATAGTATGCTAAAAGAGATCTATTTAAGCTCAGTTTAAATTTTGGTTTTTGTTACTCTTTCTGAGTTACTTTCTATTCCTAATTTAACTCTGGTAACAATCATTTAATGGTAAAAGTATAATTTTCAACCAACTTTTTCTAGGGGAGAAAAACGCTGTTACCCATTCTATTTTGTTCACCCTGTATTACTGACAAGAGTGAATCCATAATACTTACGAGGTCAAAGGCTCACAAGTTTTAACATGTATCAGAACTAATCAAAAAGTTTGTTTCTTACTCAAAAACTGTCAATCAAGAAAGCTCAGGCCGGCCAGTGGTAGCATACTCCTTTAGTCCCAGCACTCCAGAGGCAGAGGCATGCAGATCTCTGTGAGTTCAAGACCTGCCTGGTCTACAAGAGCTAGTTCCAAGACAGCCTCCAAAGCCACAGAGAAAGCCTGTCTCAAAAGCACCAAAAAAAAAAAAAAAAAAAAAAAAAATAGCACAGAATTCTAACAAGTTTACACATGGTGGTGATATTGGGTAGAAATGTATTTCAAAACATATTGAGAAAGAGAAAGAATTTTGCTAGGCTACTCAAATGCTCTCCCACCAAGCTCCACCCCCAGACTATATGAAATGTTTTAGTCTTTAGAACATAATTAAGGAAACAGTCTCTGAATTTATTTTTCAGTGCTGAACCTACAACCCAACTAAACAATCTGTTCTATTTATGACTTAGCTTTTAGTTATTATTAGATAAGGGAAACGTTCTTATGTTTCTTGAGATCTTACATAACCTACAGGTGTCCTTCTGCCTCTGAGAGCTTTTCAAGGCTGACCATGTCACCCCGTGACCTGGTTCATTTCTCACCTGTAGTGAACACTATGTAAAAGCTATTGGGCATGAAAGGCCTAGGAAAAAACAGCAGACACATGCTTGCGGTTCCTCCGTAAACAAAACAATTACCACTGCACCCATGGGTTCCCCTAACAGAGGTCATAACAAAGATGCCTGGCAAGCCAAATAAATAGTCGTCATAGGACAAGTCAAGAAAAAACAGTGCTGACTTGCTCCAAAAGGGGTTGATGTGCAGATTCCTGAGGCCCCTCCTAACAGCTGCAAGAGTTACTAACTTTAGTTACTACAGCCAGTTCAGCTCCACTTGAACTAGTGCAGCTTGGGGAGCAGAATCAACCCTTGCATGAAATGGCAACGTAACACTTTCATGTACATTATTCAGATTCTATCAGCACTGTATGTGCTGACTTCTTGCACAGAAAGAATACAAAGGCTGGTAAATAGAAATGGCCTTGGTTAAATAATGAAATTAACTGATGAATGAACCCTCTCAATTTTTCAGTCAGCCATGTGAGACTAGATAGCAAGTCTTGTTACTGGTTTCTATCTTTCAGTCTATCTTTAAAACAAAGACTTTTGCTGGGCAGTGGTGATGCAAACCTTTAATTCTAGCACCCAGGAGGCAGAGGCAGGTGGATCTCTGTGAGTTTAAGCACAGCTTGGTCTACACAATGAGTTACAGAACAGTTAGGGCTGTACAGAGAAACCCTATCTCAAACTGCCTTGCCCCCCTCCCCAAAAAAAGACTTCCTAGCTTGCTCTGCTTACTCAAGGTCTACTATAATAAAATTTTGCTAAAGAAAACAAAGAAGCCAGACATGGTGTACTCAGAACAAGACAAGACAATGAAGAGTTAAAAAACAACCTTGGATACAAGTAAAACCCTGTCTCAAAAAACAAACAAAAGTAATCTAAGTAATAGAAAGTGATTGCCAAGAAGATGAAAGAAAAAGTGACCCTGACACTTGGAAAACTGGCATGTAAGTCTGCAGTCTCCCTAGGACTCCAAGTCCTTAAGGTCTCCAAAGTCATGCTGCAAAAAACTGGCCTTCCAGGAACAATTAAGGACCAAGGGAGAGTATATCAATGAGGAAAATCTAGAGTCAAGTAATCTGAGCCAGGGCTATCGGTGAGGCCCACTACAGCTAGGGCTATCACTGAGTCAGTCCTACTGGAGCTAGCTAGGGCTGTCACTGAGTCCTACTAGAGCTAGAGCTGTCTGTCAATGAGTCCTACTAGAGCTTGAGCTGTCTGTCAATGAGTCCTACTAGAGCTTGAGCTGTCTGTCAATGAGTCCTACTAGAGCTTGAGCTGTCTGTCAATAAGTCCTACTAGAGCTAGGACTAAGTCCAACTAGAGCTAGGGCTGTCACTGAGGCGCCAGAAAAAGGATACAGCAAACTAAAAAGAGAAAGTATGTGCTGAGGTCAGAATATCCCAGTCAAATTAAAAAGTTATACACAACCAAAAGAACTTGGGCTCTTCCAACATAAAAATGTTAAAAGGAAAAAACTTATCAAATCAACTGGTCTAAAGCCTAGTGAGATGCTGTTTGTTCCTTGAAGAAGACTGAGTCCATTAAGAAGGTTGCTTGCATACACAACAAACTTCACACCTACTATTTTCAAGCATAATCTACAAAAGACCCTTAAAGACATAGGAAAAATTAGAGCCAAGTTTACACATTCCAGAATATATAGACAACCAGGGGGGTGGATGTTTGAAATTGGCAACATTATGTTTTAATTTTCAAGAACAAGAAGAAAGGAAATTATTTATTGGTTTTGGTTTGATTTTTCTGAAACAGGGATTCACTATACAGCTCTGCTTGGCCTGGAACTTACTATGTATACAAGGCTGGCCTTGAGATTCACGACACACCCACTTTTCTGTCTCTGCCTCCCAAGAATTGGGATTACAGGCATTTGCCAGCATGTCCCACTATGAGAAAGAAGTGAAGACTAAGTAAAAATGAACATCAACTTCCCAACTACACACACATACAGCTCTTGAACAAGTAAAACTGCTCATTTCTTGTGGAAAGCCAACTTAAAAGGGACTTTTCAAAGGAGACGCCCCAGTCACCCATACACTGTAAGTCCCACTGCAGTATAGAGGAGTCTTAAGATGCAAAAATTTGGACCTGGCTCAGCAGTTAAGAGCACCTGGTGCTCTTCCAGAGAACCTGAGTTTGGTTCCCAGAACCCAGTTGCAGGGGAGGCAGAGACTCTTTTCTGCAGGGAAGCCTCCTATGACGTAGTCCCTGCTTAGAGTTTGCTGTCTCCAACTCCACATCAGTATGAAAGACACAATGGAAACTGGGTGTTTTCAGGAAAGGCAATACTAAATTTTGCTCTACCAAGTTCTTTAAAATGTATATTTAATGTAAACACTTATATTAATTGCTGGGCAGGCAGAATTTGTATTAGTATTTTGGAGATGAGGAAATAGGTTTAAGAAATTCAAAACTGCCTAGTAATTAGAGAACATGTAACTGGAGACCTTAGTGGAAAATATTCCTGAATTGGTGTGCAAAGTTTTGGATATCTATATTTTTCAAAAAGCATCTACAGAAGAATTCATGCAGTTAAAGGGATGGTACCCCATGGAAATGGGAGGGGTTGTTATTTAAAAATCTTACAATTTTTTGACTATACATAATTTTTTAACTAAAAACAATGAACAGCTAGGTAAAGGGGGACTTTCTTGTAAATCTGTCACTTGGAAAGTCAAGGCAGGAGGATCAGCCTTGACTACATAGTGAAACCCTTGTCTCAAAAACAATAAAGACAATAATAAGCAGCCAAGAATAGTGTCACATTCCCTTAATCTCATCACCAGGAGGCAGAGGCAAGTGGATCACTGTATGTTTGAGGTTAGCCTGGGCAATAAAACAAGAACTTGTTTAAAAAATAATACATTTAAAAATAAAAGTAACTATCCTGAAGCTAGAGTTGGTGGTGTACACAGGCAATCCCAACACTGGAAGCAGTCAGAAAGACACGCAACAGTTCAAGGCCAGCCTGGTCTACACAGGGAACTCTAGGCAAGCCATATGCTCCAGGCAAAAGGGAGATTCTGCCTTAAAAAAATTTAACAAAAAAACATGAAATATTATACATAAAACAAAGGTATAGTGGTATACACCTGTAGTCCCAGGGTTTGGAAATCAAACATTCAAGGTCATCCTCAGCTATATAGTAAGAGCAAGGCCAAACTAGGGCACTTGAGACGCTAGGTGAAAATAAACAGGGCCAGTGAGATGAACTGTTCAGCAGAGGAAGTGGCTCAACTCCAAGCATGATGCTCCCATTCCCAGCCCACATGAGGTTGCCACAGCTGTCTCTGACCTCCACATGCACACTCACATACGCACACACAAAAAATAGCTTTTCAGATTTACTTGTAAGAAAATAGTAGTAGAGTGCTTGCCTATAGCATGTATGAGGCTCTACATTCAATCTCTAATGCTGCCAAAAGTAAAAAATAACAATAATGAACGCGAGTATAAGTTGGTATAATCTGTTTTAACTCTAAGCCCAAGAATTAAAATCTTCTGGTCTATAAACTATAATCTTAGAATTATATTGGAACAGTACATATTTCGTAACAAAATAGGTACCCAAACAATATAAACCTTATCATGTCAACACAAGAAGTGGCCAATTGAAACCTGGTTCTTACTTAACAAGAATGCCAACATCTACTTTGCTATTTATGTTTACTTTGAAGAAAAAATTAGCTGAGCTAACTGAGCTACCCCACATAAGAAGCTGAAGCTTATATGGAATGCAACAGGCTAACCTGAGAAGCCTGGCTGGGCAGTGACCCAAACCAAGTGACCTGGGACAGACAACAAAAAGATCGTCCTAAAAATGTAGACATGTTCACAACTAACCGATGATGTCATCTCCCCCACCAAAGACTTACTGTTTCTTCAGCTGCCTCTGGCCTCTTCTTTTTGGACTCCCGCTCTCAGACCCGCTACTTGCCTTCAGTGTATGAGGGGGAAAATGATTACAGACTTTAGTTCACAGTGAGATTTTAGACAGAATGAAACCTAAGCACTTGCTAGATGGAGACCATTCTTCTTCTGCTTTGAAAACCAATGTCACTTTCTTTCTCAAGTCTATACAGACATCCAGAGCAGCAACATCAAATAAAACTTTCTACAAGTAAATGTTCTGAACCTATAATGTCCAACACAGTGAGCCATCAGCCACATTGTGAAGTCAGTACTTAAAATGTGCCTAGTAGGGATGAAGAATACAATTCTAAATACAAATTTTAAAAGCCAAATGTGTTAGCAGTAACTATACAGGATGCTGCAGATCTACAACAGCATATAAAATAGCAAATGTAGTGAGTGTGCCTTAAAGACACTGCCTGCTGATGTATTCACTTTAGACTAGATTAAAGAGCATCTGTAATCATGAACGAAGAGCTAACAGCACTAGGCCACAGAAGGATTATAGTCACAGACACTGAAACACCTTCACCCGCTAAGTGAAGCGAAACGGCACTCCTCATGAGGCTGTTAGTCTTGGGTCCTACTAAGGATGTACGGATGATAACCAGGAAGTGCATCCAGATGTGACTGGCTACGAAGGACTATGGCTCAGTGACCCAAGTCACTATGGGAAAGGAAGCACAGGCACACCAGCTCAGAAATCACTCAGAACTCAAACAGCATATAAAAGGCAGGTGTTGGCATGAATTTGATCTTCAGAGGACATTTAATGAAAACCCATACCTAACTCCCCAGTATTTAGCTATTGATACAAAATGGTAAAATCCTCCTAAGGCAGAAAGGGGACATTTCACTGAGACAAAAGTATCCCTTCCGAATCTACTATACAAACTTAATATGCAAAGATTTCACAAAACAATGACACAATTTGAGAAAGATGAAATAAGTCTGATTCTATGGCTGTGTGAACCCAAATATTACTTGTTGGGAGCTTTAAAAAATCACCACTCCAGGCACTAGAGATGGATGCAGCTAAATGAAGGGTGCTTGCTAAGAATGCTCAAGTATCAAGATTCTGCCCATCACAAAAAAAAGGTACTCCATCTCTATTATTAGACCAGAAAATGAATATATTAGAAACTAGTTTTCTATCTCACACTACAATTGAGATAGAAAAATCAAACTTACATAAATTAAGAAAAACAAAATATATTAAACATGACTCTTTCCTTTCTCTGGAGTAAATCCAAAATCACATTCATTTTCCGTTTGTTCAGAACGTAAACAAAATATTAGGTGTCAAAAGAAAACTACCCACAATCAGTTACACTCTGAGAAGTTTAAATTTAAATAACTCAGCATACAATACTGGGATGAAACATGAGCTATTATGGGTTTGGTAAGTGTTTACTTAACTTCTTGACCCACTATCTGTTCATAGAAAGGCCCCATTAGATTCCCTTTTAACTGCCACACCTGAAGCTCAGTCTTTTTAATAGTAATACACACTAGTCACAGATGAGGTCAGACAGGGACCCGAAACACATCCCCTCAAATCAGTTTTCTCTTACCTCTTCCTTAATATTGAATCGTGATGGTTCTTGTCTGCTTCGGTTTGACCGCCTAACCCCATAAACATCAGGATATTCTTCCCACATCTGCAAAATTAATAGACAGCACATGAATCATTTCCTTAACTACATTGCTATTATCATTAGAATCCAAACAAAATCATGTAACTAAATATCCAAAGGGTCGTTTTGCTAGTTTTGAGAGAAAACTAAGTAGTATCCTTTCAAAAGAACAAGCATTAAGTTTAACAATGCTGTCATGCTATTAAAACTGTTGAGCACTGCTTACTGCCACTAAACTATAACATCCCATTCCTTCCACAAAATACAAATTACTGATGAATTTTGAATTTCCTGATGTTTGCAGTTTCAATTACAAACAACAAACAAAAACAAAAAAACAAAGCAGAAGAGCCCACCCCCCCCCCACACACACACAATCTAATCAAACAAGGCAGTGCCTCCAGCTACAGGTCCTCCCTCACACACCTGCTACAGGTCCTCCCTCACGCACCTGCTACAGGTCCTCCCTCATGCACCTGCTACAGGTCCTCCCTCATGCATCTCCCACAGGTCCTCCCTCACACACCTGCTACAGGTCCTCCCTCACACACCTGCTTTGACTCACTAGCAGATTAGCCACCTGCCTTTCACACTTTTGCTAACAATTTCCAGCAATTTGAAAAGGTAATCTTCATGGAGGGACTGGTTGGGGTGTTTTGTTTTTCAACTCTCTTCCCTATCGATGAGTATAAGTATACTCTGTGCTTTTTACATGAAATGACAAGGAAGTATAAGGAATATGGATGGACTGTGGAAGGGCACTGGCATGAAGATGCTTGACCATGGTTAAACATGTGGAACAGATGTTAGAAAACCAAGGTCAGGAATAGAGGTTCTACTAAAAACAGAAGCAGCAGCCAATGTCATGAAAGCATTTGGACATTCCAGGCAGAGCACACAAAGGACGAGGAGCCACTATCTGAGGCCATCATTTAAATATGTTTTCCTTAGGGGGCCAGACAGCAAAAATTCTATGCTTCATGGCTATTTCACTCTGAAACTGTAATGGGAAATCAACCAAAAAGTATCCAGATATGGGGGAGGAGGAATATGACACACAGGACATTTCTAGATCTAGAACAGCACTGGAAACAAGTCTCATTGTGTTTCCTTCTCTTTAAAGTTTTAACGTGATAAATAAATCTCACATGCCAAAGCAAGGCATGGGGGTGCATACCTCTAGTCCCAGAACTCAGAAAGCAGACAAAGGCAGATCATTGTGCTTTCAAAGTCAAAGCCAGCCTGGTCTACACAGTGAGTTCCAGGACAGCAGAATTGCATACTGAGATCCTAACTAGGAAAAAAAAAAAAGTAGAAAACCGCTCTAAAAAGCCAAAACTGATCAAAGACTAAACAAAGTCACTAAGCAAAGCAGGACAGTATTAACCAATGACAAAAAAGAAAAAGCTACAGTAAGCTGAAAAACAAAGAATAAACTGAAAAGTAGAACTAGAATCCAATGCAATTGTATGCTTCAATGTTGTCATATTCCCTAATAATGGCTCTAGAATATCTCAATTTTAAAGGACAAAAGACCCAACCATGAGTTAGGAGCAATCAAGTGGGAGGAAATACAAGTCAAAGAGGCAAGTAAATGTACAACACACTGGACCAACCTGGTAGAGAAAGAAGTGAGAAAGGTATGTAGTCTAGTTTTTCTGCCTACACCCACACCTACTCCTTTATGGACCTCTGCTACAGAAGAGAAATCATTTGTATGACTCAGCGGAGAATGTTATGGCTCCTTTTTTTAAATGAGATGGCCAAAGTCAGCTAATATGACTACACCAACCAGTCTTACCACTCTCAGACTACCTAGGCATATTGGCTCCAAGCCATACTATACTACTTACATCCCAAAACAGCTTGTATTATTTGTCTTTTAGAGGCCACTTAATTCTGCTCTTCCAAAAAAACAGCTGGCATGTGTACTCACTAGTGAGTGGCCCCTTACATGGGTAATAAAACTTTCCTACTGTTGGGGGATGTGGGAGAAGCTAGCATGTAAATAAAATATATAAAGCAAGCAGTCTTTTTGGAAGATGGTAATTTCTCTATTAGGTCCAGCAACATGGAAACATGTTCTCATCTCAGCAGGAAGGAGAGGAAGGAAGATGAGGAGTTCAAGGTCATCCTTGGTTGCAGTGAATTCAGGGTCAACCTGGGCTACATGATATCCTATCCAAAAAAAAAAATTTAGATACCTGCTGATGAAGCCACATAATCACTAATCCTTTTTCACCAAAAAAGAAATGTATTCCAAAGTTTGGAACCAATGTGGAAATGCGATGCAAGTTAATTTCTGCCTTTTGTTGTCTTTCCTGTAAGATTCTTTTCTAATAAGCAAAATACAACTACAATTCCTTCACTCAGACTCTACACAGGGAAGGATAACTCTTTGTGACAGTGCAATAGTCAGGCCTGTAATCCCAGCACATGGGTTTAAGGAGGAGTATCTTGAGTTCTAGGCCATACCAAGCTATACTGTTTGAAAAACAGGGTCATGTGGGGGAGGAAAAGACTGGGCAAGCATAATAATGGTGCACACCTATAGTCTCAGCACTTGGGAGACAGACACAGGAGGATCAGGAGTGCAAAACCATTCTTGGCAGTATTGCAGCAAGTTCCTGCTTCCTGGCTAGCCCAAGGTACGTGAGACCAGAAACAGACAAACAAAAAGACACACTAATCAATCTCTTATGCAAACATTCTCGGAGCTGGTCCTAGATAGGAACAAATTCGCAATACTCAGCCCAGGAGATACCTTCTTCACATCAGCTATCCGTTCCTTCTTAGAGGCAGGCTTCTCTTTGGTTTCTGGAAGAACTGGCTGGGATTTGGAACCTGCTGATTCACTCTCAGATTCTGATTGACTCTCAGAAGATTCAGAACTGCTATTGGACTCGCTGCCATGTCCACTGCCGGGATCGCTGCCCTGCTCACTTTCCGACTGACTGCCAGAGTCTGAACCCGAAGCTTCTTCAGAGGCCGAATGACTTCATTTAATAGAGAGACAGGCAGAGAGAAAGACTTAGAAACATTTAAGAACATCCACATATTGTTTAAATCCTCTGGTAATATCTACAGACCATGATTTCAGCAATTTAGCATCCACATCTTCAAATTCACTTTCATTTCTATGCTGCAATCAATGCTGTCCTATTGTTTTCAACCTTTATCTTTGTATTTTTTGACACCATACATATATCAGGTGATTTACACATTTTCACACATTCTGGTGAACATAGGTCCCTTCACTCTAATGAGGTAAAACTATAGCTCTTAGTATTTAAGGAATTCTAAGACCTCACTGCAATACTATATAATCTGTCTACTGAATCGTATCTGTTTAAGTACTAATGCCTCCTTCAAAATAATAAATACTAATTTCAAAAATGACAAAAACAAACCCACCCGCAAAGAAAGAATGCAATTATCCAACTGGTAGTTCTCAGGCACGGGGGCTAAACTCAGTAGGCAGCTATACACACCATCTGTAGACACACACAGGTCCTGATTCCAAAGCAATGACTCCAAGAATAATCCCATCACCGATCCGAAATGGGATTTGCACATCCCTTCCTCTTCCTCATCTGGAACTACCCTCAGATAAACAACCTTGAGGAGGTGAGCGATGGCGAAAGCCACATAATAGAAACCTCAGGTTGAGAGGGAGACCACAATAGCATGAAGCTTAAGAGGGAAGTTTCCTATTACCACCGTCTCTTCCAAACTAGAACTGAGGTCACACAACTTAACAAATGACTACCGAAAAGAGCCAGGCCACAGACGGAACTGGGTCGGAAGTGTGCTTTCAAAGACAGCAAGGTGCCCTAGGCTTCAGCACACACCAGGTGTGGTGGTGAACACTCAGAAGGCCTAGAAGTTCAAAGGCAGCCTCTGCTACATAGTAAGTTGGAGGCCAGCCTGAAATACACGAGCTCCTGCCAAAATAAGAGAAAAAGAAAATGGAAACTTGAAATGATCCAAATCTACAAAAAGCACATTACAGTACAGACGCCTGTAAGTCAAGACCAAGAAATGGAGAAATTTGACTCTAAGAAGGAAAGATGGGAAAAATAGTGTCAGGCATTATGCTAAACACTCAGTACATATTTATTACCCAGAACAACCTTATGAAGAGACAGACTTTGAGAAACTCAGTCTTCTCTCTTCTATACCTTATCCCGTATCTCACTTCCTAGTTGTACATTCTTTATTTTATTTTATGTGTATCAGTATTCTGCCTGCATGCATGTCTATGTGTGTGCAGTGTGCACAGAAGCCAGTTGGATCCCCTAGGACTGGAGTTACAAACTGCTGTGAGCATTCATGAGGGTGCTGAGAATCAACTGGATAGTCCTCTAATAGACCAGCTAATCTCTTAACTGCAGAGCCATCTCTCTAGTCCCTTAGCTGTGTCATCATTTAACCTGCTCCACCCACCTAAAAAGTCATGAGCACACCCAGTTGGGGTGGTGGTGGTGGCGCTCACCTTTAATCCTAGCACTTGGAAAGCAGAAAGAGGCAGATCTCTGTGAGTTCGAGGCCAGCTTGGTCTATAGAGCCAAATTCCAGGACAGGCACCAAAGTTACAGAGAAACCCTGTCTCACAAAACCAAAAAAAAGTCATGATCATTATATAGCAGCTATGAAAGCAGCAATAAACTGCAATAGTTCTCTACAAATGCTTCCCTTACCCAGAAAGTTGCAATCTGAGACTGACGTCCTACCTGACTCCCTAAGAGAAAGTTCTCCCAGCTGATTATTAGGAAGTGGGTATCACAAAAGGACCCTGTCAGTTTTAGACACCACCACAGATATGTAGAACTAGCTGCAAATTTTCCTTATAAATTAGAGATTCAGAAGGGCCATTCTCCCTGAAAGCAAGGAAGAATCTGGAAGCTAGGCAGCTTAGTGCTGACAAAGACCTGCCCCTTACAGCCCAGACACCCAGCCTGGACTTTTTATCCATCCCAGTATGAGCTGGAAAACTAGTCTCTGACGCTGCCCCAGACTTACGTTTATGATTCGCACCTCTCGCGGTAGGATTTCCTTCCTTTTGTATTGTGCTTTGTTTCCATGTATGTCTATGCACCACAGACCAGAGGAGGGCAGCAAATAGCCTGGAACAGCTACAGTTATGCGCCATCATGTAGGTGCAGGGAGCTGAAGCCAAGGTTGTCTAGAAAACCAAGTAAGCCCTCCAAATTGTTGAGCCCTCTCTCCAACACCCTGCTTGTCTTTTCATCACTCTCCCCTCCTTCCCATTTGCTCCATGGAACACTTGTAGAAGCATGGCATAAATCCAAGTACCACTCACCTCCAACCCAAGTACACAGCAAGCCAAGTATCTAACTTTGAGAACTTGGTATCATCTTCTGTAGGAAAGCATGCTTTGCTTTCTCATGTGCTAAATTCAGCCTATTAGACACTTCCAAATGCTGACCTATCGCTGCAATCACTACCATGAGAAGTGAAAACTGGCAGCCCTACTTTGGTATCAGCTTCAACTCCCAACCTCTGCTACCTCTCACTTTTCACCATGACTCCTGCCCCTAGGAAACTGAATCCAAAGCACCAGCAGTTGGGTTAGGGGTATGACTCAGTGGTACAGTGCTGGCCTATTCATGCATAAATCTGAGGCTTGGTCCACAACACCTATCAAAGGATGATAAACGCAAGTTTTTGTATACTCCAGCTATGTGCCTGACACATTAGCTTGTCTCTCATCTGTTCCATCCTATAAAAACAATGTGGTCACGTGTCAAAACAGGTTTGAAAGCTAAGGCCATCTTCTCAATGTTCCTTGTGCTTGATACATTGGAGATTACTGAGTGAGCTAGAATAACAGTGTACCTGCCTTTTGAAGTGGCTTCATTTTCCAGCAGTACTCCAGACAAGAACTTGTGGGTGGAATCACATGAAAATCATCACAACTAAAATTGTCAGGACACGACAGTAATCAACATACTCACTTTCTGGGAAAAAAAATATGCCAATGTAACTGAAAAAATGTTAAACTACCTATTTAAAGACCCAGAAAAAAAGACATAAAAGTCAGCTTTGGTGGTGCATGCCTTTAATCCCAGCACTTGGGAAGCAGAGGCAGGCGGATCTCTGTGAGTTCTAGGCCAGCATGGTCTACAGAGCGAGTTCCAGAACAGCCTCCAAAACAATACAGAGAAACCCTGCCTTGAAAAACAAACAAACAAAAAAAAAAAACAAAACAAAACAAAAGACAGCTTTAGTCCACTTCAGAAAATGGTAACAGTCCAGTAAACTAGAAAGGCTTTTTTATTTAGTCTTGTGCTAAAAAGCAAGAATCACAGATTTACTTTAACACAATGTGTCAATGCCATGACAGAAAGACAGTTCTCTGTGAAATGCCATATATGTAAGCTGGATTTCAATGTTTACTTGACTTATTTTCAAACTGTTCTCTTAAACAATAAGCTATAACTATCTGTGATTCATTTCTGTATATCTTTATCTCTAAGCAGAATATTTAGGTTCTTTCACCATCATTCACTGTAACCAGTAAAGCTGTAATTATTCTTGTATATACCTTCTAGGACAGCTGTGTTTCTATTTGTGTATAAGTGACCATTAGAAATGTAACACCCACATTCCCATTAGCACACAAATATGTATGTAAATGTTGAGTGGCTTATTTTGTGGGAAGGGGTATGCTGTTAGAATCCAAAGGTTAGCTTATGCTTATAAGATAAGAAATAAAAAGAAAAAAATAAATACTACAGAAATTAAACCTAAGGAAACAAAGCTATAGTCACCTATGGAATTGAGGGAAATGGGTGTAACCAGGTAAGACATTGACATTCTATGGCTTTAATGGTGAACTCATAGCTGCTTAGAACTCTTTAAATATTTTTAATGTATAAAGGAGTTCACTAACAAAAATGAACACGCAGTGAAACAGTATAAGAATAAGTAATTTAAAATTTATTTTTGATCAGGCAGTGGTAGCTCACAGCTTGAATTCCAGTACTCAGCAAAGAGGTAGGTGGCAAGTTCTGTGAGTTCCAACCTGTCATCACAAAATCAAGGTACGTATTGACTATGTAAAAACAAAGAAAGGGAACTTTATTTTGGAACAAGCAAGTAAGATGTAAGACTTAACATATTCCAGGAAGAGGAATACTTTCATAAAAACTTAGTAAAGGTCTTTATTTTTTTCAATCATTGTTTGAGACAGAAGGCCAGTCTAGCCTTGAACTCAGAGATGCACCTGTCTCTACCTCACTAGTGCTGGGATTAGAGTAAAAGGAGAAAGTTCCTTACTGTTGGGAAAAGTGTTTTACGCTGCACTTTTCAGAGAACCAACAGCTGAAGTGACAGACATTTCCTAGTATCTAGTACTCCAGCACCACACCTAGCTTTCACCTGAATACTAAAGAAACAGGTAATGAATACCAGCGGGTTAGTATGTTTTTATACCATCACTTGGGAAGCTGGAGACAGGAGATAGCCTGTATGATCCCCCCAAAAAGACAGAGAGGAAGACTAGCTTTCTAGGTATTAATAGTTACAAGGCAGTTGAAACTTATATTCACAGGAATTACAGCCAAATAAAAATCTTATTTATTTAGAAATTATTCAAACCCTAGACAGCAAATTTCATACTTTTCAACTGGACAAAAAAATGATATGCATCAAAATGAGAAAGTGAGAGAGAAAGAATGAGAGAGAGAAGGAAAGAAGAGAGTGAACACCTTTACTAATGTTTTTATGAAATGGATCAGTCTTTCTTATACTGGACTTTGAAACCAACAGGGTCACTTCCATTTCTTAAAGTGCCATTTTCAAAATGGCCACAAGGGGACAGCACAAGACAGTCCACTTAAAAGAGAAAGCCTGTGGGTTCTCTAGGAGCCTCCATTTCAGCCACTGGTGTTTATTTTCCTAACTTACAAAATGGCTGAACTACTTACTACTTGACAGAGCTCCGTGGTTACTGCAGGCAATGCAAAATTGA